AAAAGTTAGAAGGCAAACAAGCAGAAGAAAGAAATTAAATGTAGGAGAGTAAAAAGGGATTTTTGCAGTTCTCCTCCACATTGCACCAAAGCTTTAGATGAAACGTGTGAACAAAGGTTCCTTATGGCTTTTCATCTTCTTTTTCATCAAGGCTTTCATTTTATTTCATTTTTTTTTCTCTGAAGATGAATAAACAGCTTGAATGGATTATTACATGATGTATGGAGTAATGGAGAAAGTCTATGATGAAATTGTATAAGGTCCTCAAACATAATTGATAGAATTGTATCAATTATAATGTGTTTATTGAATTCTAAATTATAATTGTTAGCACAAATTCATATGCCCCATTCACACAAATATCACAGGAGGTCGTCTAGTCAGTGGTATCAGACATTATTAGCATATGCATATATAATATAATAATATACTGAATATACACTCACCTAAAGGATTATTAGGAACACCATACTAATACTGTGTTTGACCCCCTTTCGCCTTCAGAACTGCCTTAACTCTACGTGGCATTGATTCAACAAGGTGCTGAAAGCATTCTTTAGAAATGTTGGCCCATATTGATAGGATAGCATCTTGCAGTTGAGGATTTGTGGGATGCACATCCAGGGCACGAAGCTCCCGTCCCACCACATCCCAAAGATGCTCTATTGGGTTGAGATCTGGTGACTGTGGGGGGCATTTTATTACAGTGAACTCATTGTCATGTACAAGAAACCAATCTGAAATGATTCGAGCTTTGTGACATGGTGCATTATCCTGCTGGAAGTAGCCATCAGAGGATGGGTACATGGTGGCCATAAAGGGATGGACATGGTCAGAAACAAGAGTAGGCCGTGGCATTTAAACGATGCACTCAAAATTGCTTAAATCACCTTTCTTTCCCATTCTGACATTCAGTTTGGAGTTCAGGAGATTGTCTTGACCAGGACCACACCCCTAAATGCATTGAAGCAACTGCCATGCGATTGGTTGATTAGATAATTGCATTAATGAGAAATTGAACAGACGTTCCTAACAATCCTTTAGTTGAGTGTATAATAATGCACTTTTTAATGTTGGGCTAATGAAAATGTTGACAGGGCTACTGGTCCAAACATGCAGCAGAAGAAACCTGCATGTAAAGTGCAACAGTGCATAAGCAAAATCATGAACAAAATCAATTATGTAAATTAATGATCATTTCTAAAACATTTTCAACAATATCCGTGGGCCAACTCTATCCACAATCAACTTAAATTAACTCTCAAACAATCCGTGAACAGTTCAATGGCCTTTAAAATTAAACTCAGACAGGCAGTAGACGATAAATGTGACAGGAACTAAATAAGAACGTGTCCTCATCAGCTGTCTGCCTCCTACAAACCCACTACTTTCATTAAAGGCTCACTAAAAATAACACTCCCACTGCTCTGCCTCTGACACCTCCACATTCTCTCCAGCTTTATCAATCCTCTCAGACACAGAGGCTCCTACTGAGCCCTGAAGCCCATCACTTACACAAAACTTACAGCGCACGACAGCTGGACAGTAACGCTAAATGATAAAGAAAGACATGGAACACAGTAAATACACTGAGGACACTGTGAGGTCTGGAGTATATATGGAAACGAGACTGTGAGTCTTATCAGTCAAAGTAATACACAATTCCTCTAATTGGATCTTCTTTACAGTAAAAGGCACGAGGAATCAAATTTCCCTTGCTATTTTAAAACAAAAGTTTAATCTAACTCAAACCTTCCTTTCAAGTTCCAAAAAATAATTCATTAAAACTAAACTGCAAAAATAAATTCTGATGCTGAAACCTGATGTCAGACAGATGTTTCATCCATTCACCGCATTACTTGCCTATTAGGTGATAAGAAATGACTCACAATGAGGTTAAATCTGGATAGTTGCTATTGTACCAGATTTAGATTTAACACCAGGAGAAGGCAGCAGTAAAATGTGCAGAAAATCTGATAAAACGTGTGCTGGAACAGGGTTGCCAACTTCATTATTGGCAAATTATTGAATACTTTTATTCAAATAGCTAATAAAACTCTTAATAAACCATTGATTTTATCAAAATGCACCATCAATAAACCATTTTAATAAGATTATGTAAATGTCCTATTTTGCTAGAATTGATTTCATACACTTTAATTTGTTATTCCTAATCACAATACCACTGAAGGTCATTCAAATGTGATTTCACAAATAAAAAGTTAAAAAAAAGGAATGTGAAGGTTCCCGACTAAGCAGATTTAGACTCATCAAAGTCAAAGAACAATCAAGGATGTATTTGGTTAATGCTATTACAAAGATGAGAGAACCTGAGTTAATTCAATGAGTCACTCATTAATCCAATACACATGGCCTCTCTGTAACCTGCTGACCTTTTGTTTACCTTTAAGTATGCCTGTACATTTGTTTCAACTTGAACTAGACAGAGGAAATAAGCAAATAAGCTAATTGGGTGCCTGAGGGGTAATAACATGGTCTGGAGACCTTTGGCTTTGAGAAAGAGCCTCCCTAGACTCAGTGTTAACATCACAATTCAACTGAGCTGAATCTACTGAGACATCGATAGAATAGACTTCAATTATATTAACAGAAGGATTCGTGAGTCTTGTGTGGGGTCAGACACAAAGACATTTGGTGAATGATTAAACTTGGCCATACACATCTAAATGCAAAGGATGTATTCTATACATTCATACAGGAGAGGTATTGGACCCATGCTTAAGGTTAATACTTCTGGCTCCAAAAGTATCTAAACATACATAACCTATCTAAACGTACAGTATAGCCTATTTGCCACTATGAGTGACAAATAGGCTATGAAAAGCTTGCATATCAATACCTATATGAAAAGTTCAGATGCAAAAGCCTCTAAGTGCCATTGCCATTGGCAAATCAATGGCAAATCATTGCCATTTAAGTGAAATTACTGACTTAAATATACAAGGTCGATACAAATTATCATTCTAGAAAAAAATTTCAAATGGCACTTAGAGGCTTTTGTATCTGAACTTTTCATATGGAAAAAAGAAGAGAGATTTCAAATGGCAAAATGTAGGCTATAGCCTAATAAATAGTAATACAAAAAAAAAAAAAAACATCTGTCTCTCACATTGGCATAAGGAAACAGAGGCAATTGCAAACAAAACAAAATTCATAATGCATTTAACATCTGTACAAAGCATACCCAGCTAGCCTACATTAAACTAAATTAATAATAAAGCAAATGAAGAAAAAATATAAGATATTACGAAAAATAAATACATTATTGACACTCTTGCTCTAATAACTGTACATAATGAAGAATATGATTCACTATTCAAGATACACTGACTTACCATTGATGAACAGTAAGAGAAGCGCGCGCATGGTGCGCTTTATGATGAGTTCCCTTCAACTGCGGCTCTAAAATATGAAAAACACTATTCAGCTGTCACACAACTTCACTTTACTTTCACATAAAACATTAAGTAACATCAGAAATAAAACGCAAACGTACACATTTCTTTGATAATGCTGGAAGCAAGAACTCACATGTTTACTGTGATATTGTCGATGGTCAAGCTGCTTTGGGCGATATCAGAGTCAGACGGACTTTCTGAAGTTCAGTTACAGCTGTGGAAATGACTGATGGAAAACATTCGCTGGAGTCAAGAGTAAAGCAACGTCCTCGGAGAACAGTCACTCAGTGCCTTCGAAAACAATAATCCGCTACTTGTTTTCCGGAGAGCTCTGCACATGAACGCGCGTAGTCGAACAGGAATGCGCGCGCTCCTCAAAACTGAATCAAAAGAACGCTCACAATCAACAGTAAAATAAGGAAAGCTTACACACTACTGTACTGTTGGCTATTTTTTAATGTGTTAAGGAAAGCATGACTGTTTAAGCAACGATGTAGCCTAGTTATTAATGCAAATAACAAACGAAAGACCTTCATGTTAAACATTGTCTGGATATGTGTGTACAGGTCACAAAATTATTTTATTAGTAACTTATTTCAACCAGTATTATTCAAGTCAGACCCCATTAACAGAATATAGGCTAGCCTGTTTATTGATGTGATTTATTAAACATTTTCCTATGAAATGTAGAAAACAGGACAAGGAGAAGACATTAAAGAGGAATGAAAAATATAGTGTGAAACAAATATGTGATTTTGTGGTATGATATGAATCAAAGCACAGGGTCAATTTAAACCACTGATCCAAACACAGACAGGATTATTCAGAGAAATGAACATGACCATAACAGTAACAAAGCTCAAATATGGCGCAAAGAAAACGAAGGTAATGGGCACAAATTTAAAGGTTCAGTAGCTTATATAATGCTGAAACAAGCAATGAAATATTCATTAGAATCATAAACATGACTGACATGATGTTTTATTGTAATATGTCCCACAGTCTGACTCTGTTGCATGTTTTCTATCATCTCTATCGCCCTCTTCTGTAGATCAGATGTAATTCATAAATTCATTTAAATAAAACAAAACAACTTTAAATTCCATATCAAAAGATTATGTGTTCATATATTTTATACACAATATAAAAATTATGATATGGTGTTGGGCACTTCATCGTACGTATATCACCGTTCAAGTTTGAAGTCGGTATGATTTTTAAAAAATGTTTTTGAAAGAAGACATGCTCCACATAGCTACATTTGTTTGATTCAAATTATTTATCATTTATATATATATATATATATATATATATATATATATATATATATATATATATATATATATATATATATATATATATATATATATATATATATATATATATATATATATATATATATATATATATATATATATATATATGTATATATATATATATATATGTATGTATTTTTTACCCAGGTACTGAAAGACATTTCTTATTATAACCAATGCTGAAAAAATGCTTAATTTTTGTGGGAACAATATTTAAAAAAAAATTAATAATTATTCATGTCTTTACTGTCATTTTTGATTAGTTTATTGCATGCTTGATGAATAAAAGTATTAATTTCTAAAAAATAAAACATTACTGACCCCAGAATTTTGAACAATACTAGGTTGTACAGTTATGTATTACAACATAATAACAGTTTATCTAATACAGTGGTTCTCAAACTGTGGTCTGATTGGCTTATTTAAGAAAAGTGAATTAATTAAAAAAAAAACTCATAAAGATGAATAAACATTAAATGTGTAACATAAGTGACTGTTCTGTTTCACTGTATGTTTCAAATTAGGAAGCCGACAGTCAGCTAGTTTTGACAAAATAAGAACAAAACAGCAGTTTATAAAAAAAAATAAAAAAAAAATGAGAACCTCTTTTTCAGTAGAATGACAATAAGACCTAGAGCTTCATTCTGAAGTGTGTCACCAATGTCATAAAAATTATGTAGTAAAGATTTTATTTATTTCTATAATGCAACAATATGTGAATCACACAGAGTGTGATTGAGAGGATCGATTGATTTCAGGATTTTGTCATTAATTTACAGCTTACTGACAGTTGTTGTAGCCCATGACTTTTAATCTGATAAATTCTCTGACGTCTGTAACGTTTTTCTCCAGATCTGCCAGTTCATCACGCTGATTCTGCATCTTCAGCTCGTTCTTGTTTAACTTTCTCTCCAGTTCTTTAGAGAAGGGAAACATAAAAACGATGAGAAAAGAGCCAAATACAGCCTAATATATTTAAAAAAAACTCTAAATTAAGTTGATATAAATAGCACATCCTGTAAATGCTTAATGATAATGCCCTTGGCCCATAGATTCATTTTAGCTGCCATACATTTCCAGTGCTTTACTATAGTAAGTGTTTAATGCAGTCGGACACATACTTCTGAGGGTTTCCATGCCCATGGTGGCCTTATTCAGCAGTTCCTCTGCTTCTTTCTTCATCTCTATGGCTCTCTGGTTAACATTACCCTCTCCGGTTCCTCCTACTGAGTCTACTTTTTCTTTCAGCTCCTTATACAGATTCTCAGCATTTGTCAGTTCCTGGTAAACACAAACGTGCACATACGAATAACATTGATGTTAATGGCTGAAGCACTGTACACATGTATGTTCACACTCATACACAGACCTCTTGAAGTCCAGCAGCCTCTTGAGTTGCATTGTCCGACTGGGCTTTGGCATCTTTTGCCATCTCCCTGTTCTGCTCCGTTTTATTCTTTAATAAATCCACTCCATGCGACAAATTGGCCAATCGCATCATCACATCCATGAGGCTGTTGTCTAAATTTAAGAGTTTGTTGTCAACCTGAACAGAAATGAATACTTATATTCAGCAAGGACACATTCAATTGATCAAAAGCAAACTTGTAGGCATTTATAAAAGAAGAACAAGACATTTTTCTAAAGCAGCAAATCAGCATGATAGAATGATTTCTGAAGGATCATGTGACACTGAAGACTGGAGTAATGATGCTGAAAATTCAGCTTTTCCATCACAGGAATAAATGACTGTTAACTATATTTTTTTGATCCAAAGCATTTTGAGAATTAAGAACTTCTTTCAAAAACATTAAAATATTTTTACAGACAGCAAACTTATAAGCATATTTGTATATATAAATGGAGCAACATATCAGGTTTACCGTGTTAGTGATGTTCTGGGTATTTTTGAGGTTTTCCAGTGCTGTGGTCATTTCCTTCTCAGCTTTCTTTATAGCACTTTGAGAGGTTTCAAGTGCTTCTATCGTTTTATTGATATTATTGCTCACTCCTTCAGCTTGTGTCCTGGGGAAACACAAAATCACACACAAATTATCATTGACTGTATACAGATTTCTGTGTCAAACCGCATTCTCTCACTTACTTTGCATCTTGTGCTCTTTTAAGCAGATCCTTGACCTTGGTCAGTTGCTCTGAGGTGTGGTTGATCAGCTCCTCCACGTTGGTGAGGTTGTCGATGCTTTCTTTGATTTGTTTGACTATGTTGATCATTACGGTCCTGTTGACTGGCAAGGAGATCGCCAAAACCTGCTGGGCCACTTTTTCAATGCTTTCTGGATCTGCTCCCTCCTCTGAAAATAACACGAGTTGTACTATTAAAAAGGCTTTTTTATAGTTTTCTAATTTTCATTTATCATAATTAAACATTTTAAAATTCACCCTAGTGTTATTTAAAATCTGAATGATTTTCTTTCTTCTGTAGAACATAAAAGATGACATTACATTTTGCAGTACCTATGTCCAAGCAATCAGTGCCATGATCGTGACTTTATTTTTTAAAATAAATCAATACTTTTATTAAGCAAGGACACTTTAAATTGATTAAAAGTGACAGTAAAGACGTTTATAATGCTACAAAAAAATTCTATTTCAAATAAATGCTGTTCTTTTAAACTTTCTATTTTATCAAATAATCCTGAAAAACATGTATTATTTCCACAAAACATATTTACAATTTCCACAAAAAAATGAAGCGGCAAAAGGGATATTAAGGGATATTTCAACATTGATATTAAGAAATGTTTCTAGAGCAGTAAATCATCAATATATTCGAATAATTTCTGAAGAATCACGTAACAATGAAGACTGGAGTAATGATGCTGAAAATTCAGCTTTGCCATTATTCATGTAATGATAATAATTCCTGTCAGTATATATATATATATATATATATTAGAATAGAAATAATTTAAATTGTGATTATATTTTACAATGTTACTGTTTTATTGTATTTTTGATCAAATGCAGCCTTGGCGAGCATGAGAGACATTAACATTAAAAATCTTGCAGACTGCAAACTTTTGAAAGTAAGAGTACTTTTATTTTGCCAGGGGGTATTCTGCAAAACATATCCGTTAACCTTCCAGAATTTCAAACAACATGAAGGCGAGTAAATTTGAAATTTTCTTTCTTTAATGCCATTTCATTTCCCGACAACAATATTGACACATAATCACTCAATCACTGACCATTCAAAAAATCTCTAATCTTCTGAATGAAGTCTTTGAGTATCTTGTTGGAGTTCTCAAAGAGATCTTTCTTGCTCTGGGCTTTATCGAGAGTATCCTTCGCTTGAGTCTTCACAGTCTGGGTGAGTGTGGTGATGTCTCGAAGCTGAGATGAAAGCAGAGATTATTTCAGGCTTTTCTCTCAGCAGCACACACACAGCGCACATGCCAGAACACACACCTGTTTACCTTTTTAGCCACGGTTTGTATCTCCTCGCTGGCAGCGGTCAGGTTCTTAAGAACATCTTCAGCGTGGCCCAGGGCCGTCACTGAGGCCCCAACGGTTCCATTACACCCTTTCCCTCCACACTTCAGCGCACCGTCATGGTCACGACAACCAGCTCCTCCACAAGGGCTATCAGGACAGCTGCTATTTGCACTAGCATTGCCATGGCCACCACATACCTTAAGGCATAATAGAAACAAGGATGCGTCACTGATCTAGCTAACAGTTCTCTTACTGGTCTCAAGCCAAAAGTTTTGCTCAAAGCCTCTACCTTGTTGCTGAGATGACGGACATTTCGGTCTATCTCGTGAGCTTTCTCCTTTAGTTCAGTCAAAGACCTATCATTGGCAGCAACTGTACGCAGGAAGCTGTCCTTTCTCTCTTTCAGCAAGGCTTCAGTATGGTTACGTGTGTCTTCAGACTGTTCCACGGGACTTTGGGGTCCGTATACGGAGGCATTACAGCGCTGCTCTGAATTCAGCGAACTCTGGTAGTACTTGCGCACATTTTCAAATTGCTCTGTAAAAGAATAAAGACAAAAGACATCAACGTGGGTTAAATGTTTTTGATAAAATGATGGTCATGAGCAGGGCCTGGTGTAATCTATAGTTTTTATGCACATTTTTCTAGGCAAAACCTATCGAAGGGATGTAAACATTGAGAACTGGCTTTTTCAAGCCTATTTTACTATCTTAATATGGCAATGAAACAGAATATTTATTGGAAAAGTGGACAAAAGTGTATGTTAAATGTCATATAGAGTCATAATGAATGAGAGCTTACTAAAATAATATCCAAATAGCTATTTGGCTTTGGTTAATTTATCCAATAGCCGAATTTTGCTGAAAAGACTACTTATTCTTTGGAATGAAATCATTTGCATTGGTCAGTTTTGATTTCATGTGTTTATTTGCTTAATATTCAATAAGAAACATTAATTTACCTGCTATTCCAGCAGTGAGGGAGTTCTCGAGCCCTCTGCGCAATAGGTGAAGTGTATCGTTCAAGTCTTTCAGGTCTTTCTCCAGTGCCGTTAGGGTTTGTTTCAGAGCTTTGTCAAGGTCTGCCGTCACATTCAGGTCCCGAATCACACCCATCAGACGCCCATCAGTCAAAGCAATCTCTGCTCTGAAATCAAGTTGAAAAATTCCAATTACCCTCATTTAATGTGCAAGCAATGTACAAAATAACACTCATCATGTGTTGAAAAATAAAATGGCTTTTCCAATTGAATGCATGGTTTAAATTCAATTGGAAGAATGATAATGTACAGTAATCCTTGCTAATGTAAGTGACGATTCAAAATGTCTTAATAAAGTGTGTTTACCTCAAGTCATCAATAGCCTGGCTGATTAAGTTAAAGGTTCCCTCTTGGTCTCCATCTTTGATCAGATCTTGAACCTGTGCCAGCTTCTTCTCCAGCTCAAGGATGCGGCCGTCACTGACTCCGGGCACCTCACCCTTCTCCAGAATCATGGCAATGACATTCTTGATGTGGGTCAGATCTCGGTAGACGTAGCACACAATATCATCCCATAGCTGGAAGCAGGGATGGCAGGGAACACACTTGGGGAAGCTTCCGGTAAAGCCACGGGCGCACTCGTCGCAGCGACGTCCTGAAGCTCCCTCCTTACACTCACATGCACCTGTTATGCGGTTACACTGAGCTGTCTCGGACCCCAGGAAGTGGCAGTTACACTCTGATCAGAAGGAGATAAAGCACTAATGATCTGACACAGAGAAGAAGAGGAGTTAGATGTACATGTATATGTGGAATACTCACCTTCACACTGTACTCTGGGATCACCCCAGTGGAACGCCTCACACTCATTGCACTGCCGTCCTCCAAAACCTGGCTGACAATGACACTGGCCAGTGAACTACAGGTACAAAGAGACACAGAAGAAAAGAAACGGAGTAGAAAAAGGAGGAGAGATTAACAGTATATTTGGCCATTGTAACTAATTGCAAAAATTATTAAGATCTGAAAACATACTCAAATCTAAGACCTTCAATGAAAAAAATAATAATAATAAAAAAGGAAATAAATTTAACAAAAACATCTAAAACATTTAAATTTAAATAAAACTAAAATAATTATCACTTAAATTGAAATCATTTAATAATAATTCAAGTCTAAAATGTCTACTACAACTGTTTAAGGGATAGTTCACTTAGAAATTAATTTTTGATATGTTTTAGCTTACCTCAAGGGCATCCAAGATGTACTGTAGGTGTGTTTGTTTCCACAGCATTTTCAATTTTGATATTTTTAGGTCAAACCGTTGGTGTCTGTCAGTCATATAATGGAGGTCTATGGGGTCCACCTCAAAGAGCATGCACTGAGAAGTCCAAATTAAACATGATTCAATGACTCATCAATGTAAATACACATTGATGGCCTAAGACACGAAAGAAGTGGTTTGTGTGAGAAAACAGTTTTTATATAGATTTTACCTCTTGTAACCACAGCCATGTTCAAGTAATCTGAGGGCGCGGGCACTTTGTGGCTGTGTTTTCAAGAGGTAAAAATGATATAAACACTGTTCGTTTTCTCACACAAACCGCTCGTTTCATGTCTTAGGCCATCAATTTGTACTTACATTTACAAATCATTGTATCATGTTTAATTTGGACTTCTCTGTGCATGCTCATTGAGGTGGACCCCATAGACCTCCATTATATGACTGACAGACAACAACGAATTTTTGACCTAAAAATATCAAAATTGATAATACTGCTGAAACAAACACACCTACATCTTGGATGCACTTGAGGTAAGCTAAAACATATCAAAAATTAATTTCAAAGTGAACTATCCCTTTAAGGTAGTGAATTAATATTGTACCTACTTTCAAAAAAAGAGATTTTAATCTTGAGAGAACCTTGATAAAATAAAGGTTTAATAAATATATGAATATGTATAGCGTAGATCATAGTGTACCATATTGCAATGGGTGCTGAGGGCATTTGGCTGGACGCATCCACAGGGTTCACATCCAAAGTCCGAGCCGAAGTTCCAGTGGTTGGGGGCGCACTGGTCACAGTTGTGGCCAATGATGTTTGGTTTGCAGGGGCAATGTCCAGTCTGCTCATTACAGTGACATACTCCATCAGTACAGTAGCCCTGTAAAGTGCCAGCAGTAACACAAGTACAGCCTGCAGGATGACACAGAGCGCAGAATTAGATTTAAATGCATGAATTCATTCACAGACTATTAAACTATTAACTATTATTAGACTATTAAAAAAAAAGGCAGTTTTAAAGTTTTATGTCACTGTACTTACGCCTACAGTCCTGGGAGAGTGCATTTCCATAATAACCTGATTTACACTCAGAGCAAGAGTCGCCGTCAGTGTTATACAGGCACTTGAGGCATTGGCCGGTTCGTGGGTCACATGACTCTGGGTCCTGGGGATCAATGTTCCCGTTGCACTGGCACGGCCTGCAAGCCCCGCCAGGCCGCTCAGGATCACCGTAGTAACCGGGAGCGCAGCGATCACAGCGAGGACCTGAGACAGGACACAGTCAGTTCAACTACTACATTAGAATCAAAACTGTTGATTTACGGACTGTATTTTACCTGCATATCCTTCACCACACTGGCAGAGGATCTGGTTAGAGTCATAGTCTGCCTGACAGGAAGCTCCATTGGAGTGTCCGCTGTCAGGGTGTCCTGGACAGGGACAGGGGTGACAGTGCTCACCAGAACCCAATACTGGGTCACCATAGAAACCGTTTACACACCTAAAGAAAGGACAGAATGATCAATTTAATTTCTGTACAGAACAGCATTTTATTCATTTTACTTCTAATTACTTTGTCTCGTTATTTTTTTTTACAGGGCAGCCTGGTGTTAAGTGTCTATTAGTATCATACCATACATTATTATTTATTAAAAATATATATTTGTAGCAATTTACAAACATTTAATAAAAAAATCATGTTCAAGCGTTTCAGGCCATTACGTTTTTGTTTATTGTATTTGAAAGTCTCTTATGCTCACCAAGGCTGCATCTATTTAATGATATAGTAATACAGTAAAAATGTGTAATATTGTGAAATAATATTACAATTTAAAATAACTATTTTCTATTGTAATATATAATTTATCCCTGTTGGCAAAGCTAAACTTTCAGCATCATTACTTCAGTGTCACATAATCCTTCAGAAATCATTCTAATATGCTGATTTACTGCTCAAGAAAAATTTGTATTATTATCAAAGTTGAAAACTATTTTTTTTGGAAACCGTAATACATTTGTTTTCAGCATTCTTGGATGAATAGAAAGTTCAAAAGAACAGCATTTATTTGAAACAGAAAATGTTTGTAAAATTTAAATTTATAGTCACGTTTGATCAAGTTACTGCATTCTTTTTTTTTTTTTTTTAAACGCAACCGATCAAAAGTTTGGGGGCAATATCTAATAAGAAGTAATGATATTTATTTCATTACCCTGTTTTTTTTGGGGGGGGTTTTCAAACAGGGACAACAGATGAAAAATTCTAATTATAATATCCTGGATTATGAAAAATAACATAATGGACTAATAACACACTGTCCCTTTTAAAATAAATAAATTCCAATTCAAATTAATTAGCTTTTTAAAATAACTCACTGTTGTACTTGATATATACAGTAGTTTGTAACTGCCTCATCCTCCTTTGCAAAGCATGCATTGCATTGTGACTTAAATCAGTCACCCATATGTAATTCGTCACATTGATTTGGTCTCATTGATGTAGTCAGTGTACTGGTTCTCACCTCTCACACAGCTGTCCAGCTGTGAAGTCTCTGCACTCATAGCAGGCGCCAGTGTCAGTGTCACAGCTCTCAGCGTGGCCATTACATTGACACTGCCTACAGTTGGGGAATCCCCACTGACCTGGTTGGCAGTCAGAGCACTGGCGACCAATCGCCCCATGCCGACACGGACACTGACCCGTCACAGGGTCACACTGATGCCCTACAGAGCCCTGAGAGTGGCAGTCGCAATCTGTTGCAGACAGAGAAAGAGAAGTGAGAGACAATGAGAAATGTGTCAAGTTGAATCTAATTCTTAAAAAATAAAGTGTACATTAACGAGTAATATAAAAAATATTTTTACATTATAAATGTATATACATTTGTAAAAAAAGAGTCTCACCAGCGCAGCCATATGGCCCAAATCCGTACGTCCCCGGTGCACACTGATCACATTGATGGCCAATAACATTGGGTTTACAGTGACATTGACCTCCCACTTTGTCACACTCTGCACTCAGTGAACCCTGAGGGTCACACTGACATGCTGCAGAAAGATCACTTTTTAAGGAAGCCATTCATAAGAATCTAAACAACAGTATGAGATTTATCTGAAGGAAAAAGGAATGGATGGGTTATAATGTGACTTGATTTGACAAGACACAGAGGAGAGACATTTATCCTTTGACCCCATCACAGTGACTCACCCAGGGCTCCGTTATGTATGATAGCAGAGATGCTGCAGATGAGTGTGGTGCACAGCTCCGCCAGCGCAGGCATCGGCAGGGTCGTGAAGGAATCCAAACACATGTAGACCTCCATCTCCTGCCGTCGACGCTCGTCTGGGCCGTCGTCACCCTGGAAACCAGGAAGCTCCTCATACCTGGGTATCAGCACAAGCTGTAAGGAGAGAGAGACATATTAGCATTTTTCACCAAAGACTTTTCACCCACCAGCAGAGGGCAGCACTTGTATTATCTGTGGTTAGGAAATTGCATCACAGCTTGTTTGTATGTGTATAAATAACTGTCTGATAATGGTAAATGAGAGAAGATCCTTACTGAGTCGATCAGAATGAAGGCGGTGAGATGTCGGTGAGACACGCCGTGGCGCTGGAAACGGACGGACACCACATACTGGTTGTTTGGTTCAAAGCAGAAGGGCCTTGGCATTTCAATGTACCTGTCAAAAATGATACGCCATCACTAACAATATTCGAAAATGCCAATTTGCTGTTTGACTATCTTGTAGACTATATGTATTAATAGACTAAGACAGACAAGTCTAGGTAGGCATATACAATGGGGTCCAAAAATCAGATGGGGTCCAATAAAAACCTTAAAATTCATGTCTAATTTAAGCTTTTAAATAGTTATCACATAAATTGACACTGATCTATTTCAATAGACCATAATCATATAGTAGTTTTCCTATTTGAAATAAAAACACAATTAAAAATCACAATTTGATAAAAAAAATACACAAAAAAAAAACACTCATTTTTTAAATATGGTTACAATTTTAAAAAATAAAACTTTTTTATTTGAATAAATTTTAAAATGTAATTTATTCCACAGCTGAATTTACAGCATCATTACTCCAGTCTCCAGTCACATGATCCTTCAGTAATCATTCTAATGATGGTTTGGTGATCAATAAAAATCTATTATTATTATCAATGTTGAAAACGCTGCTTAATATCTTTTTGTGGAAACATTTATTAACATAAACATAACATTTCTTTGAAATAGAAATCTTTTTTTAGTACATACAGCTGCTTCCTTTCCTTATGTTGACAACATTCATTCAAATCCCTTTCAAGCAGCAGACAGCCACCCTTATTTAGTTACCAACAGTTAGACAGCAGCTCCACCAGCCTGATACTATCTGTGAAGTCATATCTCCTGCCTGGGGTTTATTTTTTCTGCTCAAAAGGATATGCAGCTTTTGACAGAGTCTAATTTGCTCCTGCATTCCCTGAGCTTTGGGACGAGGCCAGAAATCAAATCAGAATCAGATTACAATGGCACCTAAAAACTCAGCCATGCAGGAAAAAGATCAAATCAACTGCCATGGAACTTGGTTTTCCGTGAAGTGAGGGTTGGCTATACAAGGTTAAAAATAGTACTTTGTACATAATACATAATAGTACTCTTGCAAAACTATGCAAGAAGTGCTTACAAAGAAATATAAATGTGCACTCACATCCAAAAACAAAGCATTCACGACATGTCAGGTAAACAAGGACACACACAGAAATAAACACAATGATATTACCTCCTGTGGTGGGGCATTGTGACTGTGTACATCTGCTCTGTGGGCAGCATGTTTCCACAGCGGAGACTTGTGGGTAAATTCAGGGATGTCACACTCACTATAGCCTCCCAGTCCTCTGTGGACTGCATGCAAACAAAAGAACAGAAAAAAAAATTATTATTAAAATTATTGATTTTAAATCAAATTTTGGATATGGGATATTCATTAAAGGGACAGTCCACCCAAAAAATGTTATTCATCTGTCATCAATCATCAATTACTGGTTCCATTGACTTTCATTGTATGGACAAAAAATATAATGTCTTTAATAAAAATATAAAATCTTTTACATTCCATAGAAGAAGAAAGAAAGTCATAAAAGTTTGGAACAACATAAGGGTGAGTAAATGAAAATTCGTTTTTGAGTGGACTGTCCCTTTAAGTAATTATTATAAGGCACTAAACCAAAGTAAACTGGAATCTACGTTTCTGGAACATGGTAGATTCTAGCAGGTCTAAACTGGTGCAAGATGGTCATTACTAGTGGATGGTATGATCAGCTAGTTGTTTGTTTGGCTGAATAAAGATAATTTACCAGCTAGTAATCAGCGGCCATGTTCCGAAACAACGACCACAAACCTCTGGCTCGTATCGGATCATGATGTTATATTCCATGGCGTAAGGGATGTTGCTGATGGTGAACTCTAGGCCAGCTCCATCTTTAACCCGAGCAAAGCCCGGTCCGGTCCATGTGACCATCTGACCCGGCTGTCTCTCTCTGTGTACTATGCTCACGCTGGGCTGAAAACAAACACAGACTCATATTAAATCAGATACAGCAGTGTGAGGTATGAAGGTGGAGGTGGAGTTATCTAAAGGGAAACTCACTGTTTGTTGCAACTGTCGGATACGTCTCAGTGCTGCCCTCTGCTGCTGACGGTGACGGCGGTGTCTTCTCAGCTGATTGTTGAGATGCTGCACACAGTCGGTCTCAGCCTGAGGTCTCGGATTGCCCTAAACAACAAGCACACATATCATGATCAGCTTGATATTCAAGATATGACATTTATTAATACTGAGGAATACTCAGGAAAACAGAGTATGACTACAGTATGTCCAGAGTGGCATTTCACCATAATCTCATACTAATCTTAAAATATGCATTATACTGTGCATGCAGTGAGCACATTTCCAAATGTGCATTACATAACCAGAGCATATTGCATGGGATATTATATCCCACAATGCAATGTGCTCAACCTATGATTCTGATTGCACAATAAATTAGACCGAACATAAACGTTTAGGGTCAGTATGATTGCAATGAGACATTCAATTACTCAATTGCTGGAAAGAAACTTTTGAAGAGTAATGTACACTATATAGTAGGCAATAAAAAAGCCTTTCCAAGTAAAAAATGCAAAAGCAGAGCACAACTTGACACTCTTTCTGAGGACTGTGTGAACCAAACAGAGCTGGTGAGTGTTTGGTGGGCATTAATAACTCGCTCTGACGGGCTGCATCTCTTCTGCTCTCTGATCTTATTCTGGGTCACTTCAGCCGTGGACCCGTGAGCATTCTGCAGTTCGTATGTGGGTTTGTTTGTGTATGATATAGTGTGTCTGGACAACCAGTCCTGTCAGTCTGAGTTCCTGTGGAGGGTACGGTGCCATAACAAACCAACCTGTAAAAACCTCACTAAATTATGATAGATTTATGAAAAAAGAAAAATTAATTCTTTTTTAAATGACTTATTTTAACTGGGAAATTGGAAGACAAACTAGAAGACAAGGGAATTTTTTTTTTATCACCAAACCCATTGTGACTCAGAAGATATGATGGTATTAGATGCGGGTCTGAGTGTTTTGTGTTACATTGCAGGGGAAGTGAAGGTACCTGAGGGTTTAACTCATGAATGTAAACTGACAAAGGAGACAGTTTTACATTTAACATATTTCCTCAACATTTAGTTATGTTAGGGGCTGAAAGATACAACTGAACCCAAACGTCAGGGAATACTTTCTTTGACATACACATACAATATTACTCTCTCTAGATCTATGTGCAGGATCCTGTTTCCATGGCCCATGATACCAGCATCACACCCAAGTTAACAGACACCTATTCATAACAACGGGAAGATTTATAGCAGTACCCTTATAATATGACATTAAAGGGTTAGTTCACCCAAAAATGAAAATTCTGTCAGTATTTACTCACCCTCATGTTGTTCCAACCCCGTAAGACCTTCGTTCATCTTCGGAACACAAATTAAGATATTTAAATATATTAAGATCGCTCCTGCATACAGTCCATAGGCTTCTTGAGGGACTGGCTCTTGCTGTCCTCGAAAAGTCATTAAAGACATCGTTAAAATAGTCCAAGTGACTACAGGGGCTCAATCTTAAGTTTATCAAACGACGAGAACACTTTTGTGCGCAAAAAAACAACAAAAATAACGACTTTATTTCAACTATTCGTTTATTTCTCCCTCTGCGCGAGTCAGGTTACTAGTTTAATAGCGTAAGCTTCTGTTATTGTACGTCACACGCATCACACACACATGACCAGCGTCGGCCAATAGTGAGCTTACGTGTGACGTAGCTCTACGCAATCACACTACGTTAACTGACTTACAGGCTCATGGAGAAGGAAGTGAATAGTTGAAATAAAGTCGTTATTTTTGTTGTTTTTTTGCGCACAAAAGTGTTCTCGTCGTTTGATAAACTTAAGATTGAGCCCCTGTAGTCACTTGGACTATTTTAACGATGTCTTTAATGACTTTTCGGGGACAGCAAGAGCCAGTCCCTCAAGAAGCCTATGGACTGTATGCAGGAGTGATCTTAATATCTTAAATATCTTAATTTGTGTTCCGAAGATGAACGAAGGTCTTACGGGGTTGGAACAACATGAGGGTGAGTAAATACTGACAGAATTTTCATTTTTGGGTGAACTAACCCTTTAAGTTTAGGAGTTTAGTCTACCAAAAGAAAAAACAACACAATGTTAAAATGCCAGTATTAGGTGCATTACTCACAGGAAGAGCGGGATCATCAGGGGAGTGACCTACAGCTCTCTCTGCTTCATATTTGTAATAATCCAGAGAAGCACAGAAAAACCCAGGCTGAACTTCAGAACACTTCCGTCCAATCAGATGAGGCCGACAGTCACACTGACCGTTGTCCATCAGGCATCTGAAGGTGAAAGGGAAAAGAGTTTAGGCACAATTGTAATAGATATCTTCAAATCTCTTCAAATCAAGGGCCATCTTGCAGTTCGGCACTTCCGTTTAGTTCAAGAGTTTTGAAGTTGGACTTTACTCTTGGTATATCAAAACTACACCCAGATACCAGACACTTCCTTATGGCTAATTGAGGGTAAATACACTCATTTAAATGCAATAACTGACATCAGTGACTCACCTGCTGCTGGTTGAACCACCAAAGTCACAGTCACAGGGTCTGCAACCTGCCAGATCATTGCTGATTCCCCAGTATTCAGGCTGTGCACAAACAAAAATACATACAGGCATTAAAAAAAAAGATTTAAAAATGAATGTGATGGTTTATTGGTAATAGAGAGAGAGAGAGCATGTACCAGGCACTGATTACAGTAGCGACCAGTGACGTATCTTTTGCAGGAGCAGTCTCCGCTGATCTGATCACATGGGGCCCCCCGCATGGTGATCCCACGGGGGTCACAGTTACATGCTGCCAACGACATACACGTACAAAAGTTATTTTCGCACTTAATGATTGAGTAGGCAAAGATTTTCATTAACACTTTTTGTTATATTGGCTGAAACTCTCTTCACATCCTAAAAGCAATCAATAATAGAAAAAAAGTAAAAGTATCTTCTGTGGAAATGTCAGGATCACAAAATGTTTGTCGAATCATTGCATTAAGTTGCATTGCATCTTTAAGTTGTTTACATTCATTATTATTGTAATGTAGTGTGCTTTGAGACATGAGCTAATTTAACACCATCTCTCGTAACACTTTGCAGAATCTGCTCTGGTTGTGCGCTTTCAAGTGTTTTGAATGAGGCGTGGGTTTGGAGATGATCTGAAGAGAGGGTGAGATCTTAGGCCGTGTGTCCACCAGCTGAAAACGCTAGACGCTCTGCTGAAGACGCCATACTTTGGGCGCTTGAGAGCGTTTTGGCAGCGCAGCGTTTTTTCCGTTGAGACGTTTCGTTGCTATGATACAGAATATCCGCAGCAGAGTTTGAATGTTGTGACAGTTGGTCAGTGTGGTTTAGTCCCGCCCCTCCTCCACTGTGATTGGACGGCTGGGTAAAACGTGACAGTGATGAGCGCTGCGTTTTATCCAAAGTTGACATTTTTTCAACTCTCGGCGACCAGTAAAAAACGCTGGGCGCTCGCCGCTTCAGCGTGAAAAAAACGCTCAGCGCCTCGTTACGCTAATGGCGTTTAAAAAACGCGGCGCTCCCATTGAAAACAATTGAAAACATACGCCAGGCGCGTGGAAAAACACTTCGATGGACACACGGCCGCCCTTATGCTTTCAAAGCTAGCTTTTGCTAGCTCAAGTTCGTTATTTCAAATGTAGGCGCACGGTATGCGCGCTCATAATGGAAGCGAAGCGTTCGCGGTGCGACACGCTCATTTTTTCCGCATCAAGATAAAAACATCTCAACTTTTCAGAATGCTGCAAGCGCACCATAAGCGCACAGTAGGTCACGTGATAAGAACCAACCGGAGTGCAACCGCCCTAGCGCTATGGAAAAAGGAGAATGCGGTGCGCCCAGCTTTTCTACGCGTATTTACGCGCTATAAGTGAATCCGGCCATACTATTGCTAGCCTCTCCGAAATTGCCTACCCTACATTTAAGCATACAAAATGTATGAATGTCTTTCCATTAAACCAAATCAAATTTATATTTAAGAAATATTCCACAAATGTTTGATGAACTACATCAGTGTGTACTTGAGGAGAACAGACTTCAAACATCCACAAAAACACATGCAAACACTTACGCTGGCATCCCAGTGTGTTGTCAAGACTGAGTCCATAGTGTCCCTCTTTGCAGTAGTCGCAGCGCTGACCCATGACATTCTGCTTACAGCGACACTGACCACCAATCATACCCAGATCCAGATCAGTATGACTGTCACAAACTCCTCCCTCTACAGAGCCCACGGGGTCACAGTCACAGGCTGAACACACACAGGAAACAACATGAACAACAGGTAGGAGAAACCCTTTCCCATGGAAAGACTTTTTCTGAGCAGATTTTCATGATCAACTTACAGACACATGCATTTGGGTCTCTGATGTCTCTAGCTGGATCCTGATAGTAAAAAGGTTTGCAGGTCTCACAGTTGCGGCCCATGGTGTTGTGGACACAATTGTCACACACGCCTCCACTGGTGTTCCCAGTAGCCAGATATACCGCCATGTCAAAATGACATTGATTGGAGTGACCGTTACAGTTGCATTCTTGAAAAAAGACACATATTTAAAAAAAAATTTGTTGACATTTTAATTGAGCTTTTCTTGAACTTCTACATGCGTGTTTATCTCACCCCTGCAGGTGTGTGCGTTATCAGTCTCGGCGGGCCTCCAGGGTGCATCATGGTAGAAATCTCTGCAGAACTCACAGTTTAATCCCACAGTGTTGTGCTTACACACACAACGTCCATGAATCTGTCGGATCAAAAGTATATGATATATTAAATAGTGTGCTTCATTCACAATCCATCAATAATAAATCGTTCTTTGAAATCAGAACTACAAATCAATCTGACTGATACACACCATGCCTGAATCCCTAGTGGTCACTCCAGGTACTGGTGCACACTCCGACGCGTGACCATAGCAGAAGCAACTCCCGCGCACAACCAGCTCATGCAGCGCATAGTAATATTTCTGCAGCACGTCAGGACGGCGGTCAAGCAGGTTATCGCCCAGGGTGTGCAGTTTAGTGAAGTTTATCCGTAAGTTAGTGATCCGCAACAAATCTGAGGGGAGATTGTGCAGCTGCTTTACTTGCAGTACTGTGAATAGGGTCCAAACTGAACACTCGCTACTGTAAATGTGAGTTATTTACTTGCTGAATCCGAGTTTACTCACAAGTTAACCATTAATAATTCCATTGCAATAAAGACAAATATATATTTGAAGTAATAGATAATGTACATCCAGACAATTGATGCAAATTGCAAAACAAAACACGAAAGGGTGATCAGGATGAAATGGAGGGTCTTGTATCACCCTGAAGGGGTTTTATTTTGCAAAAACAACTGACTGGATGTACATTATTCCGCTTATTACACGGCTACTTGTCAAAAAAAGTAAATAATATTACACTTTATTTTAAGGAGACGTTGTTAGTGTAAATGCTTGTAATTATGCATAATTTACTATTATTACTATAGTAACTACACGTGAAGTTAACAAGTTAACATAAAAGTATTACTGTAAATGTGAAATATTGATTTGAGTTGAAATATTTTATTAGCTCATTAAACGAAAGGCTTTGAATTTGGACGAATGATCAAGTTAAAAAAGACGGACATTTAAGGGATAATGTATCAGTTATTATTAGACAGCTTTTCACCACATAAATAATTACGGAGACATGAAATATTGATTTAAGATGAAACCCTTTTTAAAATCTTACCTGTTTGTCATCTTATAATTCATTACAGTCTACAAAACAATCATTTCTAGCAAAATGACAGACTTTTCAACAATATATGCATATTATTAGTACTGAAGTCCTCCAGTTTTATTACAGTATTGTCGATAACTGAGGTGCAAGATGGCACCTATTGACAACGGTCATTATCAGGAAATAACTGACCGCAGAATGTTGCAACTGACAAGTATTTCAGAGAGCCGTGTAATAATAAAAAAATAATCCACAAAACAGTTAAATGGCAAAAAAAATGGTTATACTGTACTGCACTAACCCTGAATGTCAAGACCGTATGGGTCGTTGACATGGATCGCAGGATCCAGCACTTTGTAGATGACCTAAAAAAAAATGTATACAATCATATAGTGGGAACACAGAATACAAAAGTAACATTAAACACAGACTGAAACACATCGATATTAAAATACCATCAGCTCACACTCACCTCTCCTTCAGTGGACGGTTCAATGTCAGAGTAACGCTCCTCACAGATGACCTCATCAATAAACCGAAGAGAATGAGCAGGAACCCTGGGGAAAGTCTTGGTGCAGTTGTAAGCGAAGTAGCGATATGGCCTCCATGTACGTCCAAAATCTGAAGAACGCTCAATCATCATAGCAGCAGGTCTAAACGTCTGTGGAGATGTAAACAGGTTACAGTTTGAAATGACGAAGGCTTGTTTCACTTTTATTAATAAATACCTTTATTCAATTAAATTGCTGCTGTAAATCTTGAAACTTGACGTGATACACTTGAAATCCATTTATATACACACCTTAAACTTCATTATGAGATGAGTAAAGTGGAACTCTGCCTCAAGATTTAGTCGAATACTGACATTCTCCTCTCCTGCACACAGATGAACAAAATAAAACCAGTCATAAACTACAAGTATTCATTGTAATGTTCAAGAAACCAATTTGAAATGATTTGATCTTTGTGACATGGTGCATTATCCTGCTGGAAGTAGCCATCAGAGGATGGGTACATGGTGGCCATAAAGGGATGGACATGGTCAGAAACAATGCTCAGGTATGCCGTGGCATTTAAACGATGCCCAATTGGCACTAAGGGGCCTAATGTGCCAAGAAAACATCAACCACACCATTACACCACCACCACCAGCCTGCACACTGGTAACAAGGCATGATGGATCCATGTTCTCATTCTGTTTACGCCAAATTCTGACTCTACCATCTGAATGTCTCACCAGAAATAGAGACTCATCAGACAAGGCAACATTTTTCCAGTCTTCAACTGTCCAATTTTGGTGAGCTCTTGCAAATTGTAGCCTATTTTCCTATTTGTAGTGGAGATGAGTGGTACCCGGTGGGGTCTTCTGCTGTTGTAGCCCATCCGCCTTAAGTTTGTGCATGTTATGGCTTCACAAATGCTTTGCTGCATACCTCGGTTGTAACAAGTGGTTATTTCAGTCAAAGTTGCTCTTCTATCAGCTTGAGCCCATTCTCAGTCGGCTCATTCTCCTCTGACCTCTAGCATTAACAAGGTATTTTCAGATACTCAGTCAAATACTCAGATCGGCTCATCTAGCACCAAAAACCATGCCACACTCAGAATTGCTTAAATCACCTTTCTTTCCCATTCTGACATTAATTTTGGAGTTCAGGAGATTGTCTTGACCAGGACAACACCCTTAAATGCATTGAAGCAACTGCCATGTGATTGGTTGATTAGATAATTGCACTAATGAGAAATTGAACAGGTGTCCCTAATAATCCTTTGGGTGAGTGTATATATATATATATATATATTTTAAATCTTAAAAAAAAAACGTATGTGGTCACCTAAAAAAAAAAAACATTCTCACACACCATTTACAGACTGCCACCATGTGAGTTCTCCTCTGCGGTCTCTCTGGTAGATGACATTCTCCACCCTGTGGCTGTTTCTGTGATTATAGGCATCGTATGGCTCCTGAGAGTTACATATAAAGCACTTATCTGAATCCTGTCGAGAGACATGGAAAAAGAAAAGAGTGAGAAGAAAAACAATGCACATTTTGCAAAACCACTTAGCAACATCAGTGCAGTCTGACAGGAGCCTCTCCACACCTTTTCTTCCAGGTACAGTTTCATTTGTAATGACTTAAGCATGGCGGTTCAGGTAGCTGCCAAGACATACAAAAGAAATCTGGGTCACAGCCTGAGCAAAACGTTCCCTCAGAATGGGAGGGCAAGTTCCATGCCAACCTGGAAGTGGAGCAAGAGAAGGGAATGGGCCTCCTGGATTCAGGTCAGAACATGAGAGCTAGCGTGGATGAAAGCCAGAGCACTTTGTCTACGCTGTTAGAGTTGTTGTCATGGGCACCAAAACCTCCAGCAATGACCTGACCGAGTGAGACACACGTGTATTTCTTCAGGACCCGTTAAAGGTCACAGCAAAGACCAGACTCTATTTCAGATCCTCACAAGCTCTGCAGGGGACGGATATCAGCACTTCTACAATATTGTGCTTACCAAACACTAGACACATGCTTACTGGGGTAGTTTTGAGTGTGAGCTGCCAACAATAGGATTAGCAGTGATCAACCGGATTATGAACTACAGGAATGCTATACTAGGGCCCTGCAAAAAAACACATTGTTAATTCTCTAACATGACTTAGCACGGTGGATTCACACAGTTTAGGTGTATGGACTGAAATTGGGGTTAATAGAGATAAAAAAAAATCTTTTGCTCAAATTAGCTAAAATCATATGGTAAAAAAGTCGAATTAAAATAAATTAAATAATTAATTAATTATATATGTATATTTCTATCTAATCTATCTATCTATCTATCTATCTATCTATCTATCTATCTATCTATCTATCTATCTGTTTGTCTGTCTGTCTATCTAAATTAAACACAAACGGAAATGTAACTCTGCAGACACCCTTCCCTACTACTAAATTGACAGACCGCTGACAGGTAACACCTGCGCTGAGGACAAAAAGGGTGTAACTCCTGTCTATGATGTATGGTGCCTCCAGGCAGTTAAACAGTTTCTGACAATTTTATGCACCCAAAAAACACTTTAATGAGGGGTAAAATACAAAGAACCTAAAAGAACACAGAACATTTTAAATAGACATTCATACAACATTAAACAGTCAATGAAAACGTATTTTATGAGGACAGAGAAGAGTGCTTTAAGTGCTTTATAGACACCTAAAGGAACGGGAGGAGTCCTGTTTCAGCATAAAAGAGGGAAAGCAAACAGAGGTAGATGTAAGAAATGAATACAAGATCTTTTAAATTACACACGTATCAAATAGAAAAGCCTTGGGCTGCAGATTTGACTGCTGTAAAAGAGGTGTGGCATAGTGAGCAATACACGTGCAAGAGTCTTGTAATGTAACAAGTGTGCCAGTGTGTGTGCGCGGATCAAATCTCCCTATAAAGGATAGTGAAAAAAGAAAGGGGCCCTGTGCACAAGAACATCTATCTTCATATGACAAATAATTTCCGTCAACACAAACTGCAGGGCAAGGCCATACATGCAGGAGTAGAGAACATAGTGTACACAACATGAGATCATGTTTTTGTGTCTATATGAAAGAGAAAGAATGGTTCCGAAATAATGCTGGGTTTACCTGCAAATGACTGACGATGCAGTACAGCTCAGGCTCATCCAGGCCACAGGTGGAGGTGGCGGTCAGATTAATAGCACGGCCAATCAGAAGGTTCCCTGTTGCCGGATAACAGCTCCCTTCCATGCAGCCATGTGGGGCTGAGGGGATCTCCTGAGCCACAGCTGGAAGAACTGGAGAGGACACAGACAGGAAGTTGGGGTCATTAACTGGTCATTAAAGTGTATTCCATTTCACAGGCTCCCCAATCATTACAGTAGGGGATATCTGTACGACTTCACTTCTATTAGCTTTTTTTGTTTTGTTTTGTTTCTTTGAACGTCCATCATCGTAATCAATAACAGACAGCACAGTTGAGCAGAATGACGTTTCAGGTATGAGGACACATAATAATAGACATACAGTATAAATGTCAAATGAATTACACCAAGTAACATTAAAATATAATAATTCATTATGGGTAATTATGATTTCACTTTTCTAACTTTAGTTAGTGTGTAATGTTGCTAACATCTGCAAAGTTATAACACTTAAAGTTCAAAGCAAAAAGAACATTTTAATAGAAGTAGCAAAAAGAAATTTTTAAGAAATCTTTAAGGACAACAACACACTTCACAAGCTTCCCTCCAGGTTAGCTCATTAACCCTAGCATTGACATAAATCCGCCCCGTGAACGCATTATAGATTATCAAGACAGAATATGCTAATCAATAACCAGAAGATTACTACACATGATAAGCTACATAAATTCGTCAACTAACCATTCAGAAATGTTGTCACTTCTTCTTGAGTCTCTCCATCTCTGTCTGACTACGGTTTGAACATAAAAGGTTAAAAGTTTTTGAAATTAACTGTTGAAGCTCCGCCCTCTGTGTCGGGAGCAGCAGCTTATTTGCATTTAAAGGGACAGACACAAAAACTGTGCGCTTTTGCTAACCCTCAAAAATTACAATTTTAACATGCTATATTAAAATATCTGTGGGGTATTTTGAGCTAAACATTCACCTACACACTGTAGGGATATCAAAGACTTATTTCACATTTTGTGAAAAGGGCATTATACCATCCCTTTAAAAAAACACCAATAAATATATGAACAAACAAATAAATGAACAAATGAATGAATAAATCTGTTGTTATGTGTCATATGAAAACATATTTGAAGGGCTGCATCTCATGCAAGTTTATTTTAGTCAAACTTTAAATGATGCACTATGACTTGTGGGTAAATTTCCCTTTCTACTTCCTGTGATGATTTATGATTTATACATGTTCCCTATGCTGTTTGAAGTGACTTTTGGATATATTCACATTTACAAATCTCACTTAAGATGACCAAATATTTTGTGAAGTCCACAGTCGAGTCAATGAAACGTACCTATATGATTTCTAAGGAATGGGTGAATGCAACTGATCAAGATAATTAGTCTACACTCCACTTTTCTTTCTAAAACACCACACAACAGCCAATGATTGGATGTTATCATGGCATTCAACAAGCACGGCTTCTTTTTGATGACCTCATGTGGCTCATGGTCCCACCCAGGCGGCGGTATCAAAGACTGAGGGTTTAGTTTCTCATTGAGTCAGGAAAATAACTGGCTTTGTTCCACATGGTTACCTCTGCAAAGGGCTCAAAATGCACTGTTTGCCTTTCAAAATACACAGTTCACTATAGGGTTATCTGACATTGTCAATCCCAGATGTTTGGGGGGTCTTACATGGATTTTGAACAGTCACTTCTAATGTTGTGGTACGATCATTATATAAGTAAGACGAGCAAGTAACCACACCATCAAACTATAAAACTGCAGAGATTTATCTAAATGTGAATGACCACTTTATCATTGAGAGGCTCTTGGAAAGGCAGTGTCCTGGTCAGTCTTTGGGCCCCTATGTGCTACCATTTTTCACACATCACTGACTTGGAATAATAATACCATCATCTCAACAAAGAATATTGAGAGAATGAGTGCGAGTAAATGAAGCAACAAGAGTGGACATGGTGAAATTGATGAAGTGGACGTCAGATAGCCTATATGTATGCAAGTTGGATATACTATTTATCCAACTTATATATTTATTCAATATAATGTGTATATCAGTCATTCAATTACTCAACACTGTTCTTTGCACAAGTGTGCAGATAAGCCTTTAAAGTTCATCACAATATTGAAATTGAGCCCCACAATATTGAAATTGAAAAAAAAAAAGAAAACAAGTGCCAAGAATTCCAATTGATTGCATCAAGGTACTAAAGTGTATCTGGTGTATGAGGACACTGAAAGGATCTATGGTTAACTCACTGTAAAAATCCACATAATAAAGAAATAAAGGTCCAGACCTTTGGAATGTGTGTGTGTGTGTGCACGCATGTGTGTGTGTGTGTGTATCATTGTGTATGGTTTATGTTTGTAAGTGTGTGAGAGGTGGGGATACCCATGAAAAATGATTTGCAAATACCTTTCGTTCACATTCTCACTAGTTTTCTAAGTAGTATTTCAAAGGCAATCTGTTGAGAGTTCAGCTTGCTAATTACAGGATGGGTGTTTGAGGAACTTTCAGAGTGCGTCTTTACAGGCCACACGCACAAGAAAATACCAATTCTCCAAAAAGAGTACCTTATGAGACCTTATGCTGCATCCCTCATCACAGATTCCTTGTGGTAAAGGATGCATTTAACACTTTTTCTACATGACTTCTCATGTTCTGACTAGCAAGGGCAACACGTGACTGTGAGAGAGTGTGTTTTAGGGAGGCAAGGGGTAGGCAAGAATAGGTTTGGACTTTGTTTTGGCATGGTCTGTTATTGAGTCTCATGCATTCTTTTCTCTCCTTCAATGTGTCAAAACAAATGTGAAAAAGGCTGATAGAGAAAGAGAGAGAGAAAGTGTAATCACTAATAGAAAAATGGATGAAATGATGTACAAGCAGTGGATTATTCCATCGATTCAATGTCTTTTTAACTCGAATTAAACAATAATTTTGTACTGGCAGTTCATATTAGTCCAATTAGTACTCACAAACAAATTTCAAGCTTATAAAACTGCATTAAAACATCTGCTCTTTTAGGCTGAGGCAGGTACAGTGCTTTAACACACCCACAAACTGCATAAGCTATAACACACACCATGCACATTTACAGCACACAGAGATACAAGATACAGGTGGTTAAAGAGGCAGATGTGCATCTGCAAAATGCAGATAGTAGGCTATACAGGAATGCCAAGCCAGGAAAATGTCATTCATTAAGAGAAAAATTCCAGGTGTAAAAGTATCTCACACGGGTCTTACAAAATGGCCACCTGTACCTAGGGAATGGCATTCCACGAGTCGACGACAAGCCGCCACATGTGCTGCACTGCATGTCGCAATGAAGCTGAGACCACCATCATATAAACAATATGATTGTTCTTATAATACCTGAGGCACAACATGTTGGTACCATTGTGGTAATCGGTTGACATTAGATTTGTTTAAATTTACCGTTTATGTAACATTTATGCATACTCATTCATTCCTCTATTTTTACATTTACATCAACTTTGCTAATTGCTATCATCAGACGCTCACTTAAAAGTTAATCTTTAAAAATATACATAATTGAATAACTGTTAAATGCAATATTTAGCAAATCTCAAAATGAATATCCATTTGTAATACTGTGTAGCTACATTTTATTGATGTGATGCCCAAATTCACTTGTAGCATTTAAAATTTTAGTTTGTGTTTTATTTTGCAATCCATTTAGAGAAAATTGAGCAGAAATTATTGGTTACCATCCATAGCATGACAATTATTATGAGATTATTGCAGCTTGTACCCTTAGATTAATATGTTTTACATTCAATCATTTCTTACTATGTTACTTGCTTACTTAATAAAGTGGCTAAATTAGAGCATTGGCTCCTTAAGCACCACTGAGGGAGGGCAAAGGTTGGAATATGTACATAAATATGAAACTGGTAACATTTTTCTTCCCTATATATGTGAAATGGCTTCTCAGACAAGAAAAAATTTAGGGCGGGACTTGATTTTGTCCATTGGGGAATTGATTGGATCGTTGGTTCATTGTGATGTACAAAATACAGCAAAATTCAACAAAATACAAAATAGACTATTTTTTTTTAATGCAATATTACATTTAAACAACAAACAAACAAACAAACAAACAAAAATTGTCCATTTTTATTTCACTGATTTAAGAATAAAAAGTAAGCTTTAGAATAGACAATGCAAACCCTGTCAAACCCTGAACTGGAATGTGAAAAATCAGATAGTGAACCTACAGGCACAGACAAAGCAAGGCAGTAATTGTTGTTTGAAGTTAAACAATCAATCTAACACTTGGGAGATCATAACTAGAATGTTCCTCCACAGATAATACTGATAAAACTGATGGTACAATAGAGCGCTTATGAAGGAGTAGGTACAGTATAAGCAATGCACCCTAAAGCTGGCAGACCTAACAGCTATTGTCTACATGAAGTTTATTTTAAAACAGGACAGAGTTCACAAAGTGCACATGCCCTAAGACACATATAAAGACATTCCATTACAGTGGCACATGCTCACACACCTTGGTCATATTCCTTGTACAATCATTAACAAACAGTCTCACTGACCCACATTGAGTAAAGAAAGTACAATGGGCACAGAGCCCACAGCTCCAGATAATGAACTTGTGCCAGAAATAATTACTGTTAAATATGTTATCGGTGATGATTAGCATTTTATAATTGGTGGTCAAACTTATTAACACATGCTTCACGTGCTTCACTTTAAAACATCCAGCATATTTTTTTATTTGTTTATTTAAATCATAGCCGTAGTGATTTGATAATCACACTAGGCCAAATAGCAAGTTAATTTTTAATTTGATTAAACATTCAGGCGTACTAAGGTGTCCCGTTATTGTGAATAGAATATTATAATGTCAGTCGAAATGCCATTGTCGATGTTTTATAAAAATCTAAATAAAATTGTGTAATAGTCTAAATTAAACACTAAGAAAGAGATCTTAAAACACAATGGAAATGAGTTAACTTCATAATAATCTACCGGACACTTGTATAACACCCCTTCATCAACAGGCTTTCCAGCCACTACTTAAAATATCTTTTAAAAAACCATATTTAGAAATCACACCTGAGACTGTTATCATTTCCACAACATTCCTCTCATGCTCTAAATTCTGGATGAACCTTTAAACACAGCTTTCTGAACATTTTTTTCGCAGAAAAAACATTTTAGGCTATATTCACACTTAACAACACATCAGAGGTCCTTGGCTAATGCAATTCATTCTAATGTCTGATGTTAGCATGTGTTTCTAAGCTAATAGCCTAAGAAGTCAATTAAAAGTCAATTGTCAACTCTTCAGTGCTGAATAAAATATTTTTAATCAGTTTTTAACATATTGGATAAGAAATGTGGCGTGTAGTAGGCCTACAGTACTTTACTTTAAAACATAATTAATCAATATCTTTTAGCGCCACTCACTGGACATTTAAACTGCAGTGATACGTACATACATAATAAAACGTTGCAATATTCACGCTCATCTGTTCCGGAAAAAAAACTAACACGCTTTTAGCGCCACTTACTGGGCATTACTTTGAAACTGTCGCGAAACGTGCACGATGCAATGTATTTTGCGCTTTGCAAAAATGTTGCCGTAGGTGTGTAATTTTGAATGAGGCTGAAAATGTTTCAGAAACAATCGTTCCACCGAACATTCGCAAACATTCACATTCGTTGTGTGGTTTGAACGACAGCTCTCCACCTGTGGTTAGAGGCATCGTTTAATATTGCATCGCATTTGGATGTAATAAATCCTTATTAAAATGGGTTACAATGGGTTTCGGGAAACAGTCGTGACTAGCTAGTTGATTTCTCGAACGATGCATTCGTACTATGGTAGTGAAGCAGTGAACTACATAGTTGTATGGGAAACGCACCCCAGATCAGTCTTCGCATTAGGTGTGACCCTACAGTATGATGTCTAAACATGCCATCTAGGTAGGCTCACTAGGGTTTGGAACAGAGCCAGTGTTGCAGTGTTTTTCCATTTCCAGTTCATTTTTCCAGACATTTAATCTTTTAAGTGTAGTATTTCCAACAGGGGATATGCATTTAGGCATCTAGCTAAATGACTAGTGATTGAGCATTTAAGGATCCTGATCAAATAATAAATGACGCACTGTGCTACAATGAGAATAATAGGCCAAAATTAGTGTTGATCCCCCTAACCCACATGTCAAAACTAATGGCCATCCTCAGCACTGTTCTCATTCCACCCTCAGTGAAGCACCCTCACTATTGAAAGCTGCTCCCCACTCTTATTCTCCACTTCTCTCTCTTGTGATTCAATACATAGCACTTGCATGAACACCAAGACTACAAGTTTAAAAAGTATGTGTACTAACTGTTAGCCCATCAAACTACAGCTACCCTGATCAAGATAAAGTTTTTTATTACCACTGGCGCAATTTGCAGCAGGCAAGCAGCACTGAATCTATAATGAGTCTAATTAACATAAAAGGAAATGTGCCAATAACTTAAGTTTAATACAGCGCATCACTGTGATTACAAAGCACTTCAGTGCATTAAGCAACTGGTTAAACTAAATAGCAAAAACATTATAATAAATAGATTAGCAGCAAATGCAAAACTTGATTTGACTTGATTGCCAGGTTTTTAGAACGGCATGTCGGAAGTGCATTAGAAAGACACAAGGTTACTATGGATGCATTTTTTTAAAATCAGAAAGAACAGAGGAAAAGCAGTGGAATGCAAAAATGATTATGAATTTGCCCCATGAATCTGTTTGTATGTTTTCTGGTCGTTAAATATCGACAGAAATGTTCCTTGCCTTGTTTACCGCAGGTGTACGGTTTCCTCTCCATAATGCATAGACCTTTCATTATGAAACACAAAGAAGCAAGGAAAAGCAAACACAATGCCTCTGATTGCTGCTCTTCAGAGAGAGAGAAAGGCCAGGCACTGTTGCTAAAGAAGACAGAGGGGTAACAGGTTGGTAATGCTTTCATTTGCTTATGTCTAGAGATTGTTTTGTTGAAAAGGGCTCTCGTTGGAGCTACTGTGAAAGACCTCCTGGGTGGGGGTCTGTGTGTTTGAACTTCACTTTATTTAAGAAGCTTATCCCCTGCTCACCTAACTGGAGAGTCAGACTTTGATAATGATATGGGATTGAATGTGCTGTCATCAGTCATTTTATGATCCAACATTTAAGGGATGGCATCATTTACTCACCCTCAGGTTGTTCCAACAAAGAAGATCATGTTTTGAAGAATGTGGGTATCCAAAGAATGATGGTAGCCATTGACTTTTATAGTATTTTTGGCAGCACTATATTTTATAGTCCTGTTTCGCATGTACATATATACTTATTGTAGTAACTACAATAACTGGGTAATAACTAGGTACCCTGAACCTAAACCTAACCTTAACCTAGTTACCTTATACTTTTCACCTATTCACCTTATTTAAAGTGCAACTGTATTTTTCCCATACGTAGTCAATGGCTTTTGGTTAACTGTCAACTGTTTGGTTACCCACATTCTTCTGTGTTCAGCAGAAGAAAGAAAACAGACAAACAACTTAAGGGTGAGTAAATGATGACAGAATTAAAATTTTTGTGTGAATTATCATGTCTGACATCTGCTAGGTAAAGAAATGACCACCATACTCTCGTTTATGCAGAAATAAATTTAATCTGTGACTTACCCAGAAGCAGGACACTGAAATATTTGGCCATCATCATGGGCTATCAAATGAACATGGGTGGCGGATTTCCAGAAGCCTGAAATACAAAGAACAATAAGAAAATGATTGTTCAGCAGTTTACAAACATGTAGGTGCTAAAGATATTCATGCAGTGCATTCACAAGACATTTAAATGATTAGTACATTATTCATAAAAACAGCCTCTGAATGTAAAACACACATTCTTTGAATTAAATATAGTAATATGGAGGGTTTGTTTTAGTGTCTCCCCCATCAAAGCTTTAATATTCAATGGTTATTATCATTTTCACAGTATTTAATTCTTAATTGGACAGAAACAATTACTAATATGATTTAAAATGGCCTTTAATGGTTCCATACTATGTACTTAATTTAATTTGTTTGGATTAACTACACAACAAATTAAAAAGAAACATTTATCATAAAATGGATATTTCCGGTCCTTGATTCCGATTGGTTGTATAATAATATATAAATATAATAATAAAATATATGTATATATTTTTAAAAATTATATTTTTGGAGCTTTTTTCCCTTTATTTAGATATAAGACAGTGGAGGACAGGAGGACGGACTGAAAATCACACAAGAGGAGAGAGGGGAATTGGACAGGGACTCGGGTCTCCCAAAGCGCATAAGGACCATAATGTCAAAGCAGAGCACTTGCCCACTCAGCTATGTCTCAGTAGTATTTATATATTTTGAATATATTAGCACACTAGATATTTCACCAAATTAATATTAAAGATTCAAAGTGAGGTAAACATGAGGAGGTGAGAGTGAAGCCTGGTGGGACCATGAGTGTGAGCTCAAATGAGGAGCGTCGGGCCCCCGTCTTCAGTGTGCTGGTGAGAGGAGTGACAGGTCAGCTCCACCACACAATGCCACAGTCTCCGTTTCCCACACAGCTTCCACTCCATATTTCACTGCCACTAAATCCTCTCACACTCACTCAACTACATCAAACCATTTCACTGCATCAGTCAATAAATACAACACATATGCAGAAATCATTTTATGCTAACTTAAAACCTGCTATGTAAACTCAAGTGAATGAAAAACTATTGACATAATTCTATGAGTTTAAACCCCTTAAAAAATTATGAAATAAAATAATTTACTGTTATGCGGGACATTAAATAAAACCTTAAAAACAGTCTAGACAATAACAGGGCAGTAAGGTATGATGCCTCTTGAGATAAAAAAACAGTAAAGTCAAAGAAGAAGGACAAAAAACAGATAAAGTGAATAGCAGGATTTACAAAACTGGCAGGCAAGACAACAGATAAAGCCAGCATCACCTGCCTCTGTGTAGACCAAACAAACCGCAGAGCCTCTGATTCTTTATCCAAAGCCTTATATGTAAAATACAAGAAACATTAGTACTCACGCACCCATGCAAGTTGATAAATATCCTCTGGACAGGGAAGGCTCTGAGAAAGGAATACTCACAAAAGGAGAATAATTTGTGTGTGTGTGTGTGTGTGTGTGTGTGTGTGTGTGTGTGAGACTTAGGGTGTGTTGGAAAGAAAGTGAATATGTAAAGTTAAGCCCAAAAAATAAACCTTTATAGGCACAACTGGCCTTTCCGGACAAAAAAAAAAGAAAAAAAAAGAAGGAATGGCTTGAGCCAATCAGAGTGGACGGAAACTGGTTCCCCCGCCCTCAGTGCAGAAATGGGGTGAATGGAGAGTGATTCTTATTCAAATGCAGCTGTCACTCTGAAAGCCACTGTTTGAAAGGGGGAGCCGGTCTCCAGGCTGACGGAATGCACTGAACCATTCTTTAGGGGGGCGTTGAGCTGGTTAAGGGGTACAGAGGGGAGGGCAGTGATGCTTTGGCTTTCTCTGACCACACACACCCTCTTCCCTTCCAATACAAGATGCAGTCTGAACTCACAGAAAGAAAAACTTGAAAGAGATGCTGAGCTGAACTGATACTGAACTTGTTATCTTGGTGACCCGTTTAAATCAGTGTTTAAACAGTGGTCAATACACTAAATTCTGAATGAAATGCTTACGTCGCTAACACAAATTCATTATTATAGAGATCAATATTAATGTATAACATATTAAAAGACTACTTACACATTCGCACAGTAAATAAAGAGACTAAACTGGCACTGGTCTGTAAAGTTCAGTTAGCAGCTTACTCTATCATGTAGAGACGCAGCTTTTAAGACGGCAGCTAAATGACTTAATCTGCAAACATCAGTAGAGAGAAGGCCAACCTGACCACATGAAGACAAAGACTACAAATTTGCACCCAGGCTGCGGATGAGTGACTCATGAACAAGTGCCGATGGGTGTGAAATGTGAGAGTGGAATGCCACCTCACCATCTCAATTGCTTTGTTGTGATGGTTATTGGTAACTTATTGAACATGTCTAAGGAAAAATGTACTATTTGTACTGAAGTAAATACTTCGACACCAACATTACATGAATGAACTGAAGTATTTGACTCACTCCTTATCATATCAGAAAAAAATAGATATATGCTTAGGGCTCCTCAGTCAGATAAAAGCCCTCAGCAAACATGAAACAAGGCAGGTACAGCATACTTCTGATATCTCAGTCTATGAGTTTAAGAGAGATTTAACCTGGGAATAGGTAAATCATCTAAGCTAAATATTTCAAACTGAGGAACCATGTAATGTTATAGCAGGACTGAATCAGCTCATTTGCATTTAAAGGGACACATGCAAAAGACACGTTTTTGCTCACCCTCAAAAGGGTCAAAACATTCAGACTTAAAAAAAAAATATATCAGGAAACAATGTAACAAACACAAAGTTCAATTTAATTTCCCTTTCTCAACTAAAAAGCATTTATGCTAACTGAAGGGCATGTGCCACTTGCAATGTCATCTGCAGGACTGGTTATTAATTTTAAAACACTTACTAGATCTGACAATCTATAAAAGTCTGCATGACACTATAGAACCAGCCTTGTTCAAAAGAGCTGACAAATATATACGCGCACACACAACTATAGGGGATATGAATCATAAATATATCTGATTTAACTGCTTTCCATGAAGCCATACAGGCATCACTACAGATATTTTAGTTGAATACTGTTGCATTTGTGGGAGAGATTAAAATTGCCTCAACTAATGAACTGAGTTTGGGATGGGACGACGATCAGTTTGTGCAACCAACAATAATGGTGCTGGAAGCCATCCATCTTCAAACTGGAGGAAAAACTGTTCAATACACCCCTCCAACAATAATTTTATCACATGGTAGGATGAATATAAAAACATGACTGGGGTTAATATGAGAGACGTGTACAGACAAAGTTCAAACCCAAGCATGCTTCCCCACATATTAGGCACAACAAGATTACACCAGCAGTATTTCTGATTATGCTCAACAAGTTGACACATCTGATGTGCATAGTATATTACCACAGCACCACTTTACACCAGGCTGAGATGAAATCAGCTGAAAATACCTTGAGCTTTGGCCTTGTGGTTATCAACCTTCAAAAATTAATCACATAATCACATTTCTGTACAAAGGATATTGAATCTTAAGGCAGAACAGCACGCTCTGTCTGGCTCCTGTACCTGGTTTTTAAAACCATTTATTACCAAGGTTATTCTCTAACCAGACAACCTGAGTGCTCTCACGTGAGCTCACTTCCTCTGGCCTCAGGCTTTTCCGGAGTAAGACCAAACAGTAGCCAAATGTAAACTTAAAACCTGTGCTCACCTTCAGATTCAGTCCCAGAGATATTGCAGTTCCTAACACTTCCTTTTTCCATTGAACACACACACAACACTCATTTGAGTGGTGGTCAATCTCAATCCAAATCAATCAATCAATTAATTAGCTAAAAATTCTGTTGGTTATGCTGATTAAATCTTTTACTTGTTTCTATCTCAGGATGCATATCCTAGAGTAACTACAGTTTGGGCCAATTCCAGTTCTTGTTGCTTGAAACTCATATATTTTTTCCCATAAACACAATGCAAAAGTTGCTCTTTCTCATACAACAAAAAAGCATGCTGATAAGAATCCCCCATCAGTCTCCCTGACAGGGTTTAATGTATTAGTGCAACAATCACATCAGTGTTGGCTAAACATAAGAGGGAATCATTGGAAGACTGTGCAAATACCTGATAATGTCTCCTAGTGCCATAGAAAACAAAGCTATTCATGACTTAATCAATTTTTTCTAAACAGACTAGCTTCAGGGGACAATGAAAGTTAATAATAGTTCCATTGAAAAAATACAGAAGCTTTAGTATTATTAACTATGCATATTTATGTTCTTGTTATCCATTAATCAATACATTCCAGAAAACTGAGATCCCTATAGTGCACACAAAGCTGTGCCTTCATGTAACAATCTAGCAGTACGTTTCTTTCATTTCGCGCAGGATGACAAGAAACCTGAGGCCTCATCATAGTTCTGAGGAGATACTCTATGTTCATGATCAAAGAACCAATTACATGTTAAAGAATTCCTTATGTTGAACATGATGATCACCTTTGAACTTCCAAGGAATGAGAGATTGAGAAAAAGACCAGGTCTCCCTCAGAGGGTCATTCCAAAATGTTCAGTAGAGTGACAAGTGATGTTGCAGAACTATACAATTCCCAGCATTCTTGTCAGAATGCCATGAGAGCTACAGTACATTACTCCACACGCATGAGACGATTCACAAAGGCCCTGGCACATTTAATCACAACATGTAAGATTTATGAAGTCATAATTCCATGACAACATGTCTGATCGATGATAGAGTAGTTGAAAGGGTAACACTTTCGAATTGCTTATTAGCTTGCGTATTATTAATATATTGGCTGTTTATTAGCACCTTTAGCACAAATATTAATCCTTTATTCTGCATGACCATATTGTACATCCATTAATCCTAACCAATACCTAAACTTCAACCACTACAACAACTGCCATACTTGACTAAGCAGTAAATTAGGAGTTTAATGGGGCAAAAGTCATAGTTAAAGGGATAACCTCCACTTTTTTTGGAAATAGGCTCATTTTACAACTCCCCTAGAGTTAAACAGTTGGGTTTTACCATTTTCGAATCCATTCAGCCGATTTTCTGATATTTAAAAGAATATCAGTAACCAGGTAGTTTCTGGTCTCATTGACTACCATAGTATATTTTTTTTCCTACTATGGAAGTCAATGAGACCAGAAACGGTGTGGTTACCGATATTCTTCTAAATATCAGAAAATCGGCTGAATGGATTCGAAAACGGTAAAACTCAACAGTTTAACTCTGAGGGAGTTGTAAAATGAGCCTATTTCCAAAAAAAGTGGAGTATCCCTTTAATAGTGAATCTGTGTTCCCCAAATTGAAACCAATACACGATTTTCTATATTAAAATTTCAAGGATTTTTTAATTAAGTAAACATTACTATTTATCAAAAAATAGTCATTTGTTAAATATTTGTAATTTCTGTTGAGTAATTGTTCATGTTCATGTTTTAGAGGGCTTAGGAATTACATTGGTTGCTGAATTGAGTCAAAATAAAGTTTTTTTGTTGTTGTTTTTAGTACATGGAACCAAATAGCTAATTTTTTTCACTACAACATGCTATGCAACAGATGGTGATGGCAACACACATCAATATATTCACTATGCTTGTAATAATGGCATTGTGGCTCATAGCAATTCACTAAAAACATCAAAAAACAGAGCAGAGACTTGCCAATCATTATGTCTTATACGCAGGACTTTAGATCCATCATCATTTCATTATTTCTGACAGTAAAGAATACCTCAACTGACTGATGAGACTGCTCATTTGCTGCTTCAAAAACCTGAAATTCCCAAGCAATCAGGACTGACGTTTTAAATAAGGCTCCAGAGAGAATGAACGGCCAGCGGAGCTATCATGAGAGACAGAAAGGCAGAATATTGACAGCTTTTCCAACAGCTGCGAGGAATTATCGCAGAGACGTAATCTAGCATTTCCAAAACATGTGTTTAAACTAATCTCAAGAGTATCTGTGTTTGGGAAGGAGGATTTGCAGGTGGGCATTGCTAGGCACAACTAGTAGGTCTATATTCGTTAACATTCATTTTCATTTCAATTGCTCGATCGGTGTAGTTACCAGCATCTACCAGCTAACAGGGTCTGAAGAACCTCATTTCCTCTTAGAAGTATAAGACTCATGGAACTCTTTAAACACTTCACTGTCACCCACAGCAATGAGGCTAAAGGTCAAAAGAAAGCTGATTAAAGCTATACTCAGAAAAAGGGATAATTTCCAAGCTTTATGACTCTGTGCCTCTGTGTCTAACTGTTAGCTATATAAAGGGTTAGTTCATCCAAAAAAACTCACCTTCATATCATTCTAAACCCATTAGACACACGACTTTCTATGGAGGGACAGAAAGATCTTCATTTGTGTTCCAAAGATGGATGGATGGATGAATGAGGCATTTATATAGAGCTTTCATACTACTGTACACCCAATGCGCTTTACAATCATGTCAGGGGTCTCTTCTCAACCACCACCAGTGATGATGAACGAAAGTCTTTTGGGTTTGGAACGACATGAGGGGGAGCAATTAATTACAGAATTTTCATTTGAATTTTCATTTGTACATTTCATATGCCTGTCCAAGAAATTCTGTAATCAGCAGCAGAGCCTGCATGGAAAGCTCTGACAAATGAAATGTGAAACACTGCAAAAGAGCAAAAACATTCAGATCTTTGGGAATGTGAAGAGTGTAAATAATCAGTCTTTACTGATACGGACAAGTCACTTCAAGGTCAATACCACACTGATGTGTCTGAGGTCTCAGTGGTTTATAAAATTTTAGAATGAAAATAAAATAATTACATTCACTACATCATTACGTGAGATCACACTCATTAACTCCAATAATAATGCTGACTTCACAAGCAAATGACAGCTATCACAGTGACGAACACATTCTGTGAAAAGACTGAATTGAACACCTGGAAAATTAAAGGGATATTTCAACCAAAAAAACAAAAAAAAATCTGTCATTATTTCCAGAATACGCAAGAAGAAATTTTGAATGTCGGTAACCAAACAGTTTTGGTGAATTTCATTATATGGACAAACAAACAAATAAATAAACAAACACTGAGACTGTTCCACAGAGGAGGAAACTCATACAGGTTTAGAAAGGACACAAGGGCAAGGCTACTGTAAATCACGACAAATTTTTTTTTTTACTATCCTTTAAAGGAAGAAGAAAGTGATTTGAGATCTTCTTACATTCAGAAGAAATTGTGGAGGAAAATGTTTGGCAACATGGAAGGTCTCTATATGTAATGAGCTGAAGAATTCCCAAGAGTGCAAGTAGGATTCTGTTTACAGTTTAACAGGCTATATTATAATTTATAGTGTACAGATGTAGTGTATATACACTACATTTATATTATAATCGATGACATGCACTCTGAAACTTCATGACTTTTTTGGAAACCAATTAGAAACAAAAATTCAACTTGACCACATACATCAAATTTCAATCAAACAACTTTGTATAACGTTACAATAATTAGGCTACATTTGGAGTCTAGAGACTCCAGAAATGATATGTGTACGTTTAAATGCTTTGTTGTTAGTAAACTAAGATACAATATGTTTGAAGCTGATGTACACACTGTACTTTTGAATTCGTGTAGCAGTTCAATATCTGAATTTCCTTTATTTCATCTTTCTGGAAAATGTCAACAGACCGCAGGGGGGTGTGGATAATCCCTATTCATAGCTAGACTACTGAAATGATTCTCGTGAGAGATCTCCATCTACAGTCACACATGACGTATTATTTATCTCTCTTCCTCTGTCTGAGTATGTTATTCCTTTTCAATCCAAAGAGAAATAGTTTTCAAAACAGATAGAGTGATGGAGACGCTTTCACAAAAATTAATCTCATAACACATCATAAGTAAGATCTATCTCTCAGTGACAGGACATGAAACATATGTATTAAAACCAAAGAAACAGCAGAAACCGTGCAGCATTGCACTTGAAATGAAAAGTTCATAAACTATGGAGCTGCCTAGTTTCGACCATAGGCTGAGTTAGACTGCACCTTTTAAACATTTTAAAATAAGACTATAAGCTGTTAAAGTGCCTGTAAATCAATTAAAGTACAAAGTTAGAATGTAGTTTTTAACTCTTACCTGTGTATTGACTACCATACGCAGCAGCGCTCCTTTCACGAGCTGCTCGTCCACCTGTTCACATGCACAGTTCAGTGCAGAAGGAGGAGCCCACGCGGGTTTTCCCTCTCTCTCGATTATAAACAGGCAAGAGTGTTTGTATGGCGACGTCATGACTTGTGTTTTTAAATAATCCTCGAATGACAAGTTTTAGTTTAACGTATGCCTACTACACCCATGCATTTGTAACTTGAGGGTGACATGGGGTGGTCTGAAAAAATGAGGCGAAGTATAGGCTACTGTAGGCTATATTCCTAATCCACGTTCATGTTCCAGATCTTTTTGACATTTAAACGGTTTCCAGGTTTGAGTCTTATTTTATCATTTACTCTATCAACGAGAAAACGATATTCGGCTGATACACCGCAAGTTTATTGAGATGACGTATTTATTCGTAATTTTTATGTAATTTCAAGATCTTTTCTATTCGGAAATGACCAAAAGGGATCATTTCAAAGAGGGAGTTGCTTAATTTCCCATTTCCAATACTAGATTGACGCCTTCACACAGTTCTCACCTGTATTTGTTAGCAAGTATCCCAAGTATTCCATCATGCACGGATGTTGCTTTATTGCAAACCTTCCCATCTGAGATGAAACATTTAGGTTTCAGTGTAATGCAGGTTAAGAGACATGAAAAGAGACAGGTTAAGGTTATGAACAGGTTAAGAGACTTCTGTTAAGAGACAGGTTAAGGTTATGAACATGAGGCATCTTCGATTAGATGTGATGGAAAAACTATTCTAAACAAATAATTCAGTATAATTGATAAATGCATTAACATAATATTGCAGTCAGAGGATTCATGCATTGCAAATTCAGAGCTTTCTTCCTGTAAGGTGAACACCTGAAGATTGTCTTGCTGAGATATATACATGAGTGAGGCATATGGGAGATAAGGTCATGCAAAATTTTAAAAGAAAAGTCTGTCAAAGTTGTGTATTCAGATCTTTAATATAGGCCTACCAATTGGAAGGTTCCAGGTTCCATGCTGATTTTTGCTGATTTTCTAAATAAGGGGTTAGTTAGGCACAGTCTAATAGCTGTGAGAATAAGGGCAGTGAGTAGATGGTGAATGATGCATGAACAGCAGGGGTCAGGGGTCATCTAGAGAGCAAAGTGTAGTATATTCAACAATGTTTTATCTATAATTTAAGGGTTTCAGAATCTGAAGCATTAGTGTTTCAGCCGGTGGGTCGAAAGTGATAGATTCACAGGGGCAATATGCTAAGTGCAACAACATATAATTGTGCATAATTAAGTTAGATATCAATTGAACTGAACAAGGTTTAAGAGAAAATGACCTAGCTGACAATATATACAGGTTAAAATATTGTTTTTACATTGTGTTGCCTTATTAAAATCTAGGTCCTGAAGCAAAACCAGTTGAAACCCACTGTATAGAGAATAAGAATTGTTTCAGTACTGAGACTAAAAGACAAATTTACAATCTGCTGCCCTCCTATGGTAGTGATGGGCAAGTACAAAGCCTACATTACCTGACTCATGTATCAAGCCTGTGCAAGTCTCTATTGGGACAATAGAGATTGAATAAGTTCTGGTACAAGGCTGTAATTTAGTTATACAGTTTGTCTACTGTATGTCATTGCTCAACTGAGTCATATCCCAACTTTCCATACCATTTGTTTCACTTCATGTGCTTATTTGGTGGATTTGGCATTATGGGAAAAAATCACTTCAGTCCATTATTTATCTCATAGTCAAAAAGAGGGTTGTGTTGTAGAAGGAGGGCAGAAAAGGCTTGGTTATGCTGAGCACAGTGGAACATGTATTTCACCCCTGCTAGACGCATCAGATGGTCCTTTTTTATCAGTGTCTTCCAGTCTGTCACCCTTCTTGCAATCTGTTGGATAAGAGCAAAGTATAACGTTCCTGGTTGTCTCTTAGGAAAGACACATTTTTGAGATTTCAGAGTTGACTATTTTAGTTGGGTGTAAGAGAAAATCTGGAGTTGACCTCATTAGTGACCACCATTGAGGGCTCAGTGTTTGATTCTTGCAGTATCTGTGTAGTGCGTTGTCTCAGAGCATCCCACAGGGCAACTGCACTCATGTCATCTAATAACAGAGACCACACTTAATTATCTTAAATGTTTCATTTTACGATTTCTTTTTTTTTTCTTCAAATTTTTATTTACTACATTTCAAAAGTTCGAGGTCTTTAAGATTTGGTGTTGTTTTTAAAATTAATACTATTATTCCAAAGGATGCATTACACTGATCAAAAATTGACAGTATACATTTGTAATGTTACAAAAGATTTCTTTTTCAAATAAATACTGTTATTCTGAACTTTCTATTCATCAAAGAATACTGAATGAAATGTATCATATAGTGTCCACAAAATATTAAGCTGCACAACTGTTTTCAACACAGACAACAATAATTCAATAAATCTAACAATAAGAAATGTTTATTTGCAACGCATTCTCATCCCAAGGCGACGTCGAACTGACCATTTTGACCATGCTTCAATATCTCACGCTTTAGGCCCCCTTTAGCGTCAGTTTTATGACGCGATCCTAGGGCGTCATATAACTGACGCTAAAGGTAAAGCGTCAGTAAGCTAGATGACGCGGTTAGGTTTAGGTCTGGGGTAGGGTTAGGGTTAGATGCGATCCTAGGGCGTCATGGAACCGACGCTAAAGGGTGCCTAAAACGTTGGATATTGAAGCATGGTCAAAATGCTTCCAAATCAGGATATTAGATTGATTTCTGAAAGATCATATGACTCAAGACTGGAGTAATGATGCTGGAAATTCAGCTTTGCCATAACAGGAATTTAAAATATTTAAAATAAAACCAGTTGTATTCATATTTCACAATGTGTATATTTTATCAAATAGATGCAACCTGGTAGAGACTTCTTTCAAAAACATTAAAAATCATACAGACCATAAACAGTGGTACAATCATAATCAAGTTTGCAAAATGATCTTATTGCATGTAATGTATACCCAATACATTCACTTCTTATACTGTACAGTTATCCATAGAAACAAAAATGTCAATAGGCTACCTTGCATGTCATCTTTTAGCTGGGAAAACCAAGGAGGTATTTCCTTTAAACAATAGGAAGGGCTGAGGAAATACTCTGCAGTCGGTTCATCAAACAAACTGAAAGACAAATTACCAGCTGATCAAATAGTTAAAACAGCCAATCTGAAAATGTGCTTCTTCAACTCACACTGTATATCAAGTAGCCGTTACTCCGTCCACCAAAAAAACACATACCTGATGAGGTATTGCTTGCATTTTAGATCGCATTCATCCTGGATCAGTTTATTTTCCGCCACTTGTTCCATCATTCTAAAGGCGTTTTGACAGCACAACTGTGAGCAGACAAAGGATGTTACTTTTTGACAAAAAAAAAATCAAATACTCTACCTTGCCTCTTATATACCTTGCTTATGTAAAATTGCCAAAAATGTAAGAAAAGCCTAAAAATTCAGGTGCAAATAAGTAATTCATGAAATCACCCAGATCTTAGACTTTAGCAGCACAAATGCAAAAATAGACATTCTCACCTGTATTTATCCTGTCTTCATCTGTGACTTTCTCCTTGTACTCTTAGAAACACTGGGAGTGATATCCAGCTGACTGATTCCAGATCAGATTGAGACAGATCTGGGTAGAGCCGTGCCACTCAGTTCAGGCAGCGGGTTGGTTGTGACATCCATGGAGATCCGGTAACTCAGGAGACAGAAAGCACCTGATTCCTCTCAGGAATGAGGACAAACAGAGTCCCATCCCTTCTGACACTTGCCATTGCTGTCCAGGGATTGTAGGATAGTATGTGTTGGCCCAGAGATGATGTGTTTAATGATTGACTCTAGACCTGCGGGTCCAAACATGTCCTGTTAATCCTAAAGCTGATGAGCGAAAAATGAAAAGAAACTGACAAGACAAAGTATGTTAAACACTCTTAGAAAAAAGGTACAAAACCTGTCACTGGGGCTGTAGCCTTTCAAGAGATACACCTTTGTGCCTAAAAAGTGCATATTAGTATCTTAGTACCCTACCTGTGACAGCTTTCTTTTTTTTATTTCTGTCCGAATGGACAATCTGTAGATTTTAAACACTAATGAATTCTGTACTCATAATAAAAATAGCATATTATGATAATCTTAAAATCATATACTGTATGAAAGTTGTGAGCACATATAGATTTCAGTCGCCTGTCTATTAAATTGAATGAAACATAGTAATGAAAAAAGCGTAAAACTTTCAACACACTAAAAATAAGAGTTTATAATCAGAATGGAAATTAACAATCAGAATTTTGATTCTGAGCTCATCTTAAAATGATGAACTCTTATTTTGTAAATTAACACTGTGTGTATGAATTAAAAGGTTTCTTGACAAAAAGTGACCATGTTCTTAGTATGAAAGTAAATAATGTTCCAACGCATTCTCATCCTACAGCGTCATATAGTGACGCTTTTGAAATTTCGTCTAAATCCAACGCAATGGCGTTACCTGACCCCTTCAATACTTATGCTACTTAGATTTTTCTTTCTTTTTTTTAAATTTCATTTTCACGATAAAAAACAAAAAAAAGCTTATTTCTCCACTAGAATAAATTTTAAATTATTAGAATGTTAAGTGTTAGAAACCTTGGTTCATTTCCAACCTCCAGCGGTTTTTAGGTTTACAACTTTTAACTTCACCTCAACTATTTCCTGTCCTTTCACCAGCTACAAAGTGTTCTTTGGTGTGCTCATATGAAGCGGACGCCATACCTTTCAGCACGACCGATTTCAAATGGTGCTAGAAAACTCCAGTCCACTCTGAACACCAGAGGAAATCAGTCATGCTACAAAAGGTAGATGCAGGGTGGGGTACTGTTTTGGTGTGGCACTATTAAATAAGCTTTAAATGAATAGCACAAATGCATTAAAAGGTGAAAACCCAATCAAATGCCAATGTCACTCATTTGAAACACATGTCCTCTATGAGAGTCTTAGTCTCATTTACTCATACTGATTTATGGATTGCTTCCAGAGGACCTTTCCATAGATTGGATGTAGATTGTTTTTTTGTGGTTCGTGTGCCTCTGTGGTAATTGGAGGGCCCCTCTGAAGGACGCTGCAGTGTGTCATAGCAGCTTAGCCATGGACCATCAGTGCTGAAAAGAGAGGACCTCCCAGAATCAGCATGGCAGCGGATCTGTGTGAGACAAGGGAAAAAAACAGCACACACACACACATTTGTTTTAATTTAATTGCTTTTATCATACACTTTTGTAAATTTCACAGAATTTTGAAACATAAAATTTAAAAAACATCCTTCAGTCACTCAATTTTAAATAAATAGATATAGACACTTAAAGGGGCCATTCACCCAAAAAAATTTTTTTTACTCGCTCTCATGTTTTTCTAGACCAGTCCCGTGTTATTATTTAGTGGATCACAAACTAAGATTTTTTTTTAATTATTGTCACAATGCTCATTGTCATTAATGACATGGGCATTGGCTGTCACTTATACAACTCGCACTATATTCCAAGTCTTCTGGTGCCATACAATAGCTTTGAAAAATCAATTGAAATTTAAGTCATTATTCACTAAATCATTATTCATTATTCACCAAAAAACAGCTCAAGAATGTGTTTTAGGGTTTCGTGATCCTTTTAAGTTTAGCCCTGAGGCTAATGAGCTGCGTTTATGTCAATTTAAGTTGAATGTAGCCACACCTGTACTTAACCAGACAGATTTGAAAAGAAAAGACAATTTGATTAAAGACACACCTGTTGTGTGTACACAAATCTCTACATGTTTGCAGCCATAAAAATAATTGCATTAAACCATTCTATACTGTATATTGATGTTTGAGAAAAAGAAATTCATAAAAGCCATACATTTCCAAAGTTATAGTGCTATTTGTGAGAAGAAATGATGAAATGAAATGATAGCACAAGGATGTGTGAAAATGTTTTGTGTGTACCAATGGAATTAAAAACATTATTTCAAGCTTATCCCTTTGAATCATGCTAGATAGGAAAGTAGATAGTTTTGAACAATGGCTGGTTATGTATTTTCTCAAATATGTATTTTGGATCATATTTAACCCAACAAAAAGCTATGGACTGCAGCTTTAAATTAGGTGTCTTTAACTTCTATGAACTAACATTTAAATTGATCATTTGATACAATCCATGTTTTTACATTTTACTTATATTTAAAGCTACACTGTGTGATTTTTACCGCCATCTAGCGGTGAAAAGGTATATGACCATCCAGTGAATATTACTTTCTGTTCCTCTCAATTCCGATTTCGTTTTAACTCCTACGGTGGCCAATGTAGTCCAAGATTAACATGGCTTCCAGTTCGACCTCGTCCTTGATTGTTAACTCAAAGGTAAACGCGAAAGGCAAAGCTTGAATTAACGGGTATGTCCCTCTTTGGCTAATGTGCTTTCAAGATGGAGGGGCAATATGGCGACCGACATTAGAACCCCTTACCTGTATGTATTTTCAATGGCATATTATACACTCACGAGAATACTTTATTACTTGAAAGAAGTAAATATACATTAATGAGCACATGTATTTTTGAAAGAACTAAGTGTTTTTAGCTAAGAATAAACTAAAAGAGTTACACAGTATAGCTTTAAAACACCTGCATTCAAATACAGCTATAATTAATTACTGTAATTCCATCAGTAATTACACTATTGACCCTCACCCTTCCCGTAAACCTTAAATACTTGGCACAAATTTGGAATTAATTGCCTACGATGCAGAACAGCTTTGCTTTTTTTTACAGTAATTTGTTGCATTATCATTGGAAATTACTTTGCATTGATTTGACAATAACTAGAAATATTACTGTTAAGTCTCATACAATCCTGGCTTTTTTTTTTAATGATGAGGGGAGATTGTGGACTCGTCTGGCTAGTCTGTCTAACGTGAACTAGGTCAATGCTCTTTTCTGTACTGGAAACCATTGCTGCTTGCCTGGGTCCTTCACGTGCACTCAGTAACCAAGACTCAAACAGATATGAACTGACTTGCCCACTGGCACGCCCATATCAGTAATTACCAGGGCTTCTCGATTATAAAATGCAGGCTGGATCAAACACCAGCCAGAGGGCGTGACCTCTAGGAGAGCACATGGCGATGGGATATGACCACACATCCATGTGGGTTCAAAATTAGGGCGTCACACAGAGGATTTAGTGTAAAACCAATACAGCAGTTTTGATTATGGATTACTGTAATTGACCTGAAAGTCATGTTGGGTATCAAGTGTTTAGCATATTATTTGAGTCACAATATTTATTGTAACCAATACATTGAATATATTGTAACCAATAAATATTAGCTTAAGTTAACGAGAACTTTATTTTATTTAACATACTTAAATAATATTATGTATCGTGAAAAGGAATAGATATAGTTTCTTATTTACAGAATTAATATCGTTTTCTTCAATGTAACACTCATCTAGTCTAGGGGAAGACATTTGAACTGCAGCAGAAAGTCAATGTAATTTATATATATATATATATATATATATATATATATAGAGAGAGAGAGAGAGAGAGAGAGAGAGATAGAGAGAGAGAGAGATTCGTCAACTTACAAGCTATTGAAAAGTCTTACCTTTCGATAAAGTGCAGGAAAAGAGAATTCTTGTAAATCTCTTTCATCTCAGGACATCCCAAAAATGGTACTCAGCCAGTGTGTGGGGTGACCATGTGCTCATCCTTCATCAGCAGCATTGTGATGCAGTATTGGCGTGTGTGTGTGTGTGTGTGTGAGAGAGTGAGTAAGAAAGAGGAAGTGAGGATGAGTGAAATAAATGAAACAATGGTGCTGTTTTTAAGACAAACAAGGTTAAAAATGAGTCAAAAAAAGAAAAATACCTCAACGAATAAAAACAAAGGAAAATCTGAATGAAGAACAGCATGTGAGGATGGAGTGGATGAGAGATGAGAAGCTAAGAGAAGCATGGAGGCTTGTCTGTCTGGAAACAGTCTCTCAGACAGACTTGACATCCCCCCCGCCCATGCCCCCCAAACTGCTGGCTTTGAAAACACCCCTACACCCACCAAACACCCCTCCCTTCTCTCCCTACCCTCACCAACAGCCATGGCAATACCACAAAACAGCCTTTATGGGGAGAATTTCACATTTTTATGTTGCACTTTTAATACTGTTAATGAACAAACTGTTTTAGCTCAGAGTCTATTGTTAACATGCAACGTGTTTTTAGGTCTGTTGTCTCATGACCCAGTGCATGTGAGGTGAATATGAGCCAGGGTGCCCTCTAAAGGCAATGACTATATATTTGCAGAATGGAACTCATATGAGAGCATGTGATTATACTGTAAAAAAAAAATATTTTCAAGATTTGTTATCACAAATTTTTTTTCTTTTGTCAAATCAATTTAAATAATTTATTTAGTTGAGATAACTTATTATTTTGAGTTTCTGATGATTAAATCAATCTCCTTCATTGTATTAACCCACTTTTTCCAGTTAAATCAACTTAAAATTTTAAGGCAACCAGGTTACTTAATTTTTTAAGTTAAACCAACACTATTTTTTACAGTGTACGCTTTCTACCTGCACAGTCTCATTTTTTGGTGTCAGTTAATATTACAGTATTGTCATGAGACACTGCACTCAAGATGGTCTAAATGTATCTGTGATTTGTGACACAGGTTCTTTGATAATTGTTGAATGAGAAAAAAAAATACGGTAACAAACAAAGATGTGTTGTTTATTTTGAACACATTTTTTTCTCCATGGAATTTTCATGATAAAATGTTACATTTAAAAGGATAGTTTACCCAAAGTTGAAAATTGACCCTCACATCATTACAAACCTTTCTAAATTTCTTCCTTGCATGGAAAAACAAGAGAATATTTATGTGCCAAATCTAAATTTGTGCAGTTAAATGAATACTTTGCGAGCAGAAAGGTTGCCTGCACAGTGTTTTGTTGAACACAAAATTTGAACTGTAGCACGCAGACACATTTTCTTTGCTAACTTACATATCTGTGAGAAAGGTATATTCATGTTTTCTATTTAATGCCCGCCATCAAGTGAAACCACCAGTTTGCCTGCACAGTCCAACCTTTCTGCTCGCAAAGTGCAATCTGCTGCAGGAAGTGATTCCGAGCCTCGTCCTCCCCTTGATCCTGCTGCAGTGCAGTACGTAGGTAGAGCATGTCCTGTGACATGCTGAGCTCAGGGATTCCCGTGAGAAGCATTAGAGAGAAGAGTGTGACAAGAAGGCGAGACTGAGACCGGAGGGATAGATAGGCATTGATACAGGTGTCCTAGAGAAAGAACAGATACTTGAGGCTGCGGCATTTTGTTGAAGTCACGTGTCTGAGTGATTGAACACACAAATTGTTTTGTTTTTTACTTGTTACTCTGTCACTAATGGAGATAGAACATACCATAAATCTCTTGAAGTAAAGGCTGGGGCGGCCTTTCACCCTGCCCATAACGTACAGGAAGTCGGGGGTGAGGACAAAGGGCACCCTTTCTCTGTTCACCCCCATGAAGCTTTTAGTGTTGCCCAAGATGTGGCCAAAATCAATGTGAAACAAGTTGCCTGAGAAGAACAGATGACTTGTTAGATTCTCTGTAGACACATTCATTGGTAAAACATTAGTACATCTATTCATGCCCATGTTCTGTTCTCACTAATATAATATTTCTATAATACTCTAGGCATTTTGGATGGATGGCAGATGATTGAAGTTTTTCAAAGATAATTTTCTTGTAATATGTTTGTCTGCATAGTTTACTGGTTTTACAGATGTAAAAAAAAATTACATCATACAAAATGGCTTTTTTTTCTTAAATGGCAAATGACAACATTGACTTGTTCTTTTACCTTGATCAGTGATCATAATGTTGTCGTTGTGCCGATCCCCTATACCCAGCACATATGTGGCCACACAGTACCCGGCACACGAGTTCACAAACTTCTCCATAGCTTGAAAGTGCTGTTGCACCAAAGTACAAGACATAACGAAGAGAATCATCAGATATATACTTATCAGACTGTAGAGACATCTCAGATCTGGTGGAAGGCACTAGACTGAGAGAGGGAGGCTCACGTAAGATAGAATTAGTACACTATATCTGCTTACTTTTTCCTGTAATGGGCACTTCTTCTGAAGCCAGTCATACAAGGCATTGTTTTTGAAAGCTCCTGCCATACCTCCCTGACTCTTCTGAACTGAGGCAATAGTGATCGCATTTCGCACAATCTCAATCATTCCTGAGTCAAAGACAGATAAATGTCAGCTAAATGTCAAACAACAGTCACTTTTACATTTTTTGCTTTGATGTCAATATTTGTTCATTTTATAAGTGCTTTCACTGTGGGTTTTATTGCTATTATAAGTACAAGAGTAAGACTGACCATTACCTATGTTATATCCTGTTGAAATGCATCCATAAGGCACCAGGTTTAAGTCTAAACCCTTTTCTTGCCAAATTGAGTCCATGACCACGAGAGTCTGAAAAAACAACATTTTGTTTGAAGATGCTAGTGAAAATCAGTCTGTTATTTTGGAATAGTTGCTAGTTTACCTGGATAATGAGCATGTCCTGTCGGAGGTCATCTCCATGCTTAAAGATGATGCCGACAGGAGGAGAGTCTGGAGCTTCTGACTTTAGGCAGGAGAACTCAAGCCAGAGTGGCTTTTTCTTAGAGGCCATCACCTTACAGTCTTTCAGCTATGTGAAGCATAGTTTGAGTTAAAAAAAAAAAATAAAATTATGTCATCATAGACTCACCCTCATGTCATTCCAAACCTGTATGACTTTCTTCTGACAAACACAAATGAAGACATTTTGAATAGTGTGTGAACTGGTTTTATCCAAACAATAAAAATAATTTTCAAAATATGTCACTGTGTTATGTTTGGAACGGCATGAAGATGAATGAATAATTAGAGAACGGTATATACTATATATTTAAGGGCTACTTTTTTTTTCAAATCAGTTTATGAAGGCCTACAAACTGTTTATGTTGGGAACAAGTTGCAGTTTGGCTGGGAGTAAATCAAACCCCCAACACAGAGAAGCTTATGTTTGCTATAAGTCTGCTACTGTATATAAAATATCTGATAACATTTTAATATTCAAGCTGGAAACTATATCAATAGGTAAATATGATCAACTCACTATGATACTTCCTGCTCTGACACGAGGATCAAAAGGCACCTGGAAGTCAGAGGGTAAATTGCACTCCTCTAACAACTCCTGCAGCTTCTGAGGAGCTGAGACATATACATGATATTGTAGATGAATATACAGTTTAAAGCACAAAAAGTACTGAGGGCACAGTTGTTTGTACTTTACCTGTTGATGGAAGGTCTGTCCTATCTGGGTACAGCAACTTTACAGCTAGAGCCACATTGTGCAGACAATTGACAACTTGTACTTGACGCTGGAATTCAGTCAGCATTGCCTCTCCACAGCCCAATAGGTATGCCTCCAGGATAACCGCCATACGCTGGCGGAAAAATGGGCATCCTGCCACCTCACTTCGCAAATACCAGAAAAAGAAGTGTCCGATCCGTCTGCTCTGTGTTCCAGGAAATGGCAACAGTACATGAAGTTAACTTAATCTTTTGACTGGTGAAATGGTGTAATGTCTTATTGGTGAAAATTATAAAGATGTGAAACATTGTCTAATGAAGTATGCATAGCTGGAAACATATGTCTCACCCTTAGTGCTCTTTTGAGAAGGAATCTTGCCAGACAGCTATCGTGGTATGGCTCGACTTTAAGGGTCTACAGAAAATAGCATGCTTTTTTGGAACTCACAGTTGGAGAAAGACCCAAGAAAGAGCTCTTGGCTCATTACTTTGACACTTGAATTATTGTATAGGTCAGTATTCTTTTATAACAGTTTACCTGAACCAGCTGCAGAAGGTACTTAAGTACCTCATCATTGGATAGGATTTCTAATCTTTGAACTGCCAGACTTCTGACCTTCATGTCTGCGAAATCCACACTCAGGAGCTCAAGGGCCACAAACAGCTCTATGTCCTCTGGTTCCCAGTTACTCAACAGCCAGTGGACATCCTGAACCGCAGTTGGCATCATCCAGTCGACCGAGCGAAGAAACTGCGGTAAATTTGAGGCATAGTGGACACTTTCTTCTTTCAGTCTCCTGAGGCAACCTGTCTTTGTGAAGGGCATTGTTGCAGGAGCCTCATTGGATGGGGAAGAGAGTCTGGATTCTCCTGAAAGGTTCAGTGTTGAAGAGCCCGAGACAGGAGATGTACCACTAAAAGAGGAGTTCCTGCCACACGGCAGGACAACAGGAAAGCTGTACCGATCCAGCATGAAGGTAATTGCCATTGCTTTAGCTACATCAGGGTTTGTGGCAGTAGAAAGTTTTTCCGCCTCGTAAGTGAATGCCTCCTCGTCCCATTCTGGGAAAGACCACATATGCAGAGTGTGTGGACCTTTGGTAAGAAGGGATCTATGGTCAATCAACTGGAGGTTTACAAAGTAAAGTACTTGCCCTTTTCCCTTCTGGTAATCCGGTCCTTTAGACGAGTTCGACTTTGTGTCCTTGGTTGACGTGCCTTCTGTGGGACCAGCATTAATTGTGAGGCCTAATTTCGCTCCGTGAGGGATATCCCTGATCAGAATTTCAAATTCCAACCAGGTGTTCCAAAGCACTTCATCTGTAAACTCTTTTTGAGTTGAACAAACCGATGACACAATCTTTCTACCATATATTATGGTGGCTTCCACATGAACAAGTGGTGGCACCTTACTTGGTAGTTCTGGGATGTCAAACCCTAAGAGTTTAACCCTGAACTTCCTCTCACAGTCCCACAGAGAAATCATCACAATGTCCTCTACTTCCTTCCCTTTAAGGGAAAGTTCCTCGTGGGTGCTCGAGAGACCAGTGAGGCTGTCCACCAGAGGCCAGTACTCTCTACTTACTGTGTTATCTGGAAGGGATGTGACGGCAACCACTGAGAGATGAAGCTCCAGCGAGTTTTTAAGGCAGTGCCCGACCCAAAGATAATCTGAGAGCTTAAAGTCTCCACTCAAGAATTCCTCTCTGCCACACACCTTGAGGACATGATCACCAGACCATTCTTCGAATGACAGGCCCCCTTTTGGCAATGATTCCCATAAGATCTTGAGAAGATCACTGGGGGTATGTGTCAAGTCAGTTTTAATGGAAATGTTCGAACTATTGTAATAAAGAATCACTGAGAGTTTTCGCTGAAGGTAACCTTGCTGGTCGTTTGGTAGCACTGTGGAAGTTGTCCATGGTTCAGTGGCATAAGCTATAGGATCACGGTTTTTCAGTTCTTCCCTTCGCGGTGTGGCAAACTTTCTTCGGGTATAGCCTAGCTCACTTAAACGATTATTGTCTGAGGAGTCCAAATCATGGCCGATTAATTCATTCAGAATACCCTGGAAGGAAATTCTCTCCTCAGAGGTGGTTTTCTGAGCCAACACAGTGACGCAGACAGTCTGAAGACCATCAGTACCCTGAAACCAGGGTGCATCGAGAGTTCGCAATACCTGATAGTCGTCATAAATTTCGTACCACTCCTCCTTCTTGCGGTACAGCAGACTATATCGTTCTGGGTCCAGGAGTGCAAATGGCTCAAAAAATCTGTTATTCTCCTGTGCTAGCATACACAGGCGCACACGAAGCTGATGGACGCTGCATTGTGCTGGGAGTTTGATCTGAATAGGTTCCTGTCTGTCCAGTGACTGGAATACTTCCCTGGTCGGTAATTTACAAATAAATACAAGACTGTTATCGGAGCAAGGTTCCTGGTGCTGGTGTGCATACCATTTGTTCTCCATGGATGCTGGAAAGGAATAGAGTTAGCATGAGCATATTCAGCTAGAACTACTTTTATTTTAAAATTGTCTTTTCAAAACAGGAAGTGGCTTGTGCTTTTTGTGGTCCAGAAATTAATTATATCAACTGGCATCCTGGTTGGGATGAGGGGTAAGTTTGTTTCAAAGAAAATGGTGGACTGGTGCTTGCACTTGTTAAACTCTCTGTCATGATGCTAAGGTGCTTTGAAAGAGCAAAGGCCAGGGCTGTGAATACAACAACAATCACACTCGGGTGCGGACCAAACAAACATACCGAAACCCAACTGAAGAGGTGGACTACTAGCGGACTTTCCTGGTGTAAATATACCCTTAGAGTTTTGCTATGCAGTAACAACATTGATCTACTGTAGAAAGTTAACAAAAGTTGGGTTCAGAGAGAGTGACTTCTGTAATATGATGCACATGTTTTAGCTTGTTTTCATAAAATAAAATATTTAAAACCAGTTGTTGTTATCTTTACATTCCAACAATGTTGTTGGTAAATATTAGGGTTGCTTCCTTATTGCATTTCCCTATCTTTCTGAAGCTAAATATCTTATTTACTGCAAAAATAAGAAAAACCTTGGACCTTAAAAGTATTAACAAAATATTAAGTTATACTGTATATATAAGGAAGATGGCAACAAAAATTTTGCAACACACAAAGTGGTTCTGCCAGCCATTTAAGAAGAATCTATAAGTCATCTGTAAGTAGACTACTGTAAATTCCTCACAAAAAGTTTTAAAACTTTTAAAAAAATACCAACTAAATGTAAACTTCTGTTGCATTCAGTAAAATTGCACTTACCTATAGTCTCTGTGTGTTTGGTTTCAGGTCAGTTCCTGTGGCTTGTGTGCGAGTGTGTGAGGAACAGTTCAATTTCCCTTACTGTAATGCATCAACGTGAAGTGAATGACTGATTGCACAACGACTCATCACTTCCTCATTCTTTTGTCTTTGTGCACCTGGGAGGAAGAAAGTTTTAATCATTCTAGACTTGTTTTCGCTTGTTGGTTTCATTCAATTCAGAATTTATTTCCTATGACCAGATTATTTTTATGTATAGTGGGGAAGCTACCTTCCCTGATAATTCTATTTGAGTCGTAAGCCAATAGTAAGCTTTCATCATGGTGATATATAGCTGCGTTTACACTTGTCATTAACATGCAACCTGTATCCGGATGTTGTTCACATACGCAATGAAAAGACAAGTGTAAACGCGCTTTTAATCGGAATGTTATCCGATCAGCGTGTCCAGGTTCGGAGGTAGTCGAGGACGCATTGTGATAGGATCTCACAATGTAAAAGCAATCCAACCATCGTGTCTGCATTCACAGGTGGACGTCACCCAAAACCCGCCCACTGTATTAATATATAGAGCTGGCCACAACCTAACGCTTTTTGACCTTCTCCATTTTGTAAACCTATGGAGCTAAAAGCAAACTCCTGACATTGGACAAACTTGATTAATTCAGGTGTGCCTGATTATTGTTGTTGTGACTACTGAGGTCAGACACACCTGGATTAATCAGTTTGCCCAATAATGGCAGACAGGAAACAAGGAGCTGGCTGAAGTTCAGGAAGTAGTGGAGCTGTGCATAAAGCCAATTTCAATCATTATACCATTGTTCGGTTCACCTAGATAGATGCCGTGGGACAAAACATAAATGTTGCAGGCAGGAGAAAGTAACATAGAAAGTAGTTCAGAAAGTCAGTTATAACAATGTATAAAAATGTTCGGGTTTAAATCGGGCTCTGGCTCATAATTACAGTTAATGTGTCGGGCCGGGCCGGGCTCGGACACAACGGGCTCGGGTAACGTTAGGGTTGGGCTTGATTTTTGGGCCAGATCTAAGCTTTAAGTTGAACATGGACACTCCAATGTTTGGGTAAGATGATGACACACTCGATGAGCTGGCTGAGCAAGTTCAGCATCACTGAAGATTAAACATAAAAAAATAGCACTCTTTTATTATATTATTAGCTTGCTAATAGCTAATCACTTATTAGCCATCATGCTAGGTAAACTTAAGTTTTATATTTAATCTTCAGTGATGCTCTCTCAGATCATTTATTTTATTGCATGTAATAAAGATACAATCCTAGCTCCAAACATCTCCGGCACAGACACCACCGTCTCCGGCACGGAGTGTGTGGTGAATGATAGTGTACAACAAGGGAAAAAAGGAAAGGAAAGGGACGTGACATAGTATGGTGTTGCATACTTGGAATTCACCCATCCAAGTGCACACACACAGCAGTGAGTATTGAACGCAAACATACATGGAGCAGTGGGCACTCTAATTCACTCCGCCTATAATTTCTGCGGGTGCTGAGACTTTCTAACCATTAGGCCACAACTGCTGCTGTATTCACTAATATTAAAATGGATAATATATGGACAATTATCCCTTTTATCTTAAAATCCAGATCACAAAAGAATCAGCAGGGCTTTTGTTTGTTGATGTGTCTGTGCTATTTGTACACTCATTAGGATTTGGACACCATTTCCAACAGTTTATTAAGCACAGGTTCTACAACTGTACATTTCTGATGCATTTCAATAAGATTTTGAAGTTACATGCATCACATATTTGTATTACTTTGGACCAAATGATAATATCATACCTTTTAATTTCTACTCAAATTTAAAGTGGAAAGAATCCCCAATGTATTCATAATCCATAATTAAGCTTTTTTCATAGATAGCAACATTGAATGACTCAAGTTCACATTTTTGTCACAATAAATACAAACAAAAATATACTGTATGTACACACACAAATATAAATACACCTACATTCATATAAATAAATAAAATGTAATATATTGTATATACTGTATTCATTTATGAACTATTAGCCTCTGTGTCACGTTGTGGGTTTTGTTTTGCTTTGTGTATCACGTGTTTCCTTGTTTGTCATGTGATCCTACCATGTGTCTTGTCTTTTGTTATGATGTTGCTCAGTGTCCACAGGTGTTTCTTATTTACCACACCCCCTTGTTAGCTTGATTAGCTTGTTTGTCTGTGTATTTATACCCCTGTGTTTCAGTTGTTGGTTGTCGGTTGTTGTCTAAATGTCACTCGGTTCCTGCCTGTTTCTCGGCCCTGTTCTGAGGTCCCTGGATTGTCTGTTATGAACTGCTCCGAGACTGGGAGATGTAGATCCAAATGCAGCTTTAATATAAGAATAGTCGTACAGGCAGGGTCGAGAATCCGCAGACAGGACAATGGAGAATACACAATGGGAATCCGGGAAACAGGCAGAGGTCAGGGCAGGCAGCAATAATCAAAATCCAAAAAACAATCCAAAGTCAAAAACCAGAAACCAAACACGGAAAACCGCTCAGAAATGCAGTGTAACACTTAAACAAGACTTCGCAAACACTGAACGTGAACACAAGGTATATATAGACACACTAACAGGATGAGACACAGGTGAAAGCAATCAGTGAAAAGTCCGGGCAGTGAGTTCTGGGAAATGTAGTTGTGAGGGAAACATGAACATCTGGTGTGGAGTGCCCTCTGGTGACTCTCAAGGGCACTCCACCTGGTGACCGTTACACTCTGCTATAGCTGCCATACCTGATATCTTTTATATTGGAACTATCACCTTAACTCATTTTTTTGCTATGCCTTATACAGTATCTGCATTCTTCTGCAAGTAATCATTAAGAGTGTTAACATTGTATCCCTTGATATCCCTGTGATTATTCTATTTTAAGATCATGATTATATTTAACATTAAGCATATGTTCCATGTCATGGTTAAATACCATCTGCTGCAAATCTATTGTTGATTTGTACTTTAAATGTTGTAAATCTATCTGTAAAATTCACAGACATTGAGCAGCAATTTTAATTCCCTTCTCATAGTAAGCAATAAATGATATATTGTATTTAAAATATATAAATATATAGTTTAGTTTAGTTTATTTGTTTAGCACGTTTAGTACAAGTACAGAACAATGCTAGGAGGGAACGAAGCCAGACTAGACTTGTACAGAGTTCCACTCCTATTCCTATTAACTCACGAGACGAGATAAGCATCACAGAAGAAAAAAAGAAGAACAACAGAACAAAAGATGAAAAATAAAAATAAACAACAAATGATAGAAAGCAATTCAATACAAACAAATGTGCTTGGAAAAGAAAAGCGAGGAAAATATAATATATTATATATATATATATATAATAAAATAAATAAAAACTACAACATAAAAGGCATCAAGCTAGCGATAGTAAACTCTTCAAATGCTTTGTAAAAGCTGAATAAGAGGACATTGATTGCAACGATGGACTTAACTCACTCCAAAGCTTAGGACCTCTAAAAGAAATATTAAATTGGTGTCTTGTGGTACGTGCGATTGGTAAGACTAAGTTATTATTGCTATGTCTAGTGTGCAATGAATGAACATGTGAGATAGGAATAAAGTATATATGGCCTATACTTTACAATAAGCCTCAATTTTACAGAATTTTCTTTCGTTAATGCTTATTATCTAACACATTTTTTTTAAATATCAAGTTTAAGTTAAAAAAGAAATGTAGCTATTATGAATTTGTTTGTTCCTGTCTGATACTACATTAAATAATATTATCAAACCCTTTATGTGTTATTTAGCCTACCTACACTGTAAACATTTTTACTACTATTTAATAATAAAAACATAAACTATGGTAACAATATTAGGCCTATATAATATTTTTGAGTAGTTAAGACTTGGTTTCTTTCATGGAATCTTCCTGAATCATGTAATCCTTTTAATTATTTAGCCTATATATGATACAATGAATTAAATTTTTTTTTTAGCGAAATATGCTTTTATATTTTAAGTTCACCCTCAAAAGTGTGTGAATTAGCGTGAAAGGGAATGTCCATTTATATTAGCCTACATTTACCGTGAGTTATATTGCATTTTTAAAAGACTGTATAGCACAATTATATAAAAGTTGCAATTGTGTATAAAACACACAATTGCAACTAACGAACCGAACTTCAAAATAATAGAAACTCTTTCAAATGTCAAACATACATGAACAGATGTTTCCCTTTACTCAAAAACATAAAATAACACTTGATTTCAATATTTCCTCTCCATTGCCATCCTGCAAAGCATGCTGGGAACTAACAATTGTGTCTCTAAATAAAACCGTAGCTAATTCTCTTAAAATAAATTGGTAGCCCTTTTTACTTAATTTTAATCCGTTCCTCAATTCAAGCCTCAAAATTGTGAAAATAAATACATAAATAATAGGAAAATGTATATCTTGGTTTTATTAGTGAAATGTCCTCAATATTTTCTATACAACACTGAACAACAATTTTCTTAATAAAATATACACGATATTTTTAATTATCACCTTCATTTTTTTAATGAAAATTACTAGACCCATGGTTATTTTTTACAGTGAAGAAACTGCACGAACGGCACGTTACATCTTCTGAGTCAAATTTACTAAGTTTTACGTTCAAAGCATTTTGCATTAAAGTTTTATTTTGTGCGTTATTAATAATTATAATTATAATTATAATCTCACAATAAACCTTCACAACGATGCATACACATCTTCCTTCTTTATAATGTTGCCTGCCACTGAATGCTGACTGAAAATTCCCTGAAACATCTCGCAGGAAGAGATGGAACGACCTGTATGGTTTTAGTCCCGGGCTCACTCAGCGGTTCTCCCTCCTCCACCACAGCAGCCTGGGCAGAACTTCCCTCACCTCCCTGTTGCGCAGGCCATAAACGAGTGGATTAATGCAAGGAGGCACCTGAAGCATCACCAGCAGCATGATGTGGAGAGTCCCTGCTGAGGTCCAGCCTCCAGAATGATACAGCGACTGGATCATGGCCATGTTGCCTTCAAGTTCCCACAGAGCATCCGAGGCTATCTTCAGAAAGATGGGGAGCAGCTGCAGCAGCAGCATCGAGCAGTAAAACAAAACAGTTTTGCGCGCCCTCACATTGACCTGCTGGAAAGGCTGAACGGCGTTGCGCGCCTCCAGATACATGCGCAGGTATGAGAACGAGTAGGAAAAGATGCAAAGCAGCGTCACCATAAGCCCAACCACTTTGCGAAACATCGCAGCAGCCCGCGGAAAGCCCAGGTGGGACTCCAAGGTGTCCGGCTCACAGAGTAGTCCTGGAATGGGTTTGCCCAACAATGAGTTATTGTGCCCTAAACAGATCAAACCTGTGATAACTGCCGATAAACACACTGAAATAAGCCACGTGAGCCCGAGTATGAGGTAAAGGCGCTTTGTGGTTAGTATACGGATGTAGTAGATGGCCAGACACACGTACAGGTAGCGCTCCAGAGCCATGCAGGTGATAGTAAGCATAGTGCAGAAAACACAAACGGTGTTAAGAAAGAACTGAGTGACACACCAAGCTCCGTACTGTAGCGTGGTCTTCTGTAACAGGCAGTGTATCACTGTTGGACCTTGTGTGACAATGAGGAGAACATCACTCACTATGAGGTTTTTCAGCAAGGCAAAGCGTGGCTCCCAGGATAAGTCTTCTGAACTGCCAATACTAAACAGAGTGCACCCATTGAAACCAAGTGAGATAATGGTCATCACCACAAAGACACACACCAGTACCCTCACAGCTGTATCTGAAGGCAGGATGGATGTGAAGAGGCAGCGTCCCTGGTCCAACAGCTGGAGGGAGTATGAAGTGATGTTGCGCGCATCCTGGTTTGGAGTCGGACACGCGCAGTCTGCAACGTGCTGATGACATGCAGCCCAAAACATGATAATTGGTAAAGCACGTGTGAAACTCATCTGTGCGAGGACGAGAGCTTTTATGGCAGCTTCAGGATGTTGACAACTCTGTGGCTCGCGTTTGTAGCGGCTACATGTGATTTTACAGAACATGTAGGCAGGTGAGTGACTTAAATGAAGGTGGAGCTTAAATTCATTCAAAGAAACCTCTCGCTAAAAATAACCAGTAGAAAGAGTTTGCCTTGATTGAACTGTAAATTAACCATTTAAACACATTTTTTTTAACCCAGGAGTAGCCTATTAGATTGGATTGTAATAATCATGTGTATGACTACCCCATCATTTACTGACCTAAATAAAGTAAATAGGCCTAGGTCTATTGTAATGTTTTAATGCTATTCATTGTTATGGACTGTGGATGTATTTGGGGCAAAATAGCTTCAGACATATCAACATCCCACAAACCACTGATACATTTTCTTTTTGCATTTGTGTAACGGTTGCAATGAGACGTTTTCTTATAATGCAGGCTGTAAGCCTAATGGTTTTTAATAATAGGGGTTGTGTAATATTATTGAGTGATAGAGGCTGCATCCTCCAAAGATCGCATTCAATGGCCGATTGCGTCACCGCAGCGGGACGATGAAGGCTATCCCAATTCAAAGGCATTTCCCATGAAATTCAGGACACAACCAAAGTCCGTCTAAGGAAAGCCTGACCACTCCCTATTAAGTCCTATTGTACTGAATTTTGGTTGTAGTTCCACCAGAGTTCCACTGGGGGTGATCGTGCAAGAGTGCAAAATGAATGCGAGTCTATCGCGCTAGACGGCTAAATTTGTCTCTTTCCCCCATTTGCCTTCAAATCTCAGATTTGAATGTAGGTTTTGGAAGTTCAACGTGGGTTATAGGTAGGAAGTTGAATGAACGAGTACTTATGTCCTTTCAATTTTTTACACGTTGAGTTGTAATTGTTGCCCATAACACGCTAGCATTCTGCTAATGGACGCTGATTGGTCAGTGAAGGACTGATGACAACCAGAGTTACTGCTTGATGGCATGGACCAGAATTATGTTATGTTATATTGACTTAACTCCTCTAGCACGTTTATTTACCTGTGTCAGCTGTGTTGTTGATGAAAGGAAAGAGCAGAGCACGAGAGCAGCAAAGTGACTGAAGTATTGCCGTAAAGCAGTGTCTCTGGTTGTACGATATGTATGACTACATTGACATGTTAAAAGGCTTTTTAAAGCAAATAAGTGCCTCCACGTCCCCCCGATTGCGTGCAAGCTTCTACTTCTGTCTATACGGTCATTTCTGTACTGTGCGACAGAGGATTGCATTTTTTTATGCCTATTTTTACAAAAACTTAGGGTCATAACGTAGATACAAGGTAATGGAGCCTTTTATACATTGTAGTGTTTCATTAAAAATATCAAATTATGGACAATGGAGTCTTTAAACGCCTCAGATAGTAATCTGATTACATAACGTATGTTACTCATAATCCCTTGCTTTAATCATAACATCAGAAAGCAAATCTGATTACTTAGTGCACGTTACTTGTAATGAGTTACTTTACCCGTTACATCAAAAAGTAATCTGATTACGTAATTCACGTTGCTTGTAATGTATTGCTTTACTCGTTACATCAAAAAAAGTAATCTGATTATGTAATGCACGTTTGTAATGCGTGACCCCCAACACTGCACCTTTCGGATTAGATTTGAAAACACCTGATCACTAGTTTTTCCACAGCCTGAAATCATCAATAGGTTGATGATAGTCTGAGGTTTACTCAGAGAGGAGAGCTAAATGTATTTTCAGCATAATCAGAATTATCAGCTAATAATGGTAAAACATATTATCTACATAGTCTGAAATCGGTTTCCACTGAGTTGTACCTTCACCAGTTGTAGAGATATTAGATGAAATCATGTCATCATGTTCTGATACCAAAAACACGTGAGACATTCAACTTGAATGAAGTTATTTTCTGTCTGCTGGTCGAACGGGAACAAATGCATTTGCGTTTCAAAACTCAATTGTGTAGCATTCAGTTGTGCAGTTGTAGAATCGGTGACCACTCTGGAGAGGACAAGAGGTATAGTATGAGGTGTATGCTCTCTCCTTATTTAGCTTGCTACACTTAGTTGTTCTCGAAGATTCAGCTGCTGTCCTTGAGAATGTCCAAGAATAGAGCGAAGAAAAAAGGAGGAGTGTTAGGCAGAGAGTCAGGAATGAGAGGTTGACAGTTGCTGCTGTCATTTACTTCAGCTTAAAGGATACTTCACCTCTGGGAAGATGAATGAGTATTTATTATTGGTCATTTACACAGTAGAAATGTGAAGTTATTTTTGAAATTGAAGTATTCTAGACTGAGAAAATGTACAACATGTATTTTTTACTCATGTGGCTGAAAGACAATAACTCCCAGAATGCACTTGCTCTGCTGCCCTTACGAGGCCACTCCCAAGCCATGCCTACCGGCCTCTTTCGGCACAATCCGAAAAATTGATACAACTAGGCATTCTTTGATACATTGTGAGTTATTTGATACATTTCCATCTAAATGCTAAATTGCGTTGTTTCGGGATGTACTAGCCTAATGTATATAACGCAACTTATACTTTCACATTAATAATATGATACAAGGCAGGACCATGTCAATTAGCTTAGTGAAATCACTATTTCTCTAAGCTAATACATTATCTAGGCTAATCCATAGTAACACTAAGGTTTATAAAAGAACCACAACCAATGAGAGTTATAACTTTAAATTTAAAAAATAACACTCAAAGCTCTGCGGATTCAGCGATCTTGTCCAGAAGAAAATGGCATCACCACAAATAGATTCGAGACAGCAATAGAACTCTACTGTATATCTGTTTCCATAGGCGCACAGCGAAAGCACTGACACCCCCGGTCCGCCCCAGCTCGAGTCTGGCAGGGCTCAGGTCTCGCTCCGGCCGCCTCTTGTTCCTCCATCTCCCGTAGCTGTTTATCGCTGTATTGCGGCTTGTACAGTTAGCCGCGAGCATCAGATTCTCGCAACAGGTCTTCGAAAAACCCTTCTGCCATTTCAACTTTCAAAACTACCTTCCACCATTGTGATTAGCCTACTACACAAACTTTCTACACAGACCAGGAGGCAAGAGCCTGTTAGCTTAGCTTCTACAGAAAGATGGCTGACACTTATATTCTGTGAGTGAGATCCCGCCCCATAATGGGCGTGGTGAAAACATGCGGCACACTAGCTGTAGTTTTTAGCCTCTGGCACGGTAATTCCCAAATACTACTGGTTTTCTACTGATATAAAGCTCAATTCTAAATCTTAAGTATCCCTTTAAGTGTCTTGGAGAGCTTGGGGTAACAAAAGGCACTCACAGAGAATACTTGCTTTTTACCTTAGCTCCCACAACAACAAACGGCTGTTAAGGACTACAACCAGCTTCTTCCCAGGTTGGTGACATCACAAACCCCAACATTTACATAAACCCTGCCCCTGGGAACACACAACAAAAGGGGTGAGGCTATGTTGGGATGCTTGCTTAGAGGAGAGGAAGAGTTGTTGGATTTCCTGTGAAATCCATGCTTGCAAAGTCCGGGCTTGAAATCTGGATGATCCTCTTGTTCGTTAACATTGGAAGGATCTGAATCGGGCTCGAAATGGTTTGAAATTGACGCCATGGTTAATATACATCTGAGTAGAGCTAGCGGTTATGAAGGAGCGTGACATTTTTGTCAAAGCAAATTTGTCTGATGTCAAAAAGCAAGGTTTCAGTTTGTGACTTTAATCTGGACCATGACAAAAGTCTGACATCCTGATGACTTGGATTTCACTGTTACAAGTTAAGTTACAAGTGTTTATAAGTAAGAGCATGTAGTTCAAATCTAACTACTCTGACTTGTCCTGGGAGTGGATATATTGGCAAAGCTTATGAAACTCTAGCAGTCAGAGGATTATTAGGAGAAACCGGATAAGAGTAATGATGACAGGCCTTGAGAATCTGACAAGGTCACCCCTTGTTCTGTTCTGTCATATAAAATAAAATGCCAACAGAGTCGGCAAACAGTGATTTTCTATCATACAACTCTTTACAGTGTGATGTATTTTAAACTGAATATTAAACTGTGTTTCTAATATCGAACCAACACACTTACACTTTGAAACACCATGTACCAAAACGTTCTGCTCTGTGTTTTTGAATGTTGTTGGCCTAGGTTGCCATATCCCTGTTGAGTGTAAAAATAACATATATGGGAAATTAAACTACAGATAGCTTATAACATTGTGATTAACAATGAAATAATCAATTAAACAAATTTTGCCTTACCTGGTATCCTAAGGGTTTGCATATGTAGGGAAATTATATAATGCATGGCATTGTTGCCATACCCCTATTCTATAAAAACTGTTGTATCTGTATTAACTGGTGGGATTCTCAATGGGATTTGTCTGAAAATCTCCGGCCATGCTTAACGCTTCTTCTTGGGAGAAGTTCTCTGAGGAAATGTCGATAACTCTTGGTTTAAAGCATTTAAAGTCCCCGTGAACCGGAAGTTGCAAACGATTTTTCTCCAGTGCTGTGACGTATTTCCAAGTGAAACGGAATATTGAACAGAGGGCAGGGTTTTACTCTAGCGCTCCTGGGAGTGGTTAAGCGTTTCCCCACCCAAACTGTGAAACCTACGTCATCAGAAAAAGAAACTGTTCCAGACCGGAAGTAACTTTTCAGATTTTGATTAAAGATTACAAAGGTAAAACATTTTTTTAATATATATTCACTTGCACGGATTAATTGTTCACCACAAGACTAGTAATATGCGCTAACAAAGTAAATAGGTTCAATTTTGATTTCACGGGGACTTTAAGAGGACATTTCCTGAAGTCTGTTTGTCGATTATTCCTGCTCAGGAAGCAAATTAGTTAGGGGGACAGACAAGTATTAGCACCCAGCCGACGTTGATGTGTAGACACGCTAGGGTATAGGATTAGCACTCAGTCGACGTCAATATAGACGCGCTAGGGTATAGGATTAGCACTCAGTTGACTTCGATGTGTAGACGCACTAGTTTATAAATATTATAGGACGTGGTTAGATTTAGGGACAAATCTACCACAACAGCAATTCAGTGACTTCAAATCTTTGGTTCACCAAGAACCTTGAGATCAGTTCTCCAAACAACCATTTTGTCTTTAATGTGAAGAATATTTTGATAACTTTTTGTGCAATAGAAAGATTCCATGGATGTTAAAGGTTCTTTATGGAAACATAGATTCCAACAAAGAATGTTTATTTTTAAGAATGAAGTTAACTGTTAAGCTTCTTTAAGGGTACAGGCATTTTATTCCATTTTAAAAAAATCTTTGGTAGTACGTCCAAATTTCATTCATAAACACATTAAAAGCATCCAAAATCGTACTGTTTAAGTAGGAAGGCCTTCTGCTGTACATTCTATGAAGAATGAACTTCACAACCCTTAAAAAAGTAGGTTAGTAAAAATCAAATCGGGACTTTTTCTATAAAAAGCAATGTTTTAGGCATAAAGTTTAAAACAAATCTGCGAAAGTAGGTTTCAACTCAACATTTCAACTCAGTAGTTTAAAAAGATAATCAGATTGAAAAGTTGAAATCAATACTTCCTGCCCACATTTATTTTGGTGAGTAACAGTGTGATAAACTGATACAATGACTGACTTGTTAAACACATGCAAAGTCACCTCTCATTGTCTCGTTTTGACTCATTGTTTCGTAATGTGTGCCAAAGTGTTACAAATTCAAATGAGACAGTCAGACTCAGCACAGACAGGGATACACACAGCCAAGATGACTAATGGATGGACAGATTGATAGAGAAGGGCAAAGAAATACAGGCATTTGAATGAGGGCACAAATCCTATACCCTGTATGTGGAAGGGAGTTGAGCCTACATCTGTTTCTGGAAGCTGTTTATCCACAACCTAAATAACCTCTCATTGATTTCCTTATTTTATTATTATTATTACCATTTTTTTTTTAATTTGGCAGGGAAATTTGAGACCATCCTTCAGCTAAATATGGGGCAATGGAGGGCAAATAGAGGTGGTGATGGATTAGAAAGGGATGAAGAAGAGGGGTGGAGCTAGCTGAGGCCACACAGACATTGGTTGACAAGTTCACTGTCTTAAGTTTCTTGTCCAATCCTGGCCATTTTCTAGAAAGGTGAGAATAATATGAGGTCTTATTTGCGGAGTCTGGAGACATTTGTCCAACAGCGCACGTTTAGAAGAAAGGCTGCTGGACAGAAGACCGTTACTGTTTTCAGATACACACTGATCTCACTAACAAGCTGTCAGTATGGTAAGATATCTGGAAAGTGGATATGGACAAGATGCTTCAGTCAGTCAGTGATTTTTATATGGATGCATACTTATAACTGGAATACTTTTTCTAGAAGATCCAAAGTAAAAGTGGATATGTGCAGGTTTTACATTTTACAAGGAGTAATTTTGTCTTGTTCTAAACCTCTAACCCATAATATGGCTCTAACATATATTGATTATACTTGCTCTAACATAATGAAATCAAGCTGATTCAGTCATATTAAATAATAGCTTTACTTGAATAAAGCCAGTTTATGTTACACATAAAGCACATTTTTAGAAGTGTAACTGTAAGTCAAAACTAAGCCTGGTAGATTATACGGCTTGAATTGAGTTGTTTAGATATTGCAGGTATGTTTATAGTTCAAGTAAGATTCATAGCAGCATAGTAATCATTTATTAGTGAAATATCACTACTGTTAAGTAATTACTTCACATGCTACAAGTGGTTGACTCCTCCTCTTTGTCTGTTATCTTTGATAGTGTTTGGCCTTTGTGTTTGTGGGCTCTGGATACATGTGGTAATCCACATTATCAAAAAGAGGGAACATATAGGGTTTGATAACATTGCTGAGACTGTCATGATGCTTTGATATTTGCAATGTCATGTTGTGGTTCCTCATAATCGTTTACAGTACATGTGGACAAAAAGGATTCTGGCTCTATAGGAGGGCTGTATATAGCTTTTTTACATAAAACCGACAACCGGACAAGAGAGACAAGTGTATTTACTTCACAAAATAATAAGAAACAATGCTTGTATCTGGTTAGAGCTTTTGTGTCCTACCAAGTAAAGGACCAGACACGCAAGAGAAGATAGCGATGCTGAACATGTGTGATGCACGAGGTCTGGCTTAATGACATTTTTCCTTTGTATGTATTTGTTACTATTTTTAAGCACTGTGTTCAGAGATGTTCGGCAGATGTCTTGTAGTTCCACTTCCATTTCAAAAGTCTGAACATGAATCTTACATGGTCCAGAATACATTTGTTGAAGAAATCTTGCAAATAATTCCAAAGAACACATTTATGCCACTTTCAGCACTGTACTGAAAAAAAAAAAAAAAGACAGATCAGGTGCTTATTTTGTATTCCCAGAACATATTTGAATCTAAAGTGTTTGCATTTTATAAAATTATATTTAATGTTAATGTTTAATAACCTCCTAAAGTGTGCAATGTAAAAAAAAGTACTTTTCCATAAATGAGATGAGATGTGATCTGACTACAATACATTACTCAAATTGTCTAGAAGAGGGAACGAGTACTGCATAATATCTTACGCAAGGGGAAAATCTCTTTTCCATGAGATATTGAGGCCAAAAACTATCCTTAATTTTGAATTAATGTAAAACGCTTTGCGGCAGCATGCAGACATAGGCAAGACGGCTCGCATACCAATTGGCTGTACTGCGGCAACTGCAGCAACCTATTGAGAGAGGCCCATGACGTCAGATCTCACGTCCTGCCGAGACGGGGCCTATAAATACTGATTTTTAGACCAAAAGTAGTTTAGCCTGTAAGGAAGGAACCTCTAGGTTATAAAACCTTATAAATGTAGACAGGGAGGCCCAGCCTGCCACCATACAGATATCCTGAAAGGTAATCCTGCTAGACCAAGCCCACAACGCAGTGCGCTCTGACACCCAAAGGACACTGCAAGCCTTTGGAAGTGTAGGGCAGCGCTATAGCATCAACTATCCATCTGGATAGGCTCTGTTTCGATGCGGTTATTCCCTTAGAATATCTTAGATGTTAGATGCTAGACACTTAAGCTCTTAATGCCGTGATTGGGCAAAGGAGGCTTGCGTCCTTTTCCTTGTTGTAAACAGGCAGGACAGACAGGGAAATGACCTGAGCCCTAAACGGTGTGTTGAGGAATTTAGGCATGTACTCGTGTCTTGGTTTGAGTATGACTTTCGAGTTATTTGGCCCAAATTCCATACACGTCGTGCTTACTGAGAGTGCTTGTAAATCCCCTATGTGCTTTACTGAAGCCATAAGAAGAGCCATAAGAAACTCTATCTTGAACGACAAATGTTTCATGTCTGAAAAATGGATTGGCTCGAACGGGGCACCTTTCATGTCTTCAAAAAAAAAATACGTCGAAAGGTCAGCATCTTAGCTCCCATAAGGAAGCGGATTGTTCTTACCCAGTGACTGGCCAGTCGCTGGTTTAGTAAACGCTGCTATGGCCGCCACATAAACCTTGAGCATGGATGGGGTTCTGCCCTTATCCAGTATCTCTTGAAGGAAGGAAAGAACTTCCATAACCCCACAGTCTAGGGGTGAAAACCTCAAGCTTTGCACCAGCCAGAAAACACAGACCATTCTGCGTGACCGTGTTTAACACTCTCTCCGGGAGGTTAGTGTATACCCATTGATGGCCCATGCATGTATGGACCACAGATGCCAAATCGAGCCCTTGGCTTGAGAGAGGAGGTCTTTCCTCATTGGTATTGGCCATGGGGCAGTGTTTGTCAGCTGCATCAAAACTGGGAACCAAGACTGTTTTTTTTTTCAGAGCGGAGCCACAAGTAGCACTGAGCATCCGTTTTCCCTGATTCATTCCAATACCTGAGGCAGGAGCGAGATGGGGGGAAAGGCATAGAGTGGGCAGCGGGGCCAGATGTGGGCCAGCGTGTCCCTGCTCTTGGAGAAAAATTGCAGACAGTGAGTGTTTTCTTGGGACGCAAACAGGTCTACTTGCGCTCTACCGAATGTCTCCCGCAGCAGTAGGACCGTCATGCAGAGACCATTCTCCAGCTGGAACATTGTTTCTGGACAGTCTGTCTGGTTACTAATTCAGGTGACCAGGCACATGTGCTGCTCTCAATGAGCGCAGATTGTGCTGAGCCCAGACCAGGAGGCGTTCCGTCAGTGTGTAAAGGTTTCGGGATCTGACAACACCCTGGCGATTTATATAGGCCGCCACTGACATGTTGTCCAAGATTTTTTATCTGGGGACAGAAACGCCTCGCCTGCAATCATTTTCAGACAGTTTATATGTAGGAGCTTCTCTCGTTCTGACCACTGGCCAAAGAACGGTCTGCGCTCGAGCAGCACTCCCCATCCCGAGGTGGAGGCGTCCTGACTGGTGCCAGTCGATTGCTCTCCAAGGTTTCAGAGCTGTGATGCATTTCTGATCGACCTTGAGGCGAAACAGATCGGAGGCCCATGCCCAAGGTGGTACTCGCGCTTTTAGCCATAACTGCAGCGGGCACATGCGAAGCAGACCCAACTAGAGTACTGATGATGCTGAGGCCATGAGACCTCATGAGGCCATGAGACCCGCATTTTCTTAAACCTTTTGAGCGGGACTATAGCGCCGCAGCGGAAGGATTTCATGATGGCCTGAATATTCAGTCTGCGCTCTGGCGACAATAGCGCTGTCATAGACAGCGAGTCCAGTTCTGTCTGGTTTTCTGTGCCCAGAAAAGACAACCAAGTCTCTCTGACTGGGAGACAGCGAACTTGTCACCCAATTGACTTTGAGACCTAGATTCTCAAGATGTTCGAGTAATATGGTCCTGTGTTCTATGAGCTCTGAGTGTGATCGAGCTAGAATCAGCCAATCGTCCAAATTGTTCAAAACTCGCATTCCCCAAAGTTTCAGGGGTGCGAGAGCCGTGTCCATGCACATTGTAATTGGACAGGCTAAACGGTAGGACTGTGTATTGATATGCCTGGCCCTCGAAGGCGAATCTCAAGAATCGCCTGTGACATGACATTTGTATTTGAAAATATGCGTCCTTCAGATCTATTGAAATAAACCAGTTCTCTTGGCAAATCTGTGCGATTGTGAGCGTTCTGAACTGGCGTTTCACTAGCACTTTGTTCAGCTGTCTTAGATCCGGAATGGCCCCCGTTTTTTTTCGGTACCAGAAAATATCTGCTGTATAGACCCCCTTCACTCTGAGCTTGAGATAAAGGCTCGATGGCCCCTTTGCTCAATAGTTTCACTATTTCAGCTTAAAGTTGATGAGCTACTTCGGTTTTTACTATAATTTATTGTGTGGTTTTCCTAACTCCCATTGGTAAATAAACATGCTATGAAAACCTATTACAAAGCTATAGCAATTTCATGTCATTAAATACGATAAACAGTGATTCTGGAACAGATCTGTCTTCCTCATCCTGTTAAAAAACAGATTACAGTAAGTAATCATATTCTGTCCACTGTCTCCAGGAAGGTAAGTTAGCTAACAGAAACATATTTTTGCTATTGCCTATACCTGCCGCAAAATTACACCATTTGTACAAGACAAGTAGAGCTATTTTATCCAGTGTAATTTCAGTGTAAAAATCACTTTACCACTATCTTGTTTTTTTCTTATACGAGAGAACCTCTCATAAGAGAACATTTGTAAGATTTCTTCATCTAATGTATTCTGGACCATGATTCATTTACAGACATTCCTTAAGTGTGACATGAGAAAAATTGTCTTCATTAGATATTAATCGATTTCCTCCTGTGTCTCTTTCTCATTCTTTTTCTGGGTGCAGATCCAATCTATGTAAATAATCTTGATTTTCTCTTCAATAACAGCTTCAATTGAAACCCATTAAATCTGCCTCCCGTTACAGCATGGATATAAACTAAGTTCATTCTGCACGTCTTTCACAGTTCTTTGTGATGCTGAGCACGACGTTATTTTATTAAATCAAGGAGTTCTATATGTTACTTCATTAATAACATAGTTGTTTCAGAGATGATGAAGGAAGGAATCTTATTCTCAGATTTCTCTCCAAAATCTACCCACAGTAGTTCAAAAAATCAGGTGATTAAGCTGACCAGAACAGAACTCCATCTTGGTGCTCCAACTGTTTATGATCATAACACCATCTTTTTCACATTTTTGGCAAGGGGAAATAATGAGGTTTGCTGTCACTTTGCTGCAGTTGTGTTGGTATCCTTAACTACTGTACAACAGGAGGCATAAGGATTCATGCATGAATAACAGCAGCATTAATTGTTTGTACATGTTTGATAGTTAATACATTGACACTTAAGGGTAAACTAAAAATGTATAAATGTGATTGCATCCAATAACAAAATGTCAAACTAGTTAATTAATTTAGCAAATTATGATAAAAGCATGAGGATGCCATCTGATTTGATTTACTCGATCTAATTGTGTTGATTATATACATTGTACTTAAAAAGAAAAGAAAAGTTGAACTCTTTTGGTTTTCATCTTGTTGTTCCTGTGTCCGTTTTTTATTTGTCTCGAATATTTTTGGAAATATACCAAAGTACATTTTCAGTGATGTGTTAAAGCCCTATTAGGTTCAAATTCTATATTTCCTATTAGCCCACTGATGCCCAGGCAGACGCCCGCTCTTTCCTGAGTGAGGAAATGATTTCTGGTGAGTGTGTGAAAATTTTGCTCATTAAATGGGACAAATTTGATTCACACTGCTTCACACAAACTTTAACATCCTGTTTTGAATTGTATTATTATTATTTTCTTTTTATCATCTGAAATCAGAGTTCAAGGCTGCCTTCGACATGTTCGACACCGATGGGGGCGGTGATATCAGCACCAAGGAGTTGGGTACCGTCATGAGGATGTTGGGTCAGAACCCAACCAGAGAGGAGCTGGATGCCATCATTGAAGAAGTTGATGAAGATGGTAAGTTGAAACACAAAAATGGTTTGTGCCAACCACACTTCAGAAAACAAATGCTCAAATTGTTCTATTTATATTCCTCTATGCATTTCAGTCTGTCCCATCACATCTACGTTTTGCATCCTCAGGCAGTGGCACTATCGACTTTGAGGAGTTTTTGGTCATGATGGTGCAGCAGCTAAAAGAAGATCAAGCTGGCAAATCCGAAGAGGAGCTATCTGAATGCTTCCGTGTCTTTGACAAGTAGGTCACCCTCCGGTCCTACTCACTCGCCCTGCTCTGAGTGGGACTTGAACTGGCGTCTCTGGCACGAGCGCGTTAACAAGGACCCTAGCATCAGCCGTTAGCGCACCTCTTGAGATCAGGAGAGTTAGGTTTACCTGCAAAGCTCTCACTAGCTGGCCTTATAGCAAATGAAACAAAACAGAAGTGTGAGGAAAGGTAATTATATTGGTCTATCATGTCCAGAAGGTAGGCATACAAAACAGTTCAACCATAAATGAACATTCTGTCATCATTTCTGTCATCAAACCCATATTCTTTCTTCTACAGATATTTTGAAGAATGTTGGTAACCAAACAGTTTTGCTGGCCTTAATCTTCCATTTTATGGACAAATATACTGAGACAATTCAAAATATAGCTTTTGTGTTGTCTAGTAAATATTGAAAGAAAATGTATTTTCGGGTGAACTATCCCTTTAGGTTCAAGAATTTGATTTCTGTGGCAGAGAATTATCAACCCCTTATTTATTATAGTATTTGGCTTGACATATGCATTTTGAAATCTTTAATGAATATGAATCCAAAGAACACCTGTGCTGCTTATTTTATAGTAAAATGTACTACAGTTCTTTATCAATAAAGCTTCTTGTGCCAGCCGAAGGAATTGTGAATGAACGAATGAAGCTTTAAATAGATAAATGAGCTTTGCTAACTGATGTCGTTCTTCAGATATTTTGGATCTTATTGATTCTCTGCAAATGCAAGTTCATACAGTCCATTTTATGCTTTAGTTTTTTTAAAAATCGATAGCCTACTGGTAAAACATATCATAATTGGGTAGTTGTGGCCAAAGTTAGAGAGACTTGTAAGCATACATAGCGTTCACATCATGTAACTTGTCACTTACTACATTTCTGCCAATCAAACAAATACATTTCCAAATTGTCAGAATACACATACATTTTTTAATGCTTTTTGCTCCCAAATGGTGCAGTAACAATATCTTGCTGGAAAAGTTAATAACATATTGTTCATCTGGTAGCAAGCAGTCAAGCATGGTCAATGCAGTGAAACCTCTACATGTAAAAAAAATGAAATGAAATGTAATGTAAATGTATGTAATTTTGGTGATCAATGATTAGTATTAAGGGATGCAATTATTGACTGTAGGGGACATTAAGGTATCTGAAAAGTTTGAATATGGCACCACCTTGAGTTCAGAAGATATCTGAAAAAAGACGTTTTATAAAAACGCATATTACTATTAAAAATGTCGTCTGAAATTCATTTTCTTGATGTCTTTATGTTCCTTGGTTCATGACAATTCCATTGATCTCAATTGTCAGATTATTTTTCAAAATTTTCCTGTATTTTTAAAATTGTGTTTTGTGTTCACCTCCTCCAAATTTTGTCCCAAAATCATTTTAGATTAATTTTGGACCAAGCCACTCAGAAATTACTGAACAGATATTTTTTTATATTCACTACTGTTTTCGAGAAAGTGTTTCAGAAGTCATCCGTCCCTGTGTTTATCTTACACTATGTTATCTTTACATGCTGGTTGGTTAGCATACTAACTATTTATCATTCTTTCTAATGTTACTCTTTGGCCATCAGGATGAACATAAGCTAAGTTAGCTTAGCATTTTAATAATTTAGAGTGCTTAGGACAGTGCTTATTCGTTCATTCTCACATTGAAAGCTCATCCTCAGGATTAGCACAGACTTGTGTCCTCTATGTACCCGACTGGAAGCTGTAGAAGACACCTCAGACCGAGCGTGATGTATTCTGAGCTTAATGAAACAGGCTTGCATTGCATATAGATTACTTGTAATTAAGTTGGAATAAAGTTGTATTTTTTGTCAAATTTATATGGTTCAAAAATAAAATGATGTGCTTCTTTAATGTATGACAGCATCACTTAAACACGTTAAGTCATCAGTTTAATAGAGGAACAAACACATCCGACAATAATGTTATTAAAATGTGTTTAATGTATAAAAACAGGATGTTTAATGTATTTTAACAGGAACCAAGATGGATTCATTGATCGTGAGGAGTTTGGGGATATCATGCGCGCCACTGGCGAGCCATTGGCAGAAGAAGACATAGATGAACTCATGGCAGATGCGGACACAAACAAAGATGGAAAGATTGATTTTGATGGTAAAGCAAATCTTAATTATTCTATTTTTATGTGCTACTCACTTAGTATAAAGATTCCAAAAGCAGTTTTCTGTAGCGATGCAATAGAAGAACCATTTTGGATTCCCCAAACAAGCTCTCAGTGAACAGTTCTTGTAGAACCTTTTTCATTATGAACAACCTTTTGTGCAATGGAAATTAAAGTTTAAACTATTAAAGTTAACCATCAATGCCAATAAAGGACCTTTATTTATTTATTTTGAGAGTGTATTAATGCATATGCAAACACATGAAGATTCTTTTTCTTGATCTTCTTTCGAATCCCAATCACAATAACTGAATGCTAAGGATGTTCCGATTTGTGGAGAGTGTGTGAACAATGGCAGGAAATGTGTTTGTATGATATTTCATCTCTTTTTCCATTTTCATTCCAGAGTTTCTTAAAATGATGGAGAACGTCCAGTAAGAAAAACTTACATTCCACGCCCTCCAAATCTCAAAGAAAGCAAGTCAAGATGTTAAAGAACAATTCAGGCTGAGATCTTTCAAGAAAAAGAGTGCTGAGGACACAACAACACCCTAATTTAAATCTCTGAATGTAAAAAAATGGGCTAGAATTTGCTTTGAGGGACAGAGAATATTATAGATCAGTGCCGTCTCCTTGGCGATGTTCCTCGGGGACCACAATATGATGGTCTCTATAAATAACTATCCAACCCTTTTAAGAGGAAACCATACCCTCAGCTGTCCCCACACCTGCTTCTTCCCAAGACATTCTCCAACCTTCCGTCAAGCCCCTCTCCCTTTACAGATTCAAAATAGCCTTGCTAAAAGAATTACCTTGGAAACTGACTTAATGTTGTGTTGTCATAGAGATAAGAAATCTCTTTCCTCTAGCTTATGTTAACAGTATTTTTGCAAATCTATTAAAAAGGCATGTTTTGGCAATCTACCTACTTGTTTATTTGTGAATGTATTATCTAAAATGATCTCCTTGTGTTAATAGTATTAATCTCCGAAATATTCAATTTCAAGCTATAACTGAGACTCATGTGATCTTATCAGCCACATTGCCTATAATTTCACTACACCCCATCGGAAAAACAAGATCATCCCACCATGTTGTTTTCCAGGACCCCATGTCCAAAATAGACAACACTTTGTCCATCTAGTAGATCCATAGTGTTGCAGTTTTAATCTTTTCGTTTGTTAGTCTCTTCCAATATTTTTTATACTTACTGTTCAGGACCGAGTTTTCCTATGGCCAAGAAAGGTCAAGAAAAAAATCAATTTTGAATCCTAAAGACAACCTTTTGTGCCAGGAGCATGCAAGTTGTACATATTTTTTGATCGGAGACAAAAGGTCAAGTGTCCATGTTTTCTTCTCATGGTGGAAAGGGATCCTTTTTAACACCTCGTTGTCTTCAGGTTATACACTGATGGAGGTATTATGCCAGTGCTGTAAATGTAAATCTCCAGAGCTGCACTCATATGCATACTGCACACCCGACCTCTCTGCTCTCCTCAAAATCTCCTTTTAAATCACTCCATTTCTGCCTGAAAGTATATAGTCTGCAACCCCCCTCCTCCGAGATCCCCACACATCGTTCTCCAATCCACGTCCTTATGATTCCTCGCTCAGGAAACACATGCTATACATGGAAACTCAAGTTTAGGCTCTTTGGGGTTTGGGGTACCTGCGTCGCCATTGCAGACTCTGGGTGGGGTGGAGTGCAGATCTTAATCATCTGCTATTCAGGGCGCGCTGAAGATTTGCAACACAGCACCTTCCCAAGAGGTTTAGGGTTTCTCGGCTTGACCAAACCGGGGGTGGGGGGATGCATTTTAAAAATTAATTTCGCTCTGTACACTTAAGATTTTTATAACATTATTAGCTTTAGTTAAATGAATTTAGTAGACTTAGTAGGAATTCTGAGGGGGAAAAGCAAAGTCTCATAAAGAAATCATGCCCAAACCTTGGTGTGGTCAACATTAACATGGCATTTTCACAATTACGTTTTACCAGACACAATAAATAATTATTTTTTTGTATCTTTTTTTCAGTTCTTCCAATAAATACAGGCTTTCGGATTGTAAACAAGGCAGAATAACCATTTTCCGGTATTCTTGCAGACTGTTCTTAAAGTGTATTCACATTTCTATTGGCTTATGGGAGCAGCCGAACCCTAAAAGTTCAGGATTCTAAATCTGGAGGCCTGTGGGCGGGTCTTGGGTGGCCTGTTTAAAGTGTGTCAGAACTGTCACTTGATGTCTAGTCTTTCTGTTGGGGTGTGAGTGTGTTGACCACTGCTTTTCTCGTGGATATAAGTGAGGGAGGCTAATCCACAACCATGGTAAGAGTTTAAATAATCTAAGTGGTCAGTTTTGCTAATGAACGCATGAAAAGGAAAAATGTGCAGATGGCCTATTAGTCAGAAAAGTATTTCAAATTACATCTATAAGTATATATTTATCATTATTAAGAAAGGATATTATAAGGTTACAGTAGGCTATTATTAATAGTTCCCTTGCATTTATTTTGCATGCATTTAATAAAGCATTATAATTAAGAATAAAAATGGGTCATTCTTCAGGTAGGGTAACTTTTCTTGCCCATGATGATTTCAAAGAAATCAATAGTACTGTTAAAAAAAAAAAAAATCATTCTAGTTTTGAAGAATAGATTCAAATATAATAAAAACTTATTTTTATGTCCATCTCTTTTTCTCATTTTAAGACAAAATTCTCTATTTTGGGCTCAGCTCTGTCTTGGCAGTTAACTCTGTCATATTCATAACCAAAGCTTATTTGGTTTATTTATTTTTTCATTAGCATCCTTCAGCAGAATCCACTGTAAAATAGCTAATGGTCATGTTTTTTTCTACTTCTTCTTTTAAACGATGAATTGTAGTTTTAACATCAAACCGTTTGATTGCCTGTATATGTATGTATAAGAGTAGAGTGGTAGCCTAGGCCCACTAATGGATGTTTAAAATAAGGGATGGTGGTCAGAAATCAGTAAGTGTTTGGAAATTAACATTCTGCTATTTGATATGAAGCTGGTCAGCAGGATAGGTTAAAGCTGAGGCGACACATTCCAAGGGTCCCATTTCGGAATTACCATGTACAGTCACTGACAGAGGGGGTAACGAGTCTTAAAATAGTTGCAAAATTGTCCTGGAAGTGTGTTCTAGGCACCATCTGCTGTTTGCAAGGCCCAAACCCCTGTCTTAATTCATACAAATTAGTGAAACAAAAATAAATGACTCTCCAGAAGAACCAGGATTCCTTATTTATCAAATTGACACATTGCAGCCTACTGTTAATATCTGAAATTAACCGTTCCTAATGTAAGCGTTTTCGCTTCACAGACTGACGCGCAACAAGAGGCCCGCTCATATCTGAGCGAGGAGATGCTTGCCGGTGAGTGTACACAAATTTATATAGGCTATATCACCAATATCCACGTCTTTCTGTCATATTAAACTATGCGTCTATCTTAAAGAGTTCAAGGCTGCCTTCGACATGTTCGACACCGATGGTGGCGGTGATATCAGCACCAAGGAGTTGGGTACCGTCATGAGGATGTTGGGTCAGAATCCAACCAGAGAGGAGTTGGAAGAAATCATCGAGGAGGTCGATGAAGACGGTAAGCAAAATGCCACCGATATACATAGCACAATATAACACACAATGGGCCGAAATATACTATGCAAAAGCTTATTTTCATGCGTTCTTGTGTTTGGCAATTTGCTGCATTCTCAGCTCTGCCACAAGAGGCGATAGACACTAGTTTAGAAAGTCTTTTACAGTCAGTTATTTCTTTCAGGGCAAATGATTAGTTCACTCCAGAATAAAAAAAAAATCCTGATAATTTACTCACCCCCATGTCATCCAAGATGTTCATGTCTATCTTTCTCCAGTCAAAAATAAATGAAGGTTTTTGAGGAAAACATTCCAAGATATTTCTCCTTAGGGGAGTTCACAGGGACCAAGGGATGACTGTTCCAAATTGCAGTTTCTACACAATCCCAGCCGAAGAAAAAGGTTCTTATCTAGCGAAAAGATCATTCATTTTCAAAAAAAGATTAATAATATACTTTTTAACCACAAATACTTGTCTTGCACTAGCTCTGCGATGCTCGTCCATGACTTCACGCATTACATCCATGTTGAAAAGGTCATGCGTGGCTTAAGCGAAAGTACTGACCCAGTGTTTACTAAGCGAACGTGCAAAAATGCCCTTTTCAAAAAAAATGGTAAAACAAGATGTCAGAGTTGAGGTTTGAAGTTGGAGGAGAAAGTGAGTTATTCGCCCTACCCTACATTTTCTGCCCGGTCACACGTGACCTTTAGTAATGCATGAAGTGGTGGGCGTGCATCGCAGACCTAGTGCAAGATGAGGATTTGTGGTTAAAAAGTATATATTAGAAAATGACAGTTCGTTTCGACACGCAAGACCCTTATTCCTCGGCTGGGTTCGTGTAGAGCCCTTTGAAGCTACACTTAAACAATGCAATTTGGACCTTCAACCCATTGGTCCCCAATGAAGTCGGCTATATGGAGAAAAATTCATTTCTTTCAACTTAAAGAAAGAAAGTAATGAACATCTTGGATGACATGGGGGTGAGTAAATTATCAGGAAATTTTAATTCTGGAGTGAACTAATTCTAAAGCAGAGCAACAGTTTGAAAATAATCTTGCTGACTGAAAATAAACATCCCGGAAAAGTAAAAATTATATGAATGATCCTTCAGGCCAGTGGAAGAGACCATGTCAACTCAAGTATGTTCAACATCCGTGTTTGCATACTTGCGTAAAGAATTTTTCAGGTCTATGTGATGATGTCTACATGCATAAAAATGCTAAAATATCGACTGTGATAACTAAGGTTCTTCATACTGAAAATTGTAGGCAGCGGATCCATCGACTTTGAGGAGTTCTTGGTCATGATGGTGAGACTCCTAAAGGAGGACCAGGCTGGCAAGAGTGAGGAAGAGTTGGCCGAATGCTTCCGCGTACTGGACAGGTATGTCATTTGATATCTTCCATGTACACCTGTTTTTGATGTGACCTAGTCTCACTTCAGCATGTAACACTGTCAATCTACAGGAACGGTGATGGCTACATCGACAGAGAAGAGTTTGCAGAGATCATCCGCAGCACTGGCGAATCCATCTCAGAGGAAGAGATTGATGAGCTGCTTAAAGATGGAGACAAGAACAACGATGGCATGCTGGACTTTGATGGTATGATGCGGTTTCTAGATTTGATTTCATTTTACTTGTAAACTCTGGATTCTGATCAGATACTGAAGTAACTCAATGTCCCTTTTCCCCCAGAATTCCTCAAGATGATGGAGAACGTGCAGTAAAACAGAGACTCACGGACATTCCTCTCCTCTCTCACCCCTGCCGACTGAAACCCTGCCCTCTCAATGCCACTCAAACTCACTTTCCCCTTTTGTCCTCTTTCTGCCGTCATCTCACCTCTTCAGCAGACAGACAGATAAACACCTGTGGGAGGTTTGCCAAGGTTGGGCTCCCACTGACCCTCATGCAAGACCCAAGGAGCCAAGCTGTGGTGTCGTTCACAGGTTCATCATGTTATGATGGCGCTCAGTTTGCTGGAAGCATATGACATGGTAGACCCCATGGGTGTTTATTCTAGATCAGCAGCTTATTATCTTGCTGCATAGACCAATGCCAAACCCACATTGTATTTAAGAACACGTGCTTGAAAACAGAATAAAAAATAAAAACACATTGTTTAGTTGGTCTGACATTTTGATTTGTATGGTTTAGTTTTGAGTTGATCAATTAAACATTCTTTTTTTTTTTCCTCCAGAGTCTCTGACCCAAATTAGTCAACAATTTCTGTATATATTAAAGACTATCACTGTTTATGTAGAAGCAAAAATCAAATCTTTTACAAATATCAACACGATAATTCACTTAAAATATGCCGTTCAGCTTTACTCGACATACTGTAGGAATGGCTCTGCTTTTCTATTGCACATTTAGATTTTTAACATGACAATCTTTGTGTGCTACAAGTGTGGAAACCAGTAAATTGTGTCTTGTTTATCTGGTCAATGGCTGCTGAGTATTATTTGCAAATGAAACGGTAAAAAGCTGGTAAATTAAATCCATTCCTCATTTCTCTGATTGACATGCACTGGAAAAAACGACCAAATGTTAAAATAGCAATGAATGAGACTAATAATAGTCCAGTTTATACTGCAACATGCATTAGTGTTTTGTATACATTCATGCCTAAGCTATAAATAGAATGCATATAATGTGACAAAAAGTATCCAAAGAAAAAATCTCAATTAGTTATATTTGAATTATTAACAAAATGCAAACATTTTTTAAATGATTTCATAATACTTCTAAACACTACGAGGCACTGTTTACCAAATCAAATCCTTATACACTTTCCTTTAACCCTTCAATTTGCAACAGTTTTCATCAAATGTTTTGCTTAAAACTATTTAAAAACAAAATATTAAATTATACACACAATGTATCTTCATTGTAAAGGACACCCTCTGATCTTCTCATTTCATGAAGGGTATCTTGTAGCAAATCAAATCATTTTAACAGAAATTAATATTAGCATAAGCTAAACTGTTATGAAAGATGTCATGTCATCTTTTAAATAAGAAATTGACATGTCTATTGAAATGTTCAAGATGTACAGAAATGCTTCTTTAGATAATTAAACGTCTTGTCTTCCATTAAAGGTTTAATATATCTTTAATGCACAACAACTGAAAAAACGCTATAATGTTGTTACAAATCATCTTCGAAATGAATTGTGAATTGTCTTGCAACTGCAAAAACAGGGTTACAACAAGTCCATGCCCTACAAAGCAAAAAGGCAGTAACTACGCAGAGTGCAGAACTGAGAAAAATGACTATAACTCTGACTTTTTGCAATTACTGTACAAACGACTACCATTTTTCTCTAAAACGACACACATTTGAGATACGATGTTTTGTCACATAATAAAGGATGCTTTGAATGTCATGAAAATGATAATAACAACTGTTTGACCAAAAATGCAGTTACTGCCTTTTTGCTTTGTAGGGCAGCGATTACAATCCAAAAGGAACTTTCGATTGAACAAAATCACATAGCAACCGATGGGATTGTTGTTAAGACCCATAATTGGCCTCGTCAAAGGCTTTGCGAGCCTTTTTCAGCTCTTCGTTCATGGTGAGCAAGTCCTTCACTCTCGCAAACTTTCTAGGGTCCTTGCGGATGAGAAAGACGATGTCCTCCACCTGCACACGGCCCTGACGCCCAATAGACATCGCCTTATGTGTCATCTCCGTGATGAACTCGATGACCAGATCCTCCAGTATGTCCACTGATTCGGTGTACGGATTTTGGTCGTCTCCAAACCCATACATCATGCAGCGAAGCTCCTTCGAAAAAAGCCGCTTTCTTTTACCTTGGCCCGAATCTGCCCCGTTACCTCCGTCGTCCAAATCCTCGTCAAAACCAGGATCTTCCTCTTCCTCAGCCATTCTTTGAACGAAATACAGATTAGAAACAGTCATGCAAACACAAGACTAAAATATTCTATTTTATAAAAAGACTAACAGGCACCGTGTTAAGGTGTGTATATTTATAACTTACATGTGAAAATCGAAAGGCAAAACAAAACACCCCAACCAGGAAACAGGAAATTCTATTTATTCATTTACGTCTAACACGACACTGGATGAGACATTTTAAACGCCATCGCCACCTAGAGTTCTGGATGACGCATACAGTGTAAATATTTTATTTTATTTTTTATATTAAACATTTATTTACAGATAGTGTAAAGTTCGAAACATTTCCAATGATTCTTTTACGTCACAATGGGGCATTCTTTCTTTGCTCCAAACAAAGTGAAACGAAATATGGGCATACTTTTGATATAACGTGCACAGATGTTTTATTTTTATCATAAATTCCACCAAAAGCCAAATAAATCATTTTAAATTGTTTTTAAATGGTAAAATTTTAAAAAGTTAAATGTTGTATTTCCTGTCCAGCAGTTTATTGACTCCAAGTGAAGTGATAAAAAAGCCAATTTTTTATTGTATTTTCTAAATAGTTAAAGATAAAGTAAAACATTGAACTGGCTTTTTTATTTAACGTTAATCTTATTTTAGATTTTTGATGAGTTGTCGGCTCAGTTTGATTTGATAACGATTCGTTTATGTCTAGACCTAACGTTAGACCGGTTCAATTGATTCAATAAAAAAAGGTCCAATATTAGCAAATCTAACAGAGCTAACGCGTAGCTGATAGCAGCATTCTGCGATATTGCTCGCTCAGTTCACAGTGGCTTGGGCAAACAATTGGAAATTTTGCACACAGGAAGAAAATGATATTAATAAGTATTTAATTTCAAAACATCTCGAGTAATCTGTTTATAATTCAAATTTTCCCGGGATGCAGCGCATGTGTTAGCAGAGCAACGTCCACGTCATCTAGACAGGGGTATCTGACTGACTGTAGGTTAGGTTCACAAACAAGTTGTTTGAATTGCACAATTCTATGGCAGATATGGTATAGTGCTGTGAGAAGAGGCACGCCAGCAAATGATGGTTACATAGTGTTTAATGCTACCAGCTTTTCGTTTACAAGGACTATGTAAACAATGAGGTAAGAAAATGTGATCACCGTAGCTAGTACTGGTTAGCTGTAAATGGCAGTCAGCGTGAACAAACTGTCAAAGCATCAGTGAGGTAACAAGGTTTTAAGTGCTCGCGAGGGCTTAGGACAACATTTTATTAAAAAAAAAAATAAACCTAGCGTTTATTGCTTAAATATCTAACGTAACAAAACAAGATATCTTGAGTTTCAGCCCGCACTTTACCAGTCATTATAACGGTACAGCTGTTTGTTGCACTTTTCAACAAGTGCTTCTCTAATCAATACGACACAATAGCACACATTGAGACATTTTTGCCTTGCATGTTCTTATCAACCTATTCAAAGTTTGATTTTCCACATGTTAACATACCTATTAACTGGCTCTGGTTACCTTTCTTGTTTTAACAGTGCTTAGCTGCGCCTTGTTGTATCCGGGTTGTCCAGGATGGCGTGGCCGATGCAGTTCCTCTGCAGGGCGCTGCGCACTGTGGGCCTGGTGCTTTTCTACTATGTGTTTTCCATTGGCATAACTTTCTACAACAAGTGGCTCATGAAGGTGAGTTGTAGTTAATTTGCAAAAAAATCCTTCTTTTCCTTCTTGAAAATTGAATGTGAGTTTTTTTGTTGTTGTTGTTGTTTGTTTTGTTTGGAAGAGAACACTTATTTGTTCTATTTGGTTTTGTATAATGTCTGAATTTTGTTTTTGTCATTTGTCCCAGGTCTTCCACTTTCCTCTGTTCATGACCCTGGTCCATCTTGCTATAATATTCTGTTTCTCTTCACTGACACGCTTTGCCATACAGTGCTGGACGGGAAAGCCTCGAGTAATTCTTCCTTGGAAGGTTTACCTTTCTAAAGTAGCCCCAACAGGTGAACATTTTTCTTTTTTGTTGAGTCCAAAGACCAAAAATGTTTGACTGTGTGTCATAATGGTTGCTGAAGAGATAAACAAAAGGATAGTCGGTTTTATCCAACACAGTTTGGGAGGGTGAAGTCCATGTTGATTGTCCCAAGAATGGAGAGATTTTATCTGCTTGAGTATTCGGGGGTCTTGTCCACAAGACCATTATCTTCTGCTTGCCATAAATTAACCACGCCCTCAGCGTCATACATTCTCATGTTCAAGTTTTACCATAGATTTTTTTGTTCTGGCTAAATTTGTTATTGTTGTCAGATACCTAGTGTTTCATAATATTTATACAACTGTTTATCTTTGTCCATCAGCCCTGGCGACAGTGCTGGATATTGGACTGTCCAACTGGAGCTTCCTTTTCATCACTATTAGTTTGTAAGCATGTCGTTTATTATTTCCTGCTAAATATAGTACTACAGACACAGACAATCAAACATTTTGTAGATATTCTTAGTCTTAGATGTGCAATCATATTTCATTACATATTTGATTCTGATTGTTCGGTCATTTGATTGTGCAGACAAATATTTTTATATTTATATAAAAATGTATGAATTAGTGTTGTTTCTTACAATCAGTTTTCGACCGTTTTCTCGTAGGACATTTTTTTCTCACAAAAAAGGGTAATTTAAAATAAATATTAATGTCTTCTTCATTTATTAATATTTTTAGTGTTAAGTAGTTATATGATTAACGAGGTAATGTATATCCACCTGGTAACTAAATGTGTGTCGAGCGTCATGACGGCGGTAATTCCGCTCTGATGTTGCATTTCTTTTAGAATCCTAACAGATTTTTAAGCACAGTTGCCAGCTTTGTAAATGGTTACATAGACAATTTGGGCATCACTAAATGACTGAACATCACGCACTATCAGACATTCAAGTCATTCCAAATGAAACAAACTCACGCACAAACATGCGTCTCATGTATGACAATGAAAACTATATGTGATCTCAAATCGACTCAAGATATTGAACTTTTTTTTTTTTGTTACCTGAATGGATGGGATCAAACTCTAAAGCTAAAAAACGTTGTGTAGTTTATTCCAGCCTTAACTTGTTTGCAATTCTTGACCTGTGGTGTACTGGTGTTTGCTTCAGGAAATGCAAGTTAATTAAAACTACTTGGGATTTTTGGGTTTCCTATAGGTACACCATGACCAAGTCTTCAGCTGTTCTCTTCATTCTCTTTTTCTCCCTGGTCTTCAAACTCGAGGAGCCGGTAAGTGTGCTTGCTTATACACTTGATTCTTGAAGAAGTAAAGAAAAGGAAGCTATCGTTCAAAAGAAGCTATCTTTACTTCAGACACATTAAACACACGTTTTGCATATATAAAGTTTGCATCAAGATGCAGCAATGTGCTGTATTTCAGACATTTGAAGACTAGTACACATGTAAAAAGTCCATCTGCCATTTTTCTTTTAAATGAGCATTTTTATCTGGCTCCATGTTTAGTTTCAGTACAGGTTTAATGGCAATAAAACGGTTATTAGTCAGTTATTGAAATGCCTTATTTTTAAAAATGTCACAATTATTTTCACAATAAAATCCTTAAGAGCATTCACTCTTTTTTGAAATGTCAAAAAAGAGGTTTTGCATCTGAAGTCATCATTTTTGTTTGCAATCTTTGCCAAACTGGCTATTCTCTGCCCATATAATCATTTATAATCAGAGCATTTTACCACCCAGTGTGTTTTTCTTTTTATATTTATCTGCATTTGGCAAGCCCAGTAGTAGTCATATAATCAAGCCTGCAGAGTTGCTCCAAGCCTAATTATACAGCTGTATACCGAAAGAAAAAAAGTGTCTGTATTTTACCACCAAAAAGGGTCTGTACTTTTTCCCCTGAAAAAGAATCCCTTTGAGTTTTTAATTTTATGGAGCTCTTGGCTGTGTGAGCCATTTGGTTCACACCTTTACAGACACAAATTAAGATGATTGCATCTGAGGGTTTGAAATTAAATTTTTTTAATTTTCACCACCCAATTTGTTTACTAAATGGAGGGGTGCGGGTATGACCCCACTTTGTAGGCCAACCGGCAGTTAGCATCATACTGGTTCCCTTTTAAGAGCACAGTTATAAGCATAATGATGTTTTAAACACAGACTGAGCTAATGATGTCGTAGAATAAAACGTGAAAATGTCTTGAGCTTGTTCACCACCCTGACAAGAACGTTGGTCTCCTCAGCTGTGAACCGCGCCTGGTAAATTCAACAATCCGCCATGCAACATGCGCACGTGCTCTTAAAGGGTTTGTTGGATGACACTCTGATTGGTTTATTTCACATTACGCCCAAACCACACCTATGAATAATGAAGCTATTTCAGACCAACCCCTTTTAAACTTGTTTCGGGTGCAAGAGTCATTTATCCCGCCGGTAAAATAGCAACAGCGCCCAAGACCCGCACACAGAGTTATACCCGCACACTTGATACTTGCGTTTCAGATCGTTAAAATAGGGCCCCAAATGTATTTGCAACAGTCGTTTTATAGCATCCGGTGTGGTGCAGCCTGCCAAATGTCATGTCCGGTGTAAAGGGTGACCACTATTTGCTTGACAATCCTGAAAATCCTGTGAGTGCCAGTCACAGAACCAGCCAAAACTGTTTATTAGCGATGGTTTAAAATGTTATCATCCAATGTAATGGCAAATATGTTTTCCAGCTAATGTAATTCAGTCTTTACATAGATTAAAAGTAGTACATTTTGTGCTCTTTTGAACCCAACAGAACCCATTCCTGATCCTGGTGGTGTTGCTGATAGCCAGTGGTCTGTTCATGTTCACTCTCAAGTCAACTCAGTTTAACCTAGAGGGTTTCCTAATGGTCCTGTTGGCCTCTTTTATCGGAGGGATCCGCTGGACTCTCACTCAAGTGCTCATGCAGAAAGCAGAACTTGGTAAGTTGGTTTGAGGAGAACATTGAAAGTCTCTGTTGAGATCACTGAACTGTTAGCATGTTGTTATGACCTGTGTTTGGTCTGTAGTGGTGAATTCTCATGACTCTTATGTCCTACTCTTTGCCACACAGGGCTTCAGAACCCCATAGACACCATGTACCATCTACAGCCCCTCATGTTCCTGAGCCTCTTTCCTCTGTTTCTTCTCAATGAGGGTCAGTCAGACACCAGTTTTTTTCCCTTCAGTCTTTCCTAAGGGTTATCTCACAAAGAAATGTCATGGTTGTATTTCACCTCAAAATAGAAAATAACTTATTATGGTATTGTAATGAGCAAAAACCTCATTCTGTCTCTAAAGTTTATTTATATATATTATAAGTCTCAATTCATCCTTGCACAAATTAAGGTCCTAAATTTAAAAAGTCATGGCATTAAATGTTGCATGCATTGCAAAACAAATATATGTTCCTCAGTATTTTTTACCTAAACATCTTTAAATCAAGATACATTTACTTTAACAGAATTAAACGAGTTTTTGCTTCAAACAAGAACAAAGATCTGTCAATGAGTTACAAATGAAAAATATGAATATGAATAAAAATATGAAAGAATGAATCAAAAATGAGTTACCTTAAAATTAAGTCGATTTTTCTGAGCCCATTGGTAGATATTTGTACTTGTTTTAATCATAAACTCCATAACATATAATCAATTTCACAGAAAAAAAGAAAAGAAAGAATGCATCTCCAGTAAATGCATCTTGATTTAGGAATCATTAGACATTTGCACTGGAAAACAAGATAAAAATCCTGAAGATGAACATCACTTTTTTTGCGTTGTGTTCAGAAGGCACAGATTTAGTTTTTCCATATTCTAGTGGTTCGGAGCAGAGTGATTCAATTTCAAGCTACTACTTTTGTATAATGAATTAAAAAGCAATGGACATCTGGATATCCTAGACATTTACATTTAGAGAACAAATTGACCTATTGGGTTCCCTTCAATTTATTCCTTACATTTTCTTTACTTGGTCTTAAAAAGTTCTTCAAAAACACTTCATGAACCTTGCAGAAACCATGATCTTAGATTCAGTGCAACTAATATTACCATAACATATACTTATAGTTATACTTTACAATTTACTTATCATGTATTTTCCCCCTCTGAAATGAAATTCACAAATACATGGTCTATCTTAATGGTTGTAAAATACGTTTCAACTACGTCATTCAATATATAACTTGTATTTCTCTTGGGGTTTTTGCCATTTGCTATGTTTTTTGCTTACCAGTGCATTTGTGTCTCTAGTAACGTGTTGCTTGCCTGTTTCTTCATCTTGTCATTCATGAGTAGGACTGAGTGTGAGCACCACAGAGAAGCTCTTCAGGGTCAGTGAGCTCTCACATCTGCTCTACACTCTTGTGACTCTGTCTGTGGGTGGCATGCTGGCATTTGGTCTGGGCTTTTCCGAGTTCCTGCTGGTGTCCCGCACGTCCAGCCTCACGCTATCCATTGCTGGTATTTTTAAGGTGAGAATACATCTAAAGGATTTTCCAATATGCTTTTGCACACGATTAAGTAATATAAAAAGCTGCAGAAGCTCTTTGCTTCTTCATCTTAATGGCCGGTTTCCCATTAGCTCTGCTAGGTTTTAAAGCCTTCATTAGACTTAAACCATTCATTTTCTTCACAAAGACATTCTCTCTGTCTCTCTGTAGGAGGTGTGCACTCTACTGCTGGCAGTGGAGTTCACGGGGGATAAAATTAGCACAGTGAACTGGTTGGGCTTTGTTGTGTGTCTCTCTGGCATAACACTGCATATTAGCCTCAAAACATTTTATAACAAAGGTAAGAAAGACAATCCTAATTCTGATTATGCATGCAGATGTTTGTGCAATGCAATGATTCATACTAGCTTTTAAGTATAATGCTAAAGGCAACTTTAAGTTGCAATGAAATGGAAGTAGCAACAAATGTAATATCTGCATAGTTTTACAGTGTTGGTAAATGTTTCAACAATGCATCAAGAAATTTTTCATTACTTCTAAATAAGGATGTTTTTTGGTGTAGAAATCTTGATAACATTATAAGTGGACCTCAGAGAACATTATAAAATTAAAGAAAATTCAGTTCATGACCCCTTTAACCATTTTGAAAACCATTTTCTCATTTCTGTAATGTAATTTTAAGAGAGACATATAGCCAGTACGGGACCTCTTCTGGCATGATTGTATACATTGCTGTTGTACATGTACTGTACATGTTAAAGGGTTAGTTCACCCAAAAATGAAAATTAAGTCATTAATTACTCACCCCCATGCTGTACCAACCCCGTAAGACCTTCGTTCATCTTCGGAACACAAATGAAGATATTTTTGATTAAATTTGAGAGCTGTATAACTACCACATAGACTTCCGGGACTGGCTCTTGACGGCCCAGAAAGTCAATGAAGAAAATGTTTAAATATTCCATGTGACTACAGTGGCTCAACTATAAGTTTATCAAGCGACGAGAATACTTTTTGTGCGAAAAAACAAACAAAAATAACGACTTTATTCGACTTTTCCTTTTCTTCCTTGTTGGCCTGAAACGAGACTTCCATACGATTTCCACGACGCATGCGCGAGAACTGAACTGAAGTAGTGTAAGGAGATCGCAATTCTCGCGCATGCGTCGTGGAAATCTAAGGAAGTCTCGTTTCAGGCCAACAAGGAAGAAAAGGAAAAGTCGAATAAAGTCGTTATTTTTGTTTGCTTTTTCGCACAAAAAGTATTCTCGTCGCTTGATAAACTTATAGTTGAGCCACTGTAGTCACATGGAATATTTAAACATTTTCTTCATTGACTTTCTGGGCCGTCAAGAGCCAGTCCCGGAAGTCTATGTGGTAGTTATACAGCTCTCAAATTTAATCAAAAATATCTTCATTTGTGTTCCGAAGATGAACGAAGGTCTTACGGGGTTGGTACAGCATGGGGGTGAGTAATTAATGACTTAATTTTCATTTTTGGGTGAACTAACCCTTTAATTAAGATGGGCTCCTCAGAACAGTTTTAGTCATAAAATGGATTCTCAGAAATGAACAGCAGAACCTTATACTGGGTTTAGACTACAGAATATTTTGTCTGTTATAAAAGTCACTGTCAGCTTTTTTGAAATGTTGCCTAGTCACCAGGTTGCTGAAGCGTCTCCCCTATCGTTCATCTTTTTTCAGTCTGTCGTCATGGTTGTCCCTCGGGGAAACATCATGAAGGCAGAAGTACTGCCATAGCCCCACGAATCTTTCCTTCATTGCACAAATACTATCGTCTCTTTCGTTTGGCATGTTTGAAAGCTGAGGAAACCGAAAAATAATTGAACATGCTAGTCTTTCCGTTGTGAAGCATCGCAGCAACTATGACCCACTATACAAGATAAAATGATCAATTTTTGCATACCCCACATACTGATCATGCCAAAATCAGGCTAAAATCGTGTTGTCTGAACCATGCATTAGAAAGCTTCTGGCTTCTGGAAGAAGAAAATGCTCAAAGATTATTTTTGAAACACTAATTGTTTTGTTTTTATCTGTATATCTCTGTCTTTTCATAGGAAATGGCCCCATGGTGAGACAACTACCTGTCAGAGACAACCCAGACCTTGAGCTTCCACTTCTGCAAACAAAAGACGACTATTGTGAAGACACAAATGACGAAGAGGAGCATGAGATTCTTTACTAGTTTGAGAAAGACATGAATGTCCTAAATATACTCGTGGAATGTTCTGCTTTAGGCTCATATCATTGGTCACATTGACCACAGGTACTGAACAAGCCTCGGATATGTTCTGAATGAGCACGAGAAGAGACTATAGAGCTGATGTACGGGGGTACATTTGTGTTGTCTGTCTCTCCGTGAAACCGAGAGGACACTATGCTCTTGGGAAGACGGGACTCTTAAAAGCCACTGGGTGATTACAAAGATAGTTCACCCAAACAGTTCACTTCTGTCATCATTTACTTACCCTCTTGTCATTTCAAACCTGTATGACTTTTCTCCTGTGGAACACAAAAGGAGATGTTTTTACATAGAATGAAAGTGGATGGGGACCAGGGACTATCAAGCTCAAAAAATTGTAAATCCATATGCATTGTGTGTAATATCCCAAAGGCCCCTGAAGCTGTATGATAGACATTCTGCAAATAAATAATTAATTTAGCCCTTGAAGAAAAAGTCACATGTTTTGGAAGACACTAGGGTGAGTAAATTAGACTATTTTAATTTATAGGTAATACCTTTAAAACTGATGTGGCATCAATCACAGCACAGGACCAATCTCCTAGTGGCCTTACACATTTGTTTAAATGACTATAAAGAATTTATTTTACTAAATATAAATTCTGTTTCAGTTGCCCACAATAATGATTTCACTAATTATGACACAGAATGTGATTTTTTTTTTTTTTTTTTTTAAATAAAATGAACTTTGATTTCTTCTATCATGTATTCCTTCCCCTTTAACTTTCCAAAGGCAGCTTTATGAATTGCATTTACTTCAACTTTGAGCAAATTTTATCAACTCTTAGAGAGGGAGGCAGAATTCAGCAAAGTAGATTATATAGCCAAATTAGATTTGTTTGGAGTTCTCATGCAGATAGAGGGATGTCTAGTAATTCATGAACCTGTTTAAGTTCATTGAGTTTGTTTAGTGGGTTAATCATGAAGTCAAAGGGCCTGTTCAGTTCCAAATCAGTTTTTTCAAGAGATGGAAATGAATTCGGTTAAGTGGAAGTATGCTTCGGTCTCGCGCACATCTGCATGTGCAGCCCAAGTAAACATGAATTATTTTGAAACTTTATGCAACACACTCATTTACATTCAGCACCTTATGGATGCGTTACTGACTTTTTTTAGGAATATCTATGTGTTCAAAGCTTAAAGTCTAACTTGGTAAAAGACTGGTGCAGTTTCCATCACTAGTCCCCTCTGATTGTTACTGCCAAAAATGTGGTCTTCAGACAAAGAGTTTTTACCTGACAGTTCCATTATTAGAGCAGTAGGGCAAGACAGGGGTATAGTTGTAATACTTTTTGCTCCAGCATCTGTAACTCAATGATTTTATGAGCTTGAGTGCTCAAACTTTTACATTTGTTTCCTACAAAAGGCACCTGTTCAAACCTCTGTAAGAACATCGCAGCCCTTATGAATTGATGTCAAATGGCGTGCCTTTGTTACTATCCACACCACTAGGTTTACTGAGGTTTTAGGTTGACCACAGCTCAAATAAACAAATACATTTTCTGTTTGACTGTGCATGTGTCTGTAAATGAGTATATTAGAACAAACTTCCTTAGCGGCTTTTATCCTTAATGAATACTCGACTAGTGTACCTGTAAAGAATAGAGTTGCCAAATGGCTGCATATACAAGCAACAAAAAAGTTTTCATTGCCTGAGGTATCAGAATCCTCACCACTGGCTTTCAACATTGGCGTCGCAACTGATCTGACTGACCTGAAACCTCATAAAAAAAAAAAAAAAAAAAAAAAAAAAACACTGGCAGGGACACATCTATCTGTCTTTCTTTTCCACTGTGTCTATGCCTTCGTTAAAATCTTAAAAATAAATGTTTTTATTTGTATGTAAGGGCTTTTAAAGGTGTACCCCACCCCTGTCAGCCAATGGTTTGAAATTGGCAGGTTAAAAATGAAATCACAGAGAACTACAATTTGTTATAATACAAGTCATATGATTTTATCAGCAAAAGTACTAAAAATAAAGTTTTATTCAAAATTGGTATATTATTATATTATCTAAAAATCTGTTGTGTCATTAAACCCCATCATTGTTGGGGAGGTCTCTCTCTCTCTCTCTCAAGCTTTGCAGAACAGCTGATATACAGTAGGCCTACCACCCTGAGTATATAGCCTATTCCCCGCCTTCATATTACTAGAGGAGAGTACTGCACCCGTATCAGATTTCACACCTAACCCAAACGAAGTAGAGACATAAACGGGAGCGAATGGGAAGTAAGTGACCGGGACTCAATGTGTTAACATCCCATACTGTGGAATGCGTCAGGTACACGCTTCAGCTTCAGGTACACTACTTTATTTACAATAGACCCTTATCAGAGTCATATATGTGTGTGTCTGTTTCCCAATGCTTTGCTGTTTTAAAATTTAAAAGTTGAATTCGCTTTGACTTGCTGTAATTGCTTCTAGTGGTTCAGTTATCTAACTGAGTTGAGCACGAGCAGTATTCTATCTAAGTCATATAAGTTAATGTTAATGTTTGAGTTAAAGATAAAGACAGTAGACCACCTAGTAATGCGTTCTTCATGTGGGCTGCTAGGTTTCAAAATGCGCTTAGTTAGCGGTAATAGCTTTCGACAGCTCACTTTAGGTGTGGTATCACAACAGATTCGGAGCTTTAAAGTTCCCCATATCATCTGTTTCTATTGTATTCAGTACAACAAGTCAATGCATGTAAATGCCGTCTTATTATGGCCCAAAGCAGTTGAAATAGGTGCCTAATAATTGTACTTCTCACACATAATATTTGTGTGAATCAGACCAGCATTAGCCTACTGAAAAGATTTGCTGCTCTCTCCATTGATTTTTTTTTTTTTTGGACAGGTGGGATTTTAATGAGTCGGTTCACTTGCTGAATAAATGCTTTACATTAAGGTTTGCAGAAATGTCTGGTTATAAATATATAACAGGTGTTCAGCTTTCCCTCCCTCTTCTTGTAATTGTCTTCAATGGGCCTGTAATGACCACTTCTGATGCAGCCTTTTTTTTTTTTTGTAAATGTACCATCTCTTTCTGCCTCTCTTTCTTATTGTTTAGGAGGGCATATTTAAAGCTGTGTTACATTAAAGGGTTTGGAATACTCTCTCTATGCAACTTCATCAGAGAACATCAGCTTTACGGTGCTGTTTATGTTATTATGATCACCTCGCTTTGATGTTTATTTGAAGTGAATGAAATTTACACTCATTTTTTCGAATTGCTCACAGTGACTATTTTCCCACAGGTCTTTATTTGATACCAGCTCAATCATGACGGCCCACATATCTCTTCTCGTCCTCCAAGAGCGAACGACAATCACCCTGTTGACGGTTCTCCTTCTGCTGGTTTTTGAAGTTCATACCCAAGGTTATATATTGCCTTTTATATACCAATATACACAATATTACAATTCTAGTTGATGTTGGGATTAGGAATTATTTTGCATGTTGTGATTGATAACAGAAAAATATCTGAGGGACTATCAGTAGCTTACTATTTGGTCTAAATATGAAAAGTGAAGCATGGAAAACTAAAATCAAAGGTAATCTAAATGTAAGTATAAGGGGAAAGGGTCATCCACAATAAAAAATAAAAAAACGGTTTGTGTCGCTGCTGCACCTCCAGAAGAAGTGAGTGTAACGTTTTATAAACCTTTATATTAATCTTTTCACTTCACGATGAATGCGGCTAAGGTTTACTATTTTCTATGTGTGACGTTCTCAATATTGTTCATTGTAACGCGTTATAGTTATTGTGTTAATACAAACTGTGTACATATACATCAGCAAACATGTTAGCGTTCGTATCTCATTACTCTACCCTGCCAGTAACGTTACATACAAAGATAGATCAAAGTGACATAATGTTAACTAACCATTCAGAAACATCCTGTTCGAGCCTTAATTGTCGAACTTCTTTGCGGCTGTCATCTTGTTCCGGGTCCGACTGCGGTTCAAACTGATTAGGTTGCACAGTTGTGTCCTCAGAGACTCCCGCTGCCATTCTTTTTCCAAGGAAACACTCCATGTTTGTTGTGTCAAAACGCCCCACAGAACGGAGAGGCGGGTTGAGAAATGCTCGTTATCATTTAAAAACACATGCACTTAAACGGTCTTCTCGTTATTATATCTCTAGCTGTTTGATATATCATAAACAGAAGAATTTTCCTTACCGTATGCTGCTCTACATGTCATTCATCTCCATCAAATCATTCTTTTTTGTTTTTGCTCTTCTGATGGTGTTCAGCTTTCTCTTTCAGCAAATTTTATATTTGTATGGTGTGTAGCGATTTGACCCAGCACAAACACAACGCTATTCTTTGTGAAAGATGGATAAAAAAGCGCACAGGAAACAAAAACCTTGAAAACATTATAAACGACCCGGCCAAATCACAGAGATGCCGATTCACACGGGACTAAATTATCATAGGACCTTGGTGTGCGGGGAAATATAGTAGGTCATTTGCGGGGAAATTTACTTTACAAATTACAGCCTTGGCCGATTCAGATCACAGACACCAGGTACTAATCCAGTGCGAATAGGGCTTAACACTTAAAATTCTGCAGTGCCTGTATGTTTCTTTCTGTTTTTTTATGCACGTCTCTGCATCCTTGAAAATGTTCCGAATTTAAGAGCCATGGATGATTACTGTTGCTTTGTGCTTCCATAATTAGATGTCCTCTTTTCTAACAAAAATGCAAGGCCTGTGCACTTCAAAATGAAATAAAGGGTCAAGTAGCACTGTAGCATGCATGCCCACAAAATAACAATCCACATATAGCTCTTTTTGTGGGGCAGGAATACATTTGCTTGTTCATTGATTCAAAAGTCAAGTGTATAATTTTATAATGTTAATGTTTCTTACATGTTATTTATATTCTTAACCGTTAATTCGGATATATAAAAAGAAAATATAATATCATATGTTTGTTTCATTCATAAAAGGGATCTAATAATCTAATGGGACAGAATTTACAACCCTCAAAACAATAAAAACCTATAACAGGCCAAAAATCGAATGACACTGAATCTGAACTCTGTCTAAATTGTAACTTTCCCCAAGGAAAGGAAATTTCTGGTTAGCAGCACACCAGAATAGAATAGTGTTTAGAATGCAGAATTCCTGCCCGAGGCCCTTGTGCAACATTGCGGAATTTTAGGACAACTTCCCTTCGCTCTTGGTGGACGTTGCTACATTTGGGAAAGAAATTTGCCTTAAAATGCTTGGAATAATTTATGTCCTTTCTAGCCCTCTTGTTATCTCTGTCTTCTCTAGAGAATACATGCTGTTTTTGTCTGAGCATTTGGCCGCACATTTGTTGACTTCTGGGTTGGTGGTGCTGCTGTGTGTGTCGGCCAGAAAGCTTCATTTTGCCTCTGATCCACTGCCAGTTAATGCAGAGCGTGGATATTTATTTGTTGCCACTGTAAAAATGTTGTTACCTTAAGAAGTTATTTCTATCAAATTTTACCCATAAATCTGATATGTATTTGTGTTGTCTAATGCAGTTGATTAGCTATCTTTAATAATAATGATAAGAAAAAAATCTTTTACTTGAATTAAGCCTTTTCATTTCGACATGACCTCACAAAGCATATTATTTATACCTAAAAATATATAAAAAATATGTTTGTTTTTTCTGACATATTTTTATTGAATTTTACAACACATTTAACATACAGTAAGAACATAACATACACTTAATACACACATACAACCCCTCCACATACATTGCTTTATATCACACACTCCTGTTGAGCATTAAGCATACAACTTCACACATCTATAGCCTCTTCAATATCTCCTTATTTAACAAATCTCAAGAACATCTCCTAAATTTTGTCAAATTCAGGATCAGGGCAGTATACTTACTTATACTTATATAATATGCTTGATCAGTGTATTATATAATTGGGTAATTCGCCCTTTACTGAAACAGTCTTTTGAATTGAATTTAATTGAATTGAATTTTTTTTTACAGTGCATGTGTAACATTCACCATTTCCCTGATTTTATTCCCCCGTCATAATCCGGAGCTTAAAGACACTACAGTAAGAGGGGACAAAGATCTTCATGTTTTGGGGGTCAGATCCATTGTAAAACTTGTCTGGGCTATGACGTTACATGCATGCATCCCCTTCAGGGTGACCTTCAACCCCACCGAAAAGCAGATTTCCTGTGGTCCTCAACCCCCTGTTACCCTGCGGGGCATTACAGGGCCTGCTTTGAGCGCTCGCGCACAGCTGGGGAGAGGGAAAGATGGAGCAGGAAACATGAAAGGGGGGATTGTGACAAACTGGCATGTGGAAATTATGCAGATAAGCTGAAGACAAGGGCAGAGTTCAGCAAGAGAACAGTGATGAAGGAAAAGGAGGAATTAATAAAAAAACTTCCCATTCAAATATTGGAGTGAAAAAAAAAAGCCATTGAGAAGCTTTTAGAGGAAGACTTTGATCTCATACAGGCCTCTTTTCCCATGATTCTCTCTCTAGGAGTTACATGCTTGTTTTTATCTGACTTCTACAAAGAGGACACAAACTTATCAGACATATCAAAATGTTTATCAGTCGTAATAGATCTGTTTCTTTGCTAATAATGTGTTGTGAAGTTGCATTTCCACAAAGCTTGTTTTTGAATGTATTTCCAGCCCGTCTGAAGCTGACTGTTCTGTCTGAAGATCGGCTGCAGATGAAATGGAAGGAGGCGGAAGGGCCAGTGCAGGGTTACAAGGTCCGTGTGCGGCCCATCACAGGTGAGACTGCTTTAGTTATTGGTAAATGATTAAGATTACATCATTACTTCTTACTAAAAGTAACTTTTTGTTACTTTTTCTCACTGTCGCTTTGCATGCAATAACATAGGTATACTCCCATGCAAAAGTTTGGGGTCAGTAAGATTTTTAATGTTTTTGAAATAAGTTTCACCAATGTTCACCAAGGCTGTATTTATTTGATTGATACAATACCGTGAAAACAATGTTGTGAAATTTTATTATAATTTAAAAAAGTGTTTTCTATTCGAGTATATTTAAAAATGTAATTCATTATTGTGAAGAGTTAGGGGGTTAGCCATTATTCCAGTCTTCGTGTCAAATTTCTTAATACCAATATTGAAATATTATTGTGTAATGAAAAAAAAAAACATCTACATTTCTTTCTGAATTCTTTGGTGAATAAGAAGTGGAAAAAAGCATTTATTTGAAACATATATTTTTTGTAATTATTTACTGTCATTCTTTAACATTTAATGCATCCTTGTTGAATAAAAGTAGTAATTCATCTCTCTCTCTCTCTCCAAAAAAAACAAAAAAACTTTTGAACAGCAGTGTATGCAATGTGCATTCATAATGCCTCAAAAAGGTGCACACTGATTGAACAACAGTGAAGCGTATGGCAGCCATACCTGTTGGCTCCAGGGCACATTAAATCCTCCACTGGAAACACCCACATTTTAGCCGCTACACATAACAGAAACTGGATTCCACTGAAGCACTCAGTTTTATTTTATTTACCAGCAGCATTTTGACACTTTTGAAACAAACTTGTCATTAAGTAAATCAAATTATGTTACTTGAAGTCGACATGAAACGGAAGTTGCGATTCCCTATTGTGCCATGTAAACAAGTAAAACGGCTTGTTTTTTGTCCTTCAGGATTGATTGGATCATTGTTTCTATTTTGATTAAAGATTATGAGGGCACATGAATGGAAAAAATGGCATTCAGAACAGGTGAGGAACGGGAAGGCAGGATTTTTGAGAGATGATGGAATGAGGATAGTTATAGCCTTTGCTCATATCACCTCTGTCTGACATATCATCTTGTTTTTTACCACTCTGTATGTGTCTGTGAAACCCCTTCTCTTCCGTCTTTATCTTTGTCTCTCTTATCTACTGTTACGCCCTTGTGCTCAGTTAGGTGAGTCCAGACAGGTCTTTTGCAGTCTCGAGAAAGTTCACACAGCAAAACAAACAGCAAACATGCCCCTCAGTGCTCCAGGCAGAGACAGACAGAAATAGGCAATCATGTTTCGTAATAAACATCTTTTGATTGTATTTAGTTATATTCTGTAATAAGCATAATGCCTGGCTTCAATTTTTTTATAATAATTTTCATAATTCATAAGTCTCCCCTCCCTCATACCTTGAAGTGAAAACCCCATGCTGTGTTTCATTTTGAAGTCCGCTCCCTCCAGAGGTCACATTAATCAGCAACATACGTCCTTTATTAGCCTACTTCTATTCAGAAAAGCAGCTATTAGATTCCAGAACGAAATGACAGTAATTTACACCTCATGAGGTATCACATTCAGTTTTATAATGGTTACTGTGAGTGCAGCAAGCTGACTCATTAGCTTAGGACTTCTACAGTAGGTTCTTTTGTACTCAACACAAAATGGCAGTAAAATTAGAAAAAAATTAAAAGTTTTGAATCTAAAGTTCAAAACATAAAATATAAAAACTCTTTACTTTTCTAACAAATTAACTGTGTAGGTCAAAAAGTCCAGTGGCTTCTGGCTGTTTTGTGGATTCAATTTATTTCATACTACATCTAACACCAATCAAATTACATTATACTAGTTCACTGGTCAACTGTTTAAATTCTCAGGTTTTACTAAATAAACTCAGAATATTATTACTTCCATAGAAATGGCTTCATCAATGACTTTTCTGAAAGGAGACATCCCGATTAAATTAAGTTGTTTTTTAGCCAAAAATAGTCTGAAATTTAGCATTTTTTCTGGCCATTTTCCACACTTTGACTAAAAGTGAACTGCAGGTTTGATGTGGAGTCCAAATTTAGTATCTTAATAACCATGTACTTCGATATCAGGCACTTTGCAAAGCTGTGTTACATTGGGAAATTACAAAATAATCTTCACCAACACATGCTGCTCAAACTGAAATGAGCTTTAAATCGAAATCTTTTTCTTTTCCAGAGGTTCAACAGCCAGAGCTGATGCTGACGACTACACGCGGCCGGGCCACGGTAGCAGGCCTGGACTCCAGACAGGAATACCTCCTCCAAGTCCTGGTGCTCAATGGGACACAGGAGAAACTCGTTGCAAAAAGACGTTTTACCAGTAAGAGTGGAGGATGACAGAACCACATTCCTGTAACTTCTATTGAGTTTGTCAGCCATTTTATCATCAGCCAGGCAAATAATAAGTGTGATTACTTTGGGAAACTAATTATAAATCTCAGCATATCAAGCCACTTGATTTGAGGAATCATTTATGTCTGTATCAAAAAGGGTAGAGTACACCTAAACGTTTAATATCAGCATTAGAGGTTTCCCATCCAATTGTTGTTGCGGTATAGGGGAACTTTCTGTGAGAAGCAGAAATCTTTATGTCATAGTTCCCAGCTGTCAGAAGCTGTCAACACAGACCCAGAGTACAGAAACTATTTCTTGTTTAAACACATCACAAACTACACACACACACACACAGACAGTGTTCAGGGAACTGTCTGTAATTGACTCCGTCAAATGGTGGATTCCAGCTGGATTACAGGCTGGGACTGACTCTTGTGTCTTTACAGGCACAAAACACTTTTGGAATTCCCTTTAAAACGACCACCCTGAAAGAAACCTGATATCAGATGATGAAACTTTGCATTTGAAATTGTGAATGTGCTAAAATAAGAATGTAGACTGGACTTTTTTTCATAATAGCTTGCTGTTGTCATGTTCCAAAGATGCAGACTATGCCAAACATCTGTGAAACGTTGGGATGAGAGGTTGGGAGAGTAGGTTACTATGTCGAGCGTGCAGGTCTGGACAGGTTTGGATAGAGGGTCATGCTTGCTTGTTGTCTGAGGGGGATTATTCCATTGTTCCCTCAGAAAAGCCAAAGCATCCACTCAGTTTTTAAATATGGATCTGCTTGCATATCAAAAAGTTGTTGGTGTTAACAAAATAGTGCTTTGCAAGTAAACTATGCAAGTAAAGTGCATGCTTTACTTGTTTTATGTAATCTGATTTGCCTAATAGTTTCCAATAAATGAGCAAAAAATAAAAAATAAACCATCATTAATTTGACATTTCATGTATACAGTATCTGTTTATTTTCATATCCTCCTCCCAGTCATCTTCACTTTCCCTATTCCTCATTTTCTCACAGTCGATGGGTTGCGTGAGGAAGAGTTGATCCGCAGCGGGAACAGGGAGCAGAAGAAGAAAATTCCCTCCATTGGCTCTGGCTCTGGAGAAGTGGATGACGTGACAGAGGCTCTAGCAGCCCTTCCCACTGTGGTCTACCGAAAACCAACGACTACAGGTAGAGGACCCACAAACATTGTCTGCCAGTTTCCCAGGAGTCAACCATATATGCACTTGTCAATCACAACCGTTCCAGCATTGATAATAAGAAATGTTTCGTGAGCAGCAAATCATATTTGAATGATTTCTGAAGGATCATGTGACACTGAAGTCTGGAGTAATGATGCTGACTATTCAGCTTTGCTATCAAAGGAATAAATGACATCTTAAAATATATTAAATGAGAAGTTATTTTAAATTGTTATAATATTTCACAATATAACTGTTTTTACTGTATTTTTGATTAAACAAATGCAGCCTCGGTGAGCATACCTACCACAAACATTAAAACTGTAGTGTATGTTTTCTAAACCTAATTATGCACATTATGATAAATAAAACATTTGCAATATATTTACCTTGAGGACTTTTGATAACAGGACATTATGATGACATAAAAAATTGCATTTTCAGTGTGAAATATTTGCAGTTTTCACTCTAAACTCCAGATGGGTGAAATGTTGTTACTAAAATTATGACATTTTTTTAGACAAACCAAACATGCTTCTGCCCAACCAGGTGTACAAAGCCAATGAACTCTGTGCTGAGCTTTGTCCCACGGCCTCTCTGTCTGTCATTATGCGTTTTTTACTGGCAGCTCTTTCACTAACCTATTAATAAGAGTCCATTCACCACCAAACACCTGTAATCAATGGTGCCTTAATGGGACAGGACAGGACGGGGTGTGGGAAGACAGACTCCATCACTAGCTATACTTTGTATTTTGATATCCCTTTGAGATCCGTCTTCTGAAACCTTTAAGCTTTTGATATTATGTAACTATTTGTTGTTGTTTTTTGTGTACAAAATACATTTAAATCCTCAATACATTAAGGATTAAAGTTTAAAATTCTCCAACTGTGATGGTGTCATAGTAATAATTGTATACTGACTTGCATATGGTCTTCTTGTATACTTCATTGTGATTAGTCTTGCATCTATTTAACCATTTATAACCACAATTATATGTACAAATGTATGATTGTCATGCACATTTTTGAGTCAAATTCACCCACTTTTAAGGTCATTAAAACTCAGATTCAATCTGAGACAAGATTGCTTTATTTCGCTGCAGTACATTTAACATTTTTATTTTGATATTTTCACTTCTAATGTCTTTTTGCTCCTATAGAGCCTCCTGCTGTACCTGAGCTTGAGCCAGAAGTTGACAGAAGCCCTAAAGAAAAGAAAAAAAAGGACAAGAATCGATCCAAGACTGAGGATAAAAATGATCAAGAAGATAATGGAGGGAAGTCAGTGAGAGAAGAGGTTACCAACACCAACAAACCAAGAAAAACCACCCCAACCCAGCCTGTCACAGGTGATAGCACTCACATTTCAGATGATTTAAATCAACCAGATGGACAAACAGCTATTAAAAAGATAATGTACAATGTTATTGACCTCATACATTTGTAAATATGAACATCAAATGCACATTGACTCAAATAGTCTCCCGTGATACAGGAACATGTTATGGTCAGTGTTTAACAGAGTTAATGAGCTGTGTTGATGTTTCCTGTCTGTATAGTGAAGGCTAATAACAGAATTAGGGACAAACCAGAGTTAATGACACTGTAGGTTGTTATCAAGGCCCCTCGTGTGCCCTAAGGACTGAAATTTGTTCGCTCCTTCCTCCCATCTGTAAAACACACACATAGATTGGAATGTACTTTGGAGGAACACACATACTGTATATGTATTGACAAAAAATGTATCTTGCAATGTCACTTCACAAAGTGCTTAAAGGAGTTGTTCACTTTTAAAAAAAATTTTGCTGATAATTTACACACCGCCATGTCATCCAAGATGTCCATGTCATTCTTTCTTCAGTCGAAAAGAAATTAAGGTTTTTGATGAAAACATTCCAGGATTTTTCTCCATATAATGGACTTCAATGGGAACCAAATGGTTCAAGGTCCAAAAGACAGTTTCAGTGCAAACTGCAAACTGTTCAAAGGGCTTTAAACTATTTCAGACGATGAATAAGCGAAGTGATCGCTCATTTAAAAAAAAAAAAAGACTCAAATGGTTGCTTTGCTCTGTTAGGGTGAGGGTTAGGGTGTGATGCGCGTTTGTGACTCTCCTATTTGAAATCTTTATGACCTTGAACCGTATGGTTCCCATTGAAGTGCATTATATGGAGAAAAATCCTGGAATGTTTTCATCAAAAACCTTAATTTCTTTTCGACTGAAGAAAGAATGACATGGATATCTTGGATGACAAGGGGGTGAGTAAATTATCAGCAAAAGTTTTTTCAAAAGTGAACTACTCCTTTAATGTAGGAGCAGAAAGGATGTTTGCATGTGTGAAAAGACTCATGAATACCCCTCACAGCAAAATATAACTGGAAGCATGCGCAGGCTAAGAGACATTAAAAGACATTCTCACACTCAATTTATGTTGACTTATTATAACAGCAGAGTTTGAATCTTGTCTAATGTGTCTTAAGCTGTTTCCACACGAAAGCCCTTTGAATGCAGTGCTGGCGTTCAGGCAGATCTGGTCCTTCTGGTGGACGGATCCTGGAGCATCGGCCGCACAAACTTCAGAAAAGTGCGTGACTTCCTGGAGGGCCTGGCTGTCCCCTTTTCCATCGGCCCACAGGGCGTGCAGATAGGTGAGATGCTATTTCATGGATATATACATTGCGGTGTCAGCTGTGCATTTTAGAAGTAACATTTAAACTTTGGTCAATTAAATATTTACTTGATTAAAGTTTATAAACTAGTGTTTAAAATAGGGCTGTCAAACGATTAATTGTGATTAATCACATCGAAAATAAAAGTTTGTGTTTACATAATATTTGTGGGTGCACTGTGTATAATTATTTTATATATATAAATACACACACATGCTTGTATAAATTTAAGAAATATTTTCATGCATATACTGTATATAGATTTATGTCTAATTTTATAAATATTTATATATAATTAATATTTTTTTCTTAAATATACATGTGTGTGTATATTTATGTGTGTGTGTATATATATATATATGTGTGTGTGTGTGTGTATTTATATATATACACAAAATAATTATACACAGTACACGCACTTATATTCTGTAAACACAAACTTTTATTTTGGATGCGATTAATCGCGATTAATCGTTTGACAGCCCTAGTTTAAAAGTAAGATGTTTTTGAAAAAGTCTCTTATGCTAAACAAATAAAAAATTTGATCAAAAATACAAGTATTTACTCATATTTGTGAAATATTATTAGAGTTTAAAATAACCGTTTTCTATTTAAATATACATTTATAATGTAATTTATTCCTGTCATGTAAGGCTGAGTTTTCAGCATGATTACTCCAGTCTTCAGTCACATGATCTTTCAGAAATCATCACAACATGCAGATTTGATGCTCAATAAACATTTCTTACATTTCTTAAATGTATTTACTGTCAACTTTGATCAATATAATACATTACTGTTTAAACGTATTGATTTGTCGTTGTTTCAGCATTATCTCAGTACAGTGGAGATCCACGCACAGAGTGGCATCTGAATAACTTCACCTCTAGAGAACCGCTTTTGGAGGCCATCAGGAACTTCAGATACAAGGGAGGCAACACTTTCACTGGTAACTAGATATTTTACCCTTTATTTTGCTTACCAACCTGATATTAATAAATATTATAAAAAGAAAAGCGAGTGCACATTCTATAGTAATGTATAATGATGCTTGACAACCATAAAAACCCATGTAATTTATCTGTCTAAATATACCATACGTTCCTCAGTGATACGCTACTCAGTTTGAGTATTGTGTAAGTTTACGGCTAACCGGCTATACATCAATAATTATTCATACATACAGGTTGTGATTGTGAGGAGCAAGCTGGTCCAAATAAACTGGGTACTGACCCATCTTTCAAGAGCAAGCGTTTTGCAAATCCTACGTTGAACTCTGAGATTTGAGAAGCAGTCGTCAGTAAAACGACGGGTGGGCGGAACAAGTTGTTCACAGGTGGACAATATACAACATAGGCGGACATTATGCAAAATTATCTTCAAGTGACGTAGAATCCTAAAGCAATAGGATTCAAAACACAAAAGACTTGTAAAAACGGTTCGGAGCCGACTCTTTGTTTTGGGAGACGATAACTTTATTTTTTTGAGTACTTTCTACACAACTCTACAACTTTGCAGAATGTTTACATTCACAAACAGCTATATTACACACTGTATGAAAGAGAATATTGGAAAACATTAATTTATTGAGCATTTATGTCTTTTATCATATTGTCGAAGTCACCATTTATAAGCAATCATTTCTCCTGTGTTAAAGATGGTTTCATCGTTCCAAACAACACCTCTTGCCCATTGTAAAGTCACTGAAATACACAGGATCTTTTGGTTTATTGCTTTTTGTCTAATAATCTTAATCCGCATTACTGCAGAGATCCAGCAGTGATGATAGGATTAATACTTTTATTTGTCTTGTCTACTTCCCTGCCCTTTTTAACACCATGTTGTCTGTACCTAAGGTCAGGCTTTAATCCACGCTCTTGAGAACAATCTAAAGGAGGAGGTAGGGGCACGGCCTAACACCCCACAATTCCTTCTGCTGTTGACTGATGGGAAATCTCAGGATGATGCCATTGCTGCAGCCAATAGGCTGAAGAATGCCGGCGTGGAGATCATTGCTATAGGTGAGTGCCTCTCTTAGCAAATCGCACATGGAGTGTAATGAATTTAAGAGAGGTTGTGAAGATGAACACTGTTTGCTAATGAATACACTACCATTCAAAAGTTAAACGTTTAAAAACGTCTCAAGACTGCATTTGTTTGATTAAAAATGCAGTAAAACAGTGATACTTGTATATTGTGATATATTATTACAGTTAATCCAGTCTTCAGTGTCACATGATCCTTCAGAAATCAGTTTAAAATGCTTATTTTTTGCTCGAGAAACATTTTTTACTATTATCAATGTTGATAGATCAAAAAAGTCTTTACTTTCACTTTTGTTTTGATCAATTGAATGCATCTTTGCTGAATAAAAGTAAATATTTAAAATAAACTATTGTCCCCAAACTTGTGAATGGTGTGTATATATATATATATATATATATGCTATTACATATCTAAAATGACCTTTGTTGCAGTTATGCATAGATACACATACTTATGTTTTTTTATTTTTTATTTATTTCCCACTCATGTCCAGGTGTGAAAAATGCAGATGAGGCAGAGTTGAGGCAGGTGGCGTCTGAACCACTGGAGTTAAATGTATATAACGTGAATGATTTTCCTCTGCTCAGTAAACTGGTGGGAAGACTAGCACGCATCCTCTGTGGCAAGATTGAAGACCGTATAAAAGCAAAGAGTAGGTCGATCACACACATTTGTTTTCATTATATTGATCCTACAAATTTCTTCTCTGTACTTAAATAAAACGTCATGCATCTTCTGTAAAAAGGAATGGAGCGACCCACTGAGGACCCAGTTCTGTCCTATCCCAGCCCATCTGATCTGCAGTATGTAGGGCTAGGCTCGCGAGAGGTGCGCCTGCGTTGGACGAGCCCCAGCAGAGGTCCCCAACAGTACAGAGTTGTGTATCACACAGCTGAAGGACAGAGTCTGAAAGAGGTGAGCCAATTGTCCAGCACTAAAATGTGTGCGTAGGTTAGACTAAGAGTTGGCGTCTACCAGCCATTGATACACACTTGAGGCTGTTTTTACTGTAAATATGTTAAAAGCTGTAGTTTCTTGTATCAGATGGCAGTGTTTATTTTGTCTTTGGAGCGCCAGGAATCGAGGAAAGGTTGGTTTGTTGGCGCCACCTACAGGACATTGTCTCTGCTGTGGTTATAATTGTATTCAGAAAACTAAATATATAAATATATTGTTTTTGTAAGTTTGTGAGCTATTTTTTGGCAATTCTTTTAGCTATTTATTAATTATATATTTATTTTTCTAATACAGAAGAGACTTTATTTCATTCAATATTCATTATTTTTGAAAACTGTCATAATAAAATGCGTTAAGTAACCTTTGAGAAGCCTATCTGAATTTGTGTCTTGTAATATAACCATTTTCTATCCATACAGAGGAGGCATAGCCTACTTTAAATGTAATGAAATTAATAAGGCATCTTTGAGTAAACTTCGAGTATCATTTGAGTATCTGTTTGCCGGGCCGAGTGGTTTTCGGTAATCAAAATATGGTCACGCTAAGTCATGTTGTTAATTGATCTCAGGTGGTGGTGAATGGAACGGACTCCACTGTATTGCTGACAGGACTGTCCTCACAGACGCAGTACCACCTGTCCATCTTCCCCATCTATGAGAACAATGTGGGCTCTGCTCTCAGAGGCACCTTCACCACGTGTGAGTTTCAGCATTGAAAATGCTCATTCATAACATTTCCTTACATATGCTGTTCCAAGACCACATTGAAAATCTAGGCTTCAAAACATAGAAATAATGAGGAAATGTATGATAAAAATGAATTAGAAAAATCTGTGGCATTGATCATGTGAGTGTTTGAACATTCGGTCAGAAATGCTTTCCTCTACTGAAGCTACTCTGGATCATCTCAAATCATTCTGGAGAACATGATCATCAGGTTTCTCACAAACTTGTGTAGTTTATGCAACTCAAGTACATTAAAGTCATTATAAAAATTCATACTAGTTTTTCTAAAACTTTTTTGCTCATGTTTGTATGGTTTAATTATATGCTCTCCTTTTTAAAGTACCATTGGCGATACCTGAAGCTCTAGAGGTCACCGCCTCCTCCCCCAGCAGTCTGCGGGTGCGCTGGCAACCAGCCGCAGGAGCCACACAGTACATGGCCTTATACTCAGCCCTTAATGATGGAGAGCCTGATGATGCCAAAGAGGTGTGAGTCTGGAATCCTGGGATATCTGACCATGTGGCTCAGGGTTTCTAATTATGCTACATTGGTTTGATGCCTTTCCTGTGCTCTTGGTTTTTGTGCCAGGTGAAGTTTGGACCTGCTCAGACGGATGTGGAGTTAGTGGATCTGATGCCATCCACAGATTACTCTGTCACACTTTATGCTTTGTATGATGAGGACCCTAGTGACCCGATCACAGCCATCGGAACCACAAGTAAAGATCGATTCATTATCAGCATTTACGTAGAATTGAGAACTGATTTTCCTGATTACAAACTTTTATCCGCTTCCCGCAATGACATTTTTTTGTCAGGGTGTCACAAATATGGTGTTTTCCTATGTGTGACAGATATTTTTATAAAAAGTTAAATTACATCAACATTTACTCACCATCTTGTCAATCGAAAATCTGTATGACTCTCTTTTCTTTTGTGAAACATATAATATTTTGAGAAATATTCAGAACCAAACGGATCTATATTTATTACATTTACTTTTATTCATTTAGCTGATGTTTTTATTCAAAGCCACTTATAATTACTACACATGTCAGAGGTCGCTCGCCTCTGGAGCAACTAGGGGTTAAGTGTCTTGCTCAGGGACACATTGGTGTCTCACAGTGGATTCGAACCTGGGTCTCTCACACCAAAGGCACTGTGCCATCACCACCCCATCTAAAAACTGTAGAGGACCAGTTCCAGTTATATTTTCATACTGTATGAGTTTGGTTCGGCATGGCACGATTACGTTCTTTTCTCGGCCCGGATTTTCACAGCACGATTGGCTAACTGTGCTGGTAGAGTTTGTGTTGTGACATCGCCACTCAGGATTGGTCACTTGTCTGTTACCTGGGTGCCAGCGTTATTTGAGCGAAGTAAATAAATGCAAGATGATAATAAAATTAAAAGAAATATCTGATCATCCTCCATAAAGTAAATCCTTCAAATTATGGATGAGTAAATGATGACATCTTTGGTTGAACTATCCCTTTAATAATGTCATAAGAGAAGGAAAAAGAGAAAACTGCACATTGCCTTCATTTCTGTCATTAAGGAAAATAATAAAGATCAGAAAACACAGATGGCTGATTGTATTGACATTAACCCTTTTTGTTTTTCAAAGGTAAAACAAGAAATGAAACTTGGAAATGAAAACTGTTAAACTTTATTTGGTGGTAAGATTTCTACACCAACTGTTTTTGTTATGGACACAAATGCTGAACGCTCTTTTGTAAAGAGGACTTTTGTTGAACCTTTTGGTGATTGACGTAAAAGAATTACTGAATCATTTTGAAACAATTTGTTGAAATGAACAATTTACAAAAATGTATCAAATGGGAATTACCACCAGTACAGGAAACTGAGAACTGATTCCCACCTCCAACTCAGAAGTATCGTCCCTTGCTGAACCAAATTGAATTACGTCCTGCAGGAATCACATGGAAATGCAGACCTCTCCCTCTATCTTTTGCTCATTCCCTCTTTTCTTTCTCTCGTCTGTCTGTTTGTTTCAGTCCCATTGCCTTCTCCTCTCAGTTTGCAATTTCCCATGGTCAGTCATAGCACTCTGAAGGTCACATGGGTCCCTGGAGCTGTCGATGTTCCTGCCCACCGCATCATCTACAGCACCAATCACGGCAGTGATGTCAAGCAGGTGATCACATCCTAAAAGTCTCTTGTTCTGATGTGCCAAACAGCTTTGAGTCTTTCTTTCTTGTCATGTATTACTAACACCAGTACAGACTAAACTGTTTAATAGTTTGTGGTCAGTAAGATTTTTTTTTTGTAAGAGAGTTTTGTATTATTAGTATTATTCAGCAAGAATGCATTAAATTGGTCAAAAGTGAGAGTAAAGACTCATATTGTTACAAAAGATTTCCATTTCAGTTTCGACAAGAAATGTTTCTTGAGCACAAAACCAGCATATTAGAAAGATTTCTAAAGGATCATGTGACTGAAGACTGGAGTAATGATGCTGAAATTACAACACCGTTATTTTAAATTGTAATAACATTTCACAATATTACCGATTTTACTGTATTTTTGATCAAATAATTGCAGCCTTAGTGAGCATAAAATACCTCTTTCAAAGCAAAATGTGCCAAACCCAAGCTTTTGAGCTGTAGTGTACAGTATATACTCATTCTCTCTGTTTCTCAGGTGGAGGTCAAAGGTGTGAACACAGTGTTGCTGCAGAATCTGTCTTCCCTCTCCAGGTATCTGGTATCAGTCCAGTCACTCTATGAAAAGGGCCTGTCCACTCCTGTCACAGCCAATGTCACTACCTGTAAGTTACACACATTTTTGTTTCATTTTTTGACTCAAGATTGTTGCTTAAATGCTCTTTGATATTTCAGTGAGGGTCCCGGCTCCCTCAGATCTGAGAGTCACTAATTTCTCCGGCAGTGACATAACGGTGCGATGGGAAGCCGCGGCGGATGATGTGGTCTCTTATCTCATCAAATGGATCTCCCTCAATGGAGGAGACCTCAGGCAGGTTCGCTCCAACTCTTGCACTTCAGTGTTATGTGTGTGCAGTCAATACTGATTGAAATAGCTTTGAAGACTACCTGAATTTAGCAAGAGGCAAGAGTAATTTGGTAATAGATGGTAATTCATGGGTATATTCCAGCTGACAGTAGATGGAGAGAGTGAGGGGGCAATCTTGGAAGAGGTTGAGGAAGATAAGGAATATCAGATTTCACTTTCTGCATTATATGCCGATGGGGCTCAGAGTGAGGCTGTGGCCATACGATACAGCACCTGTAAGTATGTAATCACATATAAGAAAAACTTTGACTACAATACATAAATAACTTTGTTGCATTTTTTTTTTTTGTGACGCTTTAGTGTCTGGAGGTGGTCCGAGCAGTTTATCCATCTCAGAGGAGACGGCAGTCAGTATGCTGGTCACATGGGTTCACCCCAACGCCCATGTGCTTCAGTACCGTGTGTCATACACTCCCATCAATGGGGATACGAGGGAGAACACAGTGAGTGCTTTTAGAAGTGTGAAACATTTTATTTTGTATAACCTTTGAATTGCCTTCTCTCCTTCAACATGCAATATGGAGTCCATAACGAGGGACCTGCTGTTATAGAGATTTGTGGTGCGCTATTATAGCAACCACTCAGAACAATATAGCAACCATTCACTAAAGGCACTTAAAACCACTTACATTGCCTGAGTAACCACATAGCAATGGCCTGACTATGCCAAACACCATTCATATTTTCTTCAGACAATGTAAAGATCTAGTTCTCAACAACTAAATTAAAACATTTATAAGTGAAATACAAATAAAAAATATAATTGAAAAAAAAAAAATTAGTGACACTCAAATGAATAAAATAATGACCTCAAATTAACTGTATATATTATGAAATCTTACAACACATCCTGATATGGAGTTCAAAAGTTTGGGGTCTGTAAGATTTTTTAAAAAGAAAAAGAAAGTAATACTTCTATATTAATATGATCAAAGGGCGTGAAGATGATAATTTCTGAAACTAGAAAAAAAAAATACACTTGCCTGGTGCTGCGCTGTGCCGGGTGTATGATAGGGCCAGTGTACCATGTAGTAGTGATGTTGAAAACTCAGCTTTGCCATCACAGGAATAAATTACTTTAAAAAACATAATATATAAAAAAATAAAAAATATATATAAAAATAAAAAAATAAGAATAAAAAACTAAAAAATATATAAAAAAAAACAGTTATTTGAAAATAGTAATAATGGAGCCTTGGTGAGAATAAAAAACCTCTTTCAAAAACATCTTACCGATATGTTAACTCTACTTTACCAACCCCAACTTTGAATGATAGTGTGTGTATATCTTATATATTAGGACATTAGGAACTTAACTAACTTTTGGAGCCCTAAAATACTAAAAATAAAAAAGTCATATAGTGAGAAATCATGAAAAAATAGAAACAAATAATGAATAAGTTCAATCAACCAAAGGATAAATTGAATTAGAAAATAGAGATTAAAACAAAATTCAAAATAAGATTAACAACCCTGGAGCTTCTCGCTATATCTTAATTTGTTGTGTTATAAATATGGAGTGGTGTAATGTTGTCATGTTGGTTATTTTTAATAGGTGTCATTGCCAGGCAGCTCTAGGCGCGTCCTGCTGCAGAATCTGCAGCCTGACACTCGTTACAGTGTGCTGGTGACTGCCGAGTACCGCAGCAGAGAGGGCGGCAGTGCCTCAGCCCAGGGGAAAACCAGTGAGACACACACACACATCAATACAGTATCTAGTGTGTACTGACCAAGTACTTCAAACTGCACTGCTAGACAGTGTCTTGTATTCAATCTCCTATGTGCTTCTCCGCAAAACCAGCCAGCCTACGGGTGAGCAGCGTGAGTGTGGTGCGGTCTGACCACTCCAGTATTTGCGTGTCCTGGAGGCCCGTACCAGCAGTCAGTGGTTATCGCATAGTCGTCCAGGCCCTCAGAGGTACCAGCTCTGAAATGAACCATCATGAACCTTTTTTGTTTTGTATGTGTGTGGAAAACTTGCAGAACAGGCAGTTTGCTTTGTGTCGTTTATTTCTCACTCTGTACGTTTGCACTCAGATAAACAGACTAAGGAGGAGATAGTAGATGCCACTAGCAGCAGTCACTGTTTCTCTGAGCTGCAGTCTGAAACGGTGTACCGCATCAGTGTGCACTCCCGTCTGGGAACAGTAGAGGGCACTGCTGTTACCATCCTTCACCCCACAGGTCAGAATCCAGTTTGAGACATATTTCAGCCAAAAAAAAAAAAGAACTGATGTTTTTTTTTTTTTTGCTCAATGGTAATATCGTGTAATTCTCTCATCAAGCAACTGCTCCGGTGAGAATTCAGGTTCCTCCTCGTCTGCATCCCATACAAAGAGAAGGTAAGAGTTAAGGGCAATTTATACTAAAGAAATATTTTCATGAATATTCAGTGCAAAGAAGATTTTGAATATAAATAATGCATAGCTTTTTGATTTATTCATATTAAACCAATTAATTTGACATCGGAATATGGCTATTTTTCTTTGGTGAGTGGATTGTTCTTTATCAATCCACCTTTGTAAACTTACTGAATGCAGATGTAACGAAAGCAATTCGCTTTGATTTTCTGCTTCACTTTTGGTGTAAACAGGTCTATATGTTGTTTTGGTAATAAAACACAGCTTCTTAAAACATAACATGCTTTCTTTCTTTCTTTCTTTCTCAGTGTGTCCTGAGATGACAGTCAGAAATCATGTGATTAAAGGTATATTCCTATTTTTTGCATTCTTGCATTGATTTTTAGGTGTACATATAATCAATTCATGCATTTCGTGATAATCAAATTTATGACCTTAACTTTTTTATCTCAACAACCAATATTTAGCCTACTGCCTTTCTTAGAGAGCAATATTATGCTAATGCAGGGCTCAACTGTAAGGTTTTGTCTGTTTGCCCAGAAAGGCCAGTATTTTTAGGTGCAATATTTTTTTAATTTCTCATTTTAATATAACTTTTTTCAATTAATTGATTAGTATAATATTTTGTTTAAAAACCTAAATACTTTTAATATTTTAATGTAATGTTTGCACTTGATATTTATCTTAAAATAAAGTATCTTTTAACATTATTTAATTTAAATTTGATTAAATGTTACATTTTCTTTACAAATAAAATTAGCTGGAAATTATAGTTATTTTCATTGTTTTTACAGGAAACTCTATCAATATATTCATTAACATTCTCATACTAACTTAAGTTAACTGGCCATCCTTGGTGTTTTACCCTGAACTGTAAGAAAACCTGAATTTGTGTGTGTATGTACGTGTGTTTTCTAGGTTTCAACATGATGGAAGCATTCGGTCTAACTCCGAGAGCTCATTCTACTATTGAGGGTGTGTCAGCTGAACCTTTCATCTTCAGCACCTTGCCCAGTTACACCCTCTATAGAGACGTACAGCTGACCCAGAGCACAGGGTAAGAAACACAAACACACATTTCATTAAACAGCCCAGTTACACCCTGCAGTCCCCACTCACACCCTGCGTGTCTATCTCAGCTTTATCCACCCGGCTGGATTTTCTCCAGAACACACCATCAGCATGGCATTTAGGCTCTTGCAGGATTCACCCCGGGAACCCTTCGCCCTCTGGCAGCTCACGGACAATGACTTCCAGCCCAAGATGGGGGTAGTGCTGGACCGTAAGCTCCTAGACATTTTGTAGATAAATTCAAGATTGGTTTGAATTCAAGCCAGACTATTGAATTTTTGAATCCCTAGTCAAATTCATTAGATCCTTCTTCTCTGTTCTGCTATTTAGCTGAGAAGAAGCTTCTGCTGTATTTCAGTCTGGACTACAGAGGAGAGATACAGAAACTGACCTTTGACCAGCCACAAGTCCACTCGGTTTTCTACGGCAGTTTTCACAAGGTTAGTGTGAAAGTTACTGGTTTCCGATGCTCAGTCAGACAAGCTTAATAGCATGTCCCACTGGTATCTAACATTTTGGATATTTTTTGTATATATATATATATTATAAATATAATAATATGTTTTTAAATTAAAGGTGGAGTAATCGATTTCTGAGATTTTTTTTTTTTTTTAGATATTTGAAATCACCAAAACAAATCACACTAAAATTTGTATATCTCTGTCCCCAAATTCAGAAACACACTATGTAACACAGGCCCCTCCCCCCTCATGAGTGTGTACGCTATATGAGTGTTTTGGTGCTCGGTCCCATCCACTTTCAACAGCTTTTCTCAGAAATCACTTAATGCACCTTTGAACAATAACTTGAAATCAGAATGGAGACAAACGCTTGTGAACAACAGCAACAAAAAAGAGAAAAGCTACATTTGAAAGTTTAGGGGGGAAAAATTCAGCTTATATCCTTTCAGATTATAAGCGTCCCACCTTTCCTGTTTTTTTTTTTTGAAGGATTTCAACAAAATTGTGCTTAAAAACTGTCCAAACACACTGATCCTCCTTAAAAATGTTTCTAGGTAGGATTGGTCAGAAATGGTTTAAGCCGGGACTTGGAGAAGAGTCTTTTAGTTTATACAAAACTAAAGCTGCCACTGATTCTTTTTTCCTCTTTATCTGATTTGATGGGCAGATCCATTTGTCAGTCAGTCAGGTGAGCGTATCACTGTCTGTAGACTGCCAGCGGGTTGGTGAGAGGCCCGCGCGTCCCTTGGGAACTTTGCCTACTGATGGCTTTGAGATGCTGGGCAAACTAGTGAGGACACGTGGACCTCACAGCGGATCTGCGTCTGTGAGTCTCACTTCATGACCACAAGCATACTGGTCACTTCAAATTCAAATATGATACATAAAAATATACAAACAGTACAGTACACTACCGTCCAAAATTTGGGGTCTGTAAGATTTTTACAAATGTTTTTGAAAGAACTCACCAAGGCTGCATTTATTTGATCAAAAATAAAGACCGTAATATTGTGAAACATTATTACAATTTTATTACATTATTATTACATTATTACATTTTTCTATTTAAAAATATTTTTAAATGTAATTTATTCCTGTGATTCGCTATTCATGTTTTCATTATTTCTCTGATGAATCAAAAGTTCAAAAGACAGCATTTATTTGAAACTTATTTCATATTTGATATATCTTCATATTTGATATATCTTCGTATATCTTATTTTTTATTTGATAATTTTATTTAATTAAAAAAAAGTTACATTAAAAATTCTTTAAAAAAACATCTTGCTGATCCCAAATATAACACACATATTAAAGCCATGTGCATTGTGTTTTTCTCTAGTTTCAGCTGCAGTCCTTTGAGATTGTGTGCAACACTACTTGGGCATCAGAAGACAGCTGCTGTGATCTGCCCTCACAGGTACACAATCAATCTAGGTTGAGTTAACATCTAAATATGGATGGCACTGACTTACTTTATGTAGTGCCGGATGCCTTAAAGTTGCTTCACTCGCTGTTCTCTAGAGAGACGAGGAGAGCTGTCCAGCTCCTGCTTATGCTTGCACCTGCACCACCGACATCCCTGGAGCACCTGGAGACATCGGGCCACCTGTGAGACTACAAAGCTGCATTTTGAAACCGTCTCGTGTAATCATAGTTGGTTGGAATAATTAGTGTTATGATAATTAATAGTGTTATGATATGCCTGTTTTCAGGGGAGACCTGGCCCTCGTGGGGAGAAGGGAGAAAAGGGAGAGTTGGGCCAAAAGGTACGGCAACTCACATAGACTTGGTGGGGTTTGAACCTACAACCCACACCACCACTTTTTCTTATTACTGATATTGGACTATTATACACTACCAATCAAAATGTTTGGGGTGTGTAAGATGTTTGAAAGAAGTCACTCATGATCACCAAGGCAGCTTTTATTTGATCAAAACAGTTAAATCTGAAATATTGTGAATTTTTTTTACAATTTTAAATTTCTGTTTTCTATTTGAATATTTTTTTTATTTATTTAATTTATTCCTGTGATGGCAAAGTTGAATTTTCTACATCATTACTCCAGTCTTCAGTATCACGTGATCCTTCAAATCATTTTGTGATTTTCAGTTTTAATATTTAAAATTTTATATTGTTGTGGACACTAAGATGATTAAAAAAAATTCAAAAGAACATTAATTTGACCCAGAAATATTTTGTAAAATAAAAATTAATGTTTTTCCTGTCAGTTTTAATCAATTCAATGCATATTTGCTTAATAAAAGTGTCAATTTCTTTTGAACTGTATGTCTCCTTCATTTTCTGCATCTCTTCAGGGTGAGGTGGGCCCACCTGGTAAACCGGGCCCTGAAGGCGGCTTTGGTACTCTTGGTCCTGCTGGTCCACGAGGGATAACTGTAATGGGCAAAGTGGTATGTCTACACTTGTTATACAGAGAAGAGGTGATGCATATGAGCATTTGGAACTGATTAAAACTCTCTCTTTGTCTATATAAGGGTCCACCAGGAGCAAGAGGGGAAAAAGGAGACATTGGAAGGCCTGGGAGTCAGGTAAGCTTTTAGGCCACGGTTGTAGCTGATAGTATTATAAGTGTTCAGGTATATCTCACTCTTTCTTCACTTTGTTTTCACAGGGTTTACCAGGGCCTCCTGGTCCGAAAGGTGAAGAGGGCATCCCTGGTCCTAAGGCAAGTCTCTGTGTGACTTAAGGCTGTTATTTGAAATGTTTAGTCTGTCATTCATCTTTCTGTCTATAAATTTCCCACAGGGGATCAGAGGAGTGGAGGGTAACATTGGCAGCCCAGGAATCACAGGACCAAGAGTAAGACAGCCTTACCGATATGCATTCATTGAGTATCAAATGCATGCTTTTATTGCACTCTATTTTACATCCATGTTTACACTTTTGTAGGGTTTCCAGGGTATGCCTGGTCATCCAGGGCCAGTGGGAGAGAGAGGGCCACTAGGTCCTGTAGGGCCCACCGTGAGAAACTCAATTACTCTTTATGTCCTTGATCCACATTATCTAGCCAAGACAGAAAAAAAGATAAAATGGTTAATATTTAATACCACATTATTTTTTTTTTCTTTCACAGGGTCTTTCTGGAAGTAAGGGTGAGAGAGGAGAGAAGGTAGGTTGCAAAATGACATGTTTGCTATTTGCAAACCTTAAAACAGATGATTACATTTGATTGAATCTTCTGTTTATTAGGGCGAGCCACAGTCTCTCACCATGATCTACCAGCTTGTTACACAGGCCTGTGAAAAGCTTGTGCACAGTATGTATTACACTGGCTACATCCGTTTTAATTCAATCAGAGTACAGTAAATGCAGAATTTGGCCTGAGTAACTGCATTTTAATTATAAGTTAATAATTAATTGTGTTCTAGATGAAGTGCTAAAGTTGGATGCTTTTCTGAATGAGATGAATCGGAAGCCAGTGCCCATCCAGGAACCAGTAGCGCCACCAGGAGAGCCTGGTATACCAGGGGGAAGAGGGTCACCTGGACCCCGAGGCCCTCAAGGTCGACAAGGAAGCAGAGGGGAGCCTGGGAAACTTGGGTACCCTGGTGAGCAGGGTAAGCCTCGATACTTTCTTTATTAGGCAAACTCTACATTTTGAATTTAAATGACATACTCAATTCTGTGATTAACTTCAAGGACGCAGAGGTATGCAGGGTGAGAAGGGGTCTCCGGGACCAAATATGGTGGGACCACAGGGAATAAAGGGTTTTGCAGGTATTGAAATATATTTGTGTTTTGCACAATTGTGTTGGTAAAATTGTTTACTGGGGTCGTCATCATTTTTATCATCATGTTTAAGTTTCCTGTACCAAAAGTGTCAAAAACACTGCACCAAATTGTTTTTTAAGACAAGATAAATTTACCCGAGAGGCACAATTGTTTAAGATATAAAGACTTCCACTATCATTTGGTCTGTTAGATAAATGGATGGATAAACCGGGATAAATGTTTTTTCTGGATTCTGTGGTGAATCTTACTGACCCCCAACTTATGCTTTTCTGAAAATAGGTCTTGTTGTTTTACATACTTTTTCTTCTGCACAAACCCAAATTTTGTCTTTGTAATGGTTTGTCAAGTGTTAATTGCACCACTATTTGTCTCTACTTCACTAGGACCTCCAGGTGAAGCTAAAACAGGGGAACCAGGTCCCAAAGGGGAGGATGGTAAAACAGGACTTCCAGGTATTCCAGGAGCTTCTGGTCAGCGAGGTGAAATCGGACCCCCTGGTGTATGTGACAACAGTGGATGTTATCAAGGACCCCCGGCTGCAGGTGAAGAAATGTCATCATGACCACCGTGAAAAACAGTGTAAGCTTATGTTTGACCTATGAGTCTGTTTGGAGCTGACGAATTGTCTGTTTTCATCATTTTTTTCAGAGGATCCATACCTCGGATATCAGCCTTGAGTTGAAAGGTTTTTACTTCAGCACTGCAGAATCCTCCGTAAAGTGATTCTGCCAGATGTTGACTTTGAATGTGCCTTTTGATGGACACTTTCTCAAGGTGGTAGCTGATCTCAGCTCAATACACCCATTCTGAGACCACCAAAGCACTGATCATCCTTGACCCTGTCTGTGTTACCCAATATTCAATGTGATCTGCTGCTACGACACAACTGCAGATTCATGTGCAAAACTATTTATTCAGCACAGAAGAACTCACAGCACACTCAGACTCTATTTTACAGAGACAGACATTTTGGTATCCAGATGAGGAACTAGTTTGTTACTGAACAATATCCGCACTAAGAATGTTTCAACTGTTTTACTTTGTTTATTTTATTGTATTTAATGCATTATTTGTGTTTTAAATGTATATTGTTGAAGGCATATTACTTTCAATATTTTCCATTCCAGTTTCTTGATCTCTTTCAGGTTTTTGTATCAAGTGTTTTTTTTTTTTAAATAAGAAATATTTTGCAAGAGCAATACATCTGTTAATATGAAATACACTGTGATATTATATTAATTGTCTTTTACATATGCAGAAGTGCTGTTCATACATAATATTTTATAGGATTATACTAAGTGAAATGGTCTTTTGTTTTTGCTAATACATGTTTATGTAAACCTGTATGGAATGAAACTGTAAAGATCAAAAAGTTGATTCATGGACCTATCATGCTGTCAATGAAATTTACTGTTTGGCATTCATCTTGGTTCCAGACAAAATAACTAGTTATCACTGCTCTTTACAAAATACCATTTTCACAAGCATAATTTTAGTATGCAAGCAGTAGTGAAAAAACATTCATAACATGTAAGATCATTTCATGAACTTTTATTGGCAAGCATATATATATATATTGTAATATATCTTCAAATGACATGCTTAACCGATCAAATCAACATAGCACAAAATCGATGAGTATTTCAGGAGGAAAGCCTTTTATTTCAGTGTAAATGACAGATGTCAGTGCAATTATTTGTCGTTATAATTGCCAGAAGTTGTACAAACTGCAAAGAACTATTTTTTCCATTATTGTTTTTAACTGTGTGTGCCCCTCAAAGGGTTAATTACTATTAAATGCTGTATATTTAATTCGTATTTGTAACATTTTGCTTACAACTTCGTACAGTATTGATTTCGTAAAAACTCACAAGACAGTATCCATTCCCAATGTAAAGTGTATCCAACAGAACTTAACTGCAAATTAAAAATTTAAACATTTATGCCTAAATGAATTCTATTATGAATTGTATTACACGACATTACTTTTGTAAAATTGTACAACATCATTGTTCGATGCTTTTCACGCACACTATTTGCTCCGGAACCAAAGAAATGAGGTATGGATTTCCACGGACAGCGTATCTGATGTAAACAAAAGTTTTAAATTTAATGAGAGCAGTAGCAGGACAAGACTGGGGTGCTGACAAGCAGTCATTAAAGAGTATTTATATTGGTCTTATGAGATCAACATTGGATTATGGATGCATTGTTTATGAGTCAGCATCACCAACGATGTTAAAGAAACTAGATGTCATGCAAGCAAAAGCATTAAGAATCATTTTAGGAGCAGTTAAGACCACACCAATTGCAGCGTTACAAGTAGAGACATCAGAAATGCCATTATTTATAAGACGTCAAAAATTGGCTATGGCATACTGGATAAATTTACAGGGACAAAAAGATAATCATCCTGTAAGGGAAATCCTGCATGATTGTTGGGAAATTTTAAGTACAACAGGTAAAGGCTTTGCGTGGAAAATAAAAGGGTGGGTTAATGAAAATGGTCTAGACTCAAAATCATTTGCACCAATAGAAGTAATATCCCCAATTCCACCTTGGATGCTAGTGCAACCGGACATAGATATAAATTTACACAAGAATAGAAAGGAAATGGACAAAGTGGTTAGTATTAATACATATGTTAATGACTATATTAAAAACTCACATTACTCATTTCTTCAAATATATACAGATGGATCAAAGAATATAGAGACTGGAAGGACGGGGATTGCTTTCTATGTCCCAGAGTTTAAGGTGAGGAAGCCTGGTAGAATAACAGATGGCACATCAGTATACACAGCTGAGATGACAGCTATTTTAATGGCAATAGAGTGGGTTTATGAAGTTAGACCAAATAAGGTAATAATATGCTCTGACTCAATGCCAGTTCTTGAGAGTTTACAATCATTAGAAACAAAGAGAACTGATATTTTAACAGAAATCATGATCAAGTTATACAGTTTACGACAGGTGGGAATAATAATTCGTTTTATGTGGGTTCCAGCACATGTGGGCGTTCAAGGTAATGAGGAAGCAGACAAAATAGCCAAAGAGTCATTAAAAATGGAAGAACCAAATATAAACATCTCAATAAGTAGAGCAGAAGGGAAACATTTAATTTTAGAAGCGTGCTATAGGAAATGGCAGACACTTTGGGACTCGTGTCATACAGGTCGACATTATTATAAAGTCCAAAAAAACATAAAGCGAGGCAATATAATCCACAACCTAAGCAGAAGAGAACAAGTCATTTTCACACATTTAAGAACAGGACATTCAAATCTAAATAATACTTTACACATTATAGGGAAACATGACACAGGTTTATGTGAAGTTTGTTCAGTAGAGGAGACAGTCGAACATATATTGAAGGAATGTAAGTCTTATAATAAGGAAAGGAGGATTCTTAAGGAAGAATTGCAAGCAGTAGGATGTCAGGAATTAAATATAACCAAATTATTAGATGATGGTCCAAACTCAGGGAGACAGATAAAGGCAATCATGAGATTTATTAAGAATAGTGGGTTATATAATAGGATTTAGGAAAATTTAGTTCATTCTCTTCACACTCCATCACAGTAGGTGGCGGTATGCACCTTTAAAGTTGGTTCGCAACCCGCCATAAAACCAAAAGAAGAAGAAGAAGAAGAAGAAGAAGATGTAAACATCCGGTGTTTATTTTGTAGACGCCAACATGGCGAGCCGGAGAGGCAATGCGAAGACCCGGGAGCAGTCTGACAAATATTCTGTTTTGCTGCCAACCTACAACGAGCGAGAAAACCTCCCATTGATTGTGTGGCTGCTGGTGAAGTACTTCGGCGAGAGGTAACATAATTAAATTGTATTGTTGTGATGGGCAAGAACCGGAAAACAACCACTTGTCAGATTGTAGAAGTCCTTCTGATGAGCTGTCACTGATATCACACAACATTATCACCTGATTAGAGTCCCTGAGAAGAAAAGACATTTATTTTCAAAAGGAGCATTCTTATTCAAATGACCATGTTTTAATGCAGTGGCTTCAACTACGAGATTATAGTCATTGATGATGGTAGTCCAGACGGAACACTACAGATCGCCGAGCAGCTGCAGAAGATATACGGCGCTGACAAGCTTGTGAGTTGTGCATAATAATAATAACACTCCACATGATTGACAGCTCGTCGAATGTTAAAAGAAATCATGAAAATATGTCATATCTCTTCGTTTTAGCTCCTGAGACCGCGAGCACAAAAACTGGGATTAGGTAAATTGGCTCATATAATAATGTTACCTCTTTTAGAGATACATAGCCTGACTTAAGGTCATGTCATTTCAGGAACGGCTTACATCCACGGCATTAAACATGCGTCAGGAAACTTCGTTATCATTATGGATGCAGATCTCTCACATCATGTAAGTATCCCTCGATCGATACCGTTTTGTACCTCTTATAGTACTGTAAATAATCCTGGTGTTCAGGTTCCTAGAACCATAATAAAGCTGGAAATATTTGCAAACATTTGTGTTTTTCTGGTCTGGAAAAGTCATGGAAATTTCTGTCTTGAAAAGTTCTATAATGCCTTAAATATTTTTCTATTTATACTCTTAATTGGTGAAATATTTGTATATACATGCTCGCAAGCCTGAGCAATAGTGAGTAATATTTAATTTATATAATGTTAGGAAACCCATTTCTGCCACACACACACACACACATGTACAAAATGTTTTGGTAAATTATAATTAATTTATGACATAAAAATATGTATTTATGAGATACTAATTAGTCCTCATTATGAGATAAAAAGCCATTGCGAAGACAAAAATAATTTAAGTTGTAATTATGACAAGACTTTTTAATCACATAACAAATTGATTTTTTTTTTGTCAGTTACGATTTATCTATCAAATCTTTTTTTCCCATATGTAGCAGAAATGGGCTTCCTTAGAATCAAAGTGGTTCACAAATTTTGCCTGAATGGCCCCTTAGCAGATCTGTTTGAATATTAATTAATTATTAGAACCACTAAAAATGTCTTGAAAATTGATTTGTCAAAAGGTTTTGGATTGCTTCAAGCATGTTTACTGGTATTTTCATAGATTTAAATAAATCATTTGTCTAGTCATAGTGAAATCTTCAGGAGGGTTACGTACAATGGGTGATTTTTTGTTTCTCTCTCTCACAGCCAAAGTTTATCCCACAGTTCATTGCGTAAGTCATTTCCTTTCTATTACCTCATGGTTCTGCTATTAAAATACTTGATCTGCTCATTGTAGTTTTGATATAATAGCATTATCACATACACTTGTATAGCAGCCACTTACAAGGGTTTGTTCTTCGATCAGAAAACAGAAAGAGGGAGGGTTTGACCTGGTGTCCGGGACAAGGTACAGAGGAGACGGTGGTGTGTATGGATGGGATCTGCGCCGGAAACTCATCAGGTATTTGGCTGGAAATTTCAGCTGACAGAGGAAGTAAATTTTGTTATAATTGCCAAATATATTAGAAATGTCTCATCATTTTGAAACTGTCATATCGTTTATTACTGCCACTTATACACACATTCTGCCACACATCAATGTTCATGTTTAATGGATTTTATGGCACTAGATTACTTACTTTTGTTGTGGTGATTATTTTACCTAATTTTATTTTTAGTCGTGGGGCAAACTTTATTTCACAAGTGCTGCTCAGACCAGGAGCATCTGATCTCACAGGGAGTTTTAGGTAAGTGCATGTTAATAAATGAATTATTATTATTATTTTTTTAAACATGTTTTTTTATATATATTAAATGATTGTATTACTGCCTCCTATTATGTGTTTCAGGCTTTATAAGAAAGAGGTTCTTGAAAAACTAGTAGAGCAGTGTGTTTCGAAAGGCTATGTGTTCCAGATGGAGATGATTGTCCGTGCGAGACAACTGGGCTATACAGTTGGGGAGGTCAGCACACATCTCTGACACATCAGCTCACATTCTGAATTTCCTATAATTTTGTTGTTATTAAAATAAAAAACCCTGGTTTCACAGACAAGGTGTAGTCCTAGACTAAAATGCATGTTTAACCTGTTTTAACTGAAAACAACTTGCACTGATATATCTATATTTTTTGTCTCAAGAAGCACACCACTAATGTTTTTTTTTCCTAAGGTACGTTTGAAAAGCTACTTAAATGTCCTAAATAACCACAGGCTTAACCCTGGCTTAATCTAAGCCCTGTCTGTGAAACTGGGTCTAAATGTTTTTAGATAATGCATTTACATAATAAGTCTGTTATTACTGTGAACTATTACTGTGTTATACTAAACTAAATTACATTGTATGCATTTATACTTTCAAGCTAAGTTTATTTCATGTAGTATCAGAGTGCTTTATTTTATGGGTCTGAAAATGGTCTTGTCTGTATATTACACAGGTTCCTATTTCTTTTGTGGATCGTGTTTATGGGGAGTCCAAATTAGGTGGAAATGAAATCGTCTCCTTCCTGAAAGGACTGCTCACTCTTTTTGCCACTACATGACCTTTGACCTCATTTGATTTTGTTTAGTGATGTATGATCAGTACTGATCACTGTTGTGAATCTAAAATTCATGCTTTCCTCATAATTAGCTCGTTTTGAGGATATCAGGCTGCAGTAGCTTTTGGATTGCTTGGATTTGCCACCTTCCATTTTTCATTTATTTTGGTTAATCAATAGACTATATTCTAAATGCAAAATTAAAATGTTCAAAAAAACAACATTTTAATAAAAAAGGACCAAATTGAGGGAGCTGGCTTTTTTCTGGAGTCAAAAGTGCTAAGGCTTATTTTATATACACTGTATTTTCTTGGCTATACTCTTTAAAAAGCTTCTTGGTTGGGATTCTTCCACAAAGAACTTTTTTACATCCATGGAGTTTTTCCATTGCACAAAAGTTTCTTTGTAGTAGAAAAAGGTTCTTTAGATTATTAAAACAAGGCTCCGGGCATTTTTTCCTGCTGCTGCGACTAAGGTGCGATCACGTAGACCAACTAATAAAAGAGCTGCCGTTTCAAAAAAAGAAAAGAAAGCGGGACAAAACTGTGCTAGTAAAAAGTAACTGTTGTCTGATGATGAGTATTTTAAAATATAATACCGTCTAATTACAAATACTTAATTTTTGGAATCTGATTACGTAATCCAGATTACAAATCCAGATCTAGTACTGATTACATGCACTGACCATAACTGTAACCATGGTATTGTGACAAATATGGGGCCCTATTTTAATTATCTAAGCACATGGTCTAAAGCGCAATCTTTATAGACCATCTACGGGTAACGCCAGATTCCACCATATCTTTATGTAAACAATTGTAATCTTTTATATTGTAATCCTTTTATTTTTAATATTTGGCATGTTTGTGTGCTGCTGCACATCCCTATGTGTTTAATAAGCGCGTTACTAACTTTAAATAACAAAAAAATATTGCGTTTTTGACTTAAGACCAGGTTTCAGTTGGTCAATGGTGCAGTCTATTTTATTTGCCTCAAAATAACAACGCGTCAACAACAATGCCATGGGTGCAAATGTTTTTGCCGTTTAAACTTCGGATGTGAAAATGATAACTGCGTCAGGCTTAAACTAGAAAATAAAAAACACTTGGGTCGCGTCTGGTATATGATAGGGCCCATAGTGTTTTTACATTAATCAATTTCAGGGTTTGTGCAACCTTTTGAGTGTAAAATTCAAGAACTTTTCAAGAACTTTCAAGAGCTTCACATAACTTTTCCAGCACTTCAAAGCTTTAAATGTGAATAATTGGCTTTATGCACAGCTGCACTACTTCCTGAACTTAAGCCAGCTCCTTGTTTCCTGTCTGCCATTATTGGACAAATTGATTAATTCAGGTGTGCCTGGCCTCGGTAGTTATGGCAACAATAATCAGACACACCTGAATTAATCAAGTTTGGCCAATAATGGCAGACAGGAAACAAGGAGCTGGCTTAAGTTCAGGAAGTAGGGCAGCTGTGCATAAAGCAAATTATGTTGCAGGTTGTAATTTACATGTTGTTAATTTCCCTAAAATTTTCAGTAAGGGGCTACAGTACTCTTAGTAAAAAAATTAAATAAATAATATATAAAAAAGTAGTCCTGGAGCCCTGTAAATTGTTCTTCACAGAAAAAAAAAAATTATTTCAACAACTGTTCTCTAAAGGTTCTTTGGTGAACCCAAAATACTACTACGATTGCATTGCTCTGAAAAATAGCCTTTTGGAACATAATGTTTTTATTTATTTATTTATTTATTTATTTTTTATACAGCCTGGCAAACCCTTAAGAACGAATGTTGTACTTTTGTGAGTGGCTATAAAGATGAATTTCCTTAAACCGTTAATGTTGCAAAATTACTTTGCTTATGCAATGTATTTGGACAATTATCTTGATGTATAATATTTGTACAATACTTTTAACTTTCTGATCAAACTGGAAATTAAGGTTGTATTATGCACTGAATTCCACACATGAATCAATGTCACAGTGTCAAAACCATAGGCATCATGATGAGATACTGCCATTGATCTAGTGTGGCAAGTGTCTACACTATCATATGACATATCCAAAAAGAATGATTTTCTCCCATCTGGGTTTAGAGTGTTCAGTCCCAAATGACACCCCAAACTGCTCCCACCACCACGGGGGTATAACTCCAGAGCTCAAGGCCCTGAGGGTGGGGGAATCACCATGGCTCACAGTCTGCAACCCCAGCACTTGACATGCAGAAGTAGTCCCGGTGAGTTGCGCATGAGCGCGGTACAGCGCCACCACCCGAACTCATGATGCTCCGATGCTGGCTCAGTACTGAGGCACTGTATACATCCGACTCTCTGCGGGGGTAGATACCAGATGCAGAATTGACGCATACACCTCTACCCAATCAAGTTTCAGCCGATGGCGCCCCCTATTGGTTCATTCCATGCAACTGCACCCTGGGGCTGTTTACACCAATTTCGGGAGCATTCAATAAAATGCTATATGCAAGCACAGACACACTTGTGCATTTCAGGTAGGCTAAGGTTGATATTGGATTGGTGGTCGTCTGACACCTCTCACCTCATAATCCCACACCCAACGCCTCTCCGTCGGCACAATGCTTTTTTATGCTAATCAAACACACATGTCACTTCCGCCCTTTTTCACACGCCATTTTGGATAGTATAGGTACTGGACCGGGTCGTATTGTTTAAGTGGATGGGGGATTACGTTAATTGCTGTCAATTATACCGTTCTCGCGCGTCTTGTGTACTGTGCATCATCGCAAGCGCGGCACGCGCTCGGCGGTTCACGTTCCCTCTTCTTCCAGGACCACCATAGACAAGCACAGGCAGTGCTAGATGAGTTGCAGCAGCTCATTCCCGGCAAACAGACAGCTCTGGGTCGGCCCGTGACAGGAGTCGAGCTCCCTCTTTCGGCGTGGTGTGTCCGCCCGTGAAGCGGAGGACGAGGCGCTCAACTCGGGAGGCGGGAAAGTGACATTACGGGCTGCAGCTTGCGGGAGCGCGGGCCAGGTAAACTCCCTCACCGTTATGTGTTTGGGGGAAAATAAACCGAATCCGAATCAACTAAGAGACCTGCTAATTCGCTTCTAAGACCCGGAGGAAAGCTGGAGGGAGTAAAGCCGACCCTCAGGTGGAAAATGTTGCTAATTGCATATGCCATACAGTTGTTGAGCAGTTCTCTGGTCATGAATTAAAAATAAAGTTTTTATATGATCTTACCGTTGTAACTGTAACTGGGAGTTTGGTAGCCGAACGGGGGTTTTATCATTTACACAGACCCCAAATCAGACTCACTCACTCCAGTTTCACTATTAAAAATCCGTTTGCTATGACAGTTAGGCTAACTCATCACGAATAGCTCTCGCTGCACCGAATCAATTCTTAAAGGGACCTTCAACAAAACAAAATAAGCCAATTATGTCATCGTTTATTCGACCCCATGTTGTTCTAAATCCATTATCTTTTGTTATCTAAAGGAAATATTAGATGTTTTGTTATTCAGAACGACATCCTCAGTCTCAACCTCAGCCACCATTCATTTTCATTGCACGGGAAAAGATGCACTGAATGGTGACTGAGGCTGTCATTCTGCCTGACAGCTCCCTTTGTGTTTCACGGAAGAAAAGAAAGTCGTTTTTTGGAACAACATAAGAGTGAATAAATTATTTCAATATGATTACTATTATATTTTGGTGAACTGTGTCAGATTTACTAATAACGAACCAAAGTTGCCGCTTACTGGATTTGATGGCGTTTGACATGTCAACAAACCACACAGTTCAACGTGTGGCTGTTATTGGACTCTAATTGGTCAGTTGTTCTCCTCGTCAGTGTGTTGTCATTTACTTGTGTATTTGGTTTTCCTCTATGCAGTTGATGCTTGGTCTATGAATTTTCAGTGTGGACTTTACTCAAGTATTTACCATCCTTGGTTGCAGTATAGATATCATTTAGCAAATAGCAATGCTTGGATTTATACATATTCAATTTTACTTTGGCAACTGTAGCTGTGGTTTTAGGCCTTTGATGAACAGGTTATGCTGAATCTATTTGACAGTATTATGTTTTTCTCATTAACACAGGGTTCATGTTTTTTGGATATGGACATCACATATATTTTCATTTTCAGTTTTATACGTTGTGTTTTGCTGTGTATATGTGTACATATACCAAGTCGTCTGTATTCTAGGGAATCATCAAATAACCTCCAGTCCACACTGCAGAAATGGCTTCCCATGCACTGGCCTCTGCTGTTGCCTCAATAGGAGGCGCCATTCCAGGGTTTTAATGCAGAAGCCTGCACAAAAAAGGGAGTGGAAAAAGGCCAGGCAGAACAGGGAGAGGCTTATATAACATGGAGGAAGAGCTGTTCTCTAGCGCCATCTACAAAGGATGGGAGAAAGTCAGTGAGGAGATGAGAAACGCCTAACCAAAGAGAGCCCCCATTCAGTGCCGAAGTGAAACTGCTGATCTTTGTTCAAGCATGGTGAACTGTGTGATGCTTGTCATCAGTGAGGCCAAGAGCTAATGCAGGTTTTCCATGAAGACCGGTCAGAAAGGTTCATGACCTTTGACCTTAGTTGATCTTTGACCTCATTTCTGAAGGTTGCAGTGGGCAGTTATTTAGCATTGCAGTTGTGCATGTTTATTTCTTCATGTACGATGTATCTGTTAGAGCGGAGATCTGCAGTGCTGGTGGTGTAGAATGTTGGCCACAGTTTTTATGGATGTGTTTGTGTTTTGCCATCAAATTTTGAAACACTGCCATCCCAACCAGGAGTACATAGACACCATGTACTGAAGCACTTTCACTTCATTACTTCATGAATTGCTTTGTTATTATTATTACATGTAAAACAGATATTATACATGTACACCGTAAAAAAATATTGTTGGTTTATCTTAAAATAAGGTAAATCATTTAAGTAAATGCCTGATGAAGGTTATGAGACCGAAACGTTGCTAGTGGTCCAAAAGACACTTGTTTCAGTAAAAACTGCGAACTGTTCAATGGGCTTTAAACAATTCCAGATGATGAATAAGGGTCTTATCAAGCGAAACGATCGCTCATTTAATAAATAAATAACAAAGTTTAAGTTTTATAAGCTCAAATGCTCACCTTGCTCTGTTCTGTGGTGCACATTTGTGACTCATGTTCGAGCTCATTCATCAAAATGAACGAATCTTTTTCCGAGTCAATTTGTTCGTTTCATTCGTTGAATGAACCAAATGAAAAAGATTTGTTGATTTTGATGAACGAGTTCGAACAGAGAGTCACAAATGTGCACCACAGAGCAAGGCAAGCATTTGAGCTTATAAAACTTAAACTTTGTTATTTTTTTTAATGTCTTAAGAAAGGCATTGACATCTTGGATGACATAGGTAAATTATCAGCAAAAGTTTTTTGAAAAGTGAACTACTCCTTTTAATGCTTTGTCCCTCAAATACTGTGTGACTTCCACTTTCTGTGGAGTTTTTTGTTTTTTTTTTGTTTCTGAGATTAATATAATTTTGGTTGACTAACATTTAGTCTATTAGGGGCAGCCTAGTATTTTCGTCATTCTCATTTGTATAAGTAGTACATTTGATGATAATTACATGCCACCATACAAAGGCTGCAAATTAGTTTCCAATTGTGAAATGTCTCATAGAAATGTCATTCATGTTTAAATTTGTTGGTGGTGGTGTCATTGAAGTCATAAGACATTAAACGTTGGAAAACAATGAAAAGTAAGTTGACTTTTTGTGTTTTGTGATTAGCAAGCTAATTTTCCCAAGCTGTGATGAGGACATAGAAAAAGAAACGAACTCATTACATTTGTTGTGCTTTAGATCTTTTACTCTCCTTTTGACCATTTCTCTGACATGAAGCTTGTGTCTATGGTCTGGATTAGGGTACAGAATTGATGTTCATTTTGATACTGTCAAAATGAGATATTGATTTAATTGACATAACCAATCAATGATTTAAAAAATATATTGTTCTCTGAAATCATTCAAACAATACAAAATGTGTACTCATTTGTGATGGTTATGATGTGATTTATTTCAGGTGACAGAATGTTTCAACTTCCAGTGAACAACATCAGCAGTCTAAGGAGAGCAAGGAAAAATGTGAAAAAAGTGCTGGGTGACATTGGCTTGGACTTTTGCAGGGAGCACATTGATGTAAGTAAATTTGTAGTTTGACTTTTTAAATGTCTACATAGGCAAGGAAGTACTACATACTTACTATAATGGACCATATGAATCACCTTAAGATAAACAAACATTTTGTGTTTCCATTTTACATTCTGTGTCACAGTGGTACTATTTTTTTCACTATGCTTCGATCAGGATTTTTGTAGCAGATACCGACTACTGATTTCTTGTCATCATGTTCTGCGATTATTTAAACTTTATAAAAGTTAATTTCAGTTCAGTTCACATTTATTTGTATATTGCTTTTCATAATACATATTGTTTCAAAGCATATTTTTTCTACATTACAATTTAGAGTGATCTGTCCAAGTCATATTTTGGCAATGTATAGCTCTAATCTAAGATGTGTGTGTTACTAAATATTAATACATCAAAAACTGTACATGATATGTGTTTTTTTAATCAAGTGATCAAAGTGCTTGTTGCTGCTGCGATCAGTGGCACGGGTACAGTGTTTTCTCATGTGGTTTGTGCACACTGCACTGCCACTCGGATATGCGCTTCAATCTGTTGCGTAAATCGTTGTGGATATAGTAGTATTGTATTGCTAAATCCCCCGACCACTATGTCGGTCTAAAACAGCGAGACCTAGACAAGACCGAGAGGTCCGAGACCAAGACCAAAGACCGTCAAGGCCGTGACAAAACCGAGACCACGTAAAAGTGGTCTCATGACCAGTCTCAATGACATGCATCACTACTATTATTAAATGAAGGAAATAGATCTCTGCTGAACACGGATTGATTGCAAAGTTAAACTATCACAGTAGAATTATCTGTAGTAGTCAATTTGCCTCATTCAAGCATCTACCGCACTAAAAGCTTCAATCGTGTTGCAGGACATCTAGATGCGCGTAAACGCGTCTTTACATTGACTTAAAGGGATAGTTTACTTTGAAATTAACTTTTGATATGTTTTAGCTTACCTCAAGGGTATCCAAGATGCAGGTGTCTTTGTTTCCACAGTATTTTCAATTTTGACATTTTTCGGTCAAACCGGTGTTGTCTGTCAGTCATATAATGGAGGTCTATGGAGCCCACCTCAAAGAGCATGCACAGAGAAGTCAAAATTAAACATGATTTAATGACTTGTAAATGTAAGTACATATTGATGGCCTAACACACGAAACGATCGGTTTGTGTGAGAAAACGAACAGTACTTATAGTTTTTACCTCTTGTTAACAGCCGTCGAACAGATCTGAATCAGATCGTGGCTTAAAGAGAATCATGAGCTTCCTAGTCGTATTTACGACATCGTGGTGGTTTATGTGCCAATACAATCTTTACGATCTGACTTGAACGCACTATTAGTTCTTTTCCAATATGTATACAGAACATCATAAAGGCTGTACAGTATATTGAATATTTATGATTTATTTAAAGCTTTGTTGCTGATAAAAATTAAGCAACATTGTGAATGCATAGTTGGATTATTCCTAATTATTTTTGGCAATTTGCGAATACTTACTCTTTTAATCAAGATATCAATCTAAAATAATTTTTAGCTTTATCACCCAGTTCTACACGTGAACCTGTTCTAACACTACTCACTGTTTTTGATTTGCAGTGTCTGTTTTTTTACTCGGTATACTTTCTCTCTTTTGCACTTTTATAAAGTACATTTACAAAAGTATATGATACAATTGTTCTAAAATACTTGATATGGTTTTAATCTTTATTGCATTGAGACAACCAAATAAAGTCTTTTTCACTCTTTATTTTTCCCATACAGGACTATAAGGACTTTGTTCCCAATGAGTTCTACATTAAAAACACTGCATGGGACGATGTGTGTATGTGGGATCCCTCAATGACCAAATCACAAGTGAGTAATATCTTAAGTGTTACTTGAAGAAAGGAAAAGTTTTTCTTTTTTGAGCACATATCAATTTGTCCTTACCCATTTGTCTTCTGTCTTCTTAGGACTACCGCTCAAAGCCTTTTTGTTGTTCAGGATGTACATTCTCCTCCAAGTTTTTCTCTGCCTACAAGAGTCACTTTCGTAATGTGCACAGTGAGAACTTTGAAAACCACATTCTCCTGAACTGCCCCTATTGCACTTACAATGGGAACAAAAAGACTTTGGAGACGCACATTAGACTGTTTCATATGCCCAATGTGGTGCGCCAGAATGTTGGAGGACCTCAGGGAGCAGGGGTTGGTTTGAAAGATGGTGCTCGACTGGATAAGACACGTGATAATATAGAGCAAGCAGTGTACTACTGCAAGAAATGCACTTACAGAGACCCACTATATAATGTGGTGCGAAAGCATATCTACCGGGAACATTTTCAACACGTAGCGGCACCGTACTTGGTGAGGCCTGGTGAGAAGATAACACCACCCAATGGGACAACAGCAGGCTCTGGTACAGGGAGCAATGCTGATTCTGGTGGTGCCAACAGTACGAGCACAGCCATCCACTGCAAACGGTGCCTCTTTGTACCCCGTACCTATGAAGCCCTTGTGCAGCATGTCATTGAGGACCATGAGCGCATCGGTTATCAAGTTACTGCCATGATTGGACACACCAATGTAGTGGTACCTCGGGCAAAGCCTGTGATTATGGTGTCCCCAAAAGCTCAGGGTGATAAGGGCCTCATTGGTGTAATGCCAAAGGGTTCAGTAGTGACTGGGGTACGGCCTTTATCCACTCAGCAGCTGAGCCGAATTGTCATTCCTAAAGGAAGTTTGAACTCAAGTGGTCTCCTGTCAGGTGTTCACCTGAAGCAAGGGGCATTTGGTCTGAAGCCAGGGACTACACAATCCTTGACCATCGGAGGACATCAGGTTCAGCTCTCAATCCCACAGCAGTCCCAAACAAGCAAACCACAGCTTTCTGCTAGTCTCCGCAGTGCAGTTTCTGCATCTGCATCTACTTCCATACTAAAGATCCCTCAGCTGAACTCCCGAGTTCAGGCAGCAGCTACTACTGTGTCATCTGTTACCACTAAGAAGGGCAACTCTGTCATCGGCACATCTTACACTCAGAAATGGAAGATCTGCACCATCTGCAATGAGCTCTTTCCAGAAAACGTGTATAGTTCTCATTTTGAAAAGGAGCACAAAGCAGAAAAGGTACCGGCGGTGGCCAACTACATCATGAAAATTCACAACTTCACTAGTAAATGCTTATACTGCAACCGTTACTTACCCAGCGACACGCTTCTTAACCACATGTTGATTCATGGCTTATCTTGCCCGCACTGCAGGGCCACATTCAATGATGTGGAAAAAATGGTGACGCACATGCGAGGGGTACATCCCAACGAATCCGTCGGGCCACGGACAGACTCCCCACTTACTTTTGACCTTACGCTTCAGCAGGGAAATCCCAAGAATGTCCAGCTGATCGTCACCACATATAACATGCGGGATGCCCCAGAAGAATCAGTGGCATTCCATGCCCAAAACAACACATTATCGCCATTATTGCAGGGGAATAAACAGGTTATCACACAAGTCCCAAAGATACACTCAGATGCCTCAGACGCCATACCAGCTAAGGCTACACCTCAAGCGGCTGTACCTTATAAGAAGGATGTAGGCAAAACGCTTTGTCCTCTTTGCTTCTCGATTCTTAAGGGACCCATCTCAGATTCTCTAGCTCACCACTTGCGTGACCGTCATCAAGTTATACAAACGGTTCATCCTGTGGAGAAGAAGTTGACTTACAAGTGTATCCATTGCCTTGGCGTCTATACTAGTAACATGACTGCTTCCACTATCACTTTGCATCTAGTGCACTGCCGGGGTGTCAGTAAAACTCAGAACGGCCGACCTGCTCCTTCTGCGAGAGTTGCACAGGCCCAGGGGGCTGGCCTTAAACGGGCAGGTTTAGCAAATTTAGACCAAACTGAGCCAAAGAGAAGAAAATCCGGAACCGATGAGCAGACCGGTCATAGCCCGTCACTTTCAACTGACAAACAAGACGACCCTGTAGTCTTTGCCTTGGACCCGAAGGGTTACGAGAATGAGTCCTACGAGACACGAAAAGCTTTTCTCACTCAGTACTTCAACAAGCAGCCTTACCCCACTCGCCAAGAGGTGGAGAAGCTTGCGTCAAGTCTCTGGCTTTGGAAATCTGACATTGCGAGTCACTTCTCAAATCGAAGGAGGAGATGCATGCTGAATTGTGAAACGTTAAACACTCGGGTCCTGCTGGGATTTAAAATGCAAGACATCGTAGATTTGCATCAGCCCATTAACTTTGACTCAAAATGCTATTTCGAGAACCATAAACGTGACCATAAAAGACGAACTACTAAGTATCGCATAGGCCGATCTGCATATGCCATTCGCTTTCGGCAAAGAGCTACAACCAATGGTGACCTGCAGCAGAAGCATGGGACGCTAACAAAGGGTTCTGCCAAAGCCTTGCTTTACTCAAATGGTCAAAAGGCCATCAAAGGTAGCAACTGCAATGATTCAATGAAGAGCACCTTAAAACCTGGAGCACTTGCCAATTCTGAACCAATTGCTGTCGACTCAGACAGTGATAATGAGGTGAATGCGCAAAATGTTAGTCTAAATGCACAGTCGCTTAGTAAGGAACCAGAGACAAATGATAAAGGGGATTGTAGTGACTCTGACATCCAGGAGGATGCCCACAGTGAAAACGGCTATAGGTCGAAAGACTTGTTGATTGAAACGAGGCAACGAAAGGGCGAAAGTCAGTCAGGTATCACAAACAAGCTTGAACAATCAGAGACTCAGTTAACCAAGCAACAGGTCTGATTTCTGGACAGGGTTAATGCACATGTATACTTTTGCTGTACTTTGATGTACACCAACAATGCTGCCTCATTGAACTTCTGAATCTGGACCTTGGTTACCTTACGGTACCTTATGGTAGCTATAAGCATCTGCTTTTTCCTCAACACCTAAAGCCATTTGAGAGAGGCAAAAAAAAACTCATGTTTTACAGTTCGAAGTATGAAGATGAATGCAAATTGTGTGAATGGGAAGCTGGGGTTGACCTCAGGATAGGGAAAGAAAACACTCAACATTCACGAAACAGTACATGATTTGCCTTGTTAACACCCAGAAACATAACCATACTTGTTCATGTTCATTCAGCTGCTATTGTGGCTAAAGGAGTGATTATTAGAACCAACAGGTATTATTAAATGTTATGTTATCCTATAGCATTGGTCGTGTATATTTGTACAGTCTTTTAGATATGTCTAAGGAGATGTGTAGGTGTACTTAATGATAAAAAAAAAAAAAATTGCTATACTTTTTGTGCTCACACTTAACATTTATATGCTCTACATTGGTTCACATAGAAAATGGATGTGGCTTCGGTGGCTGTTTTTCCTGTTTACTTTTATTAACAAAAGTATAGCATTTTTCTTAAAAAAATAAATAAGTCCAAGTATAAACAATGCAAAATAAAAGAACCTAATCCCTTGCTTTTGTTTTGCCTGTTTATAATTGAAGCATAATTTTTTATAAATATATTCACCATCCTGTAACTTGTGTTTTGCTTCCAGAGCAGCTCTCCATACATCCACATCTGCCCTAACGTAAGAGTATTCGGCATTTAAATTGACCACTGTAGCATTGTGCTATGTAGACTAGCCTGTGTTTGGTTCAGCCTCCACTGACTGCTATTGTTTTCTTTTTATAGCAGTTACACTTTCCTTTTTCAATTTCCTCCAGCTGGACTCTGTTGTGACCTGGGGTCCAGAATGAGCATCTCTGTTCATTCGAACTTTCTGTATGTTTAAAATTTGTAACCTCCAGTTTGTTGTTTTTGTTTTGTTTATCCCTTTATTCTATTTTTCTTTGTCTCTGCAAGCATTTCTGAACAATAAAGTGCTGTATTGTCCATCTCACAATGCTTCTAACCCTATTCAGTCTCTATCATCTTTGTCTTTTTCTACTTCCCTTTGACCTTCTGGTTTTGCTGGTTTGGACTGCTGCAAACTACACATTTCAGGGTTGACATTTTTTTGTGAACTAATGGAAAGTATGATGTATAACATTCAATATTCTCTCTAAAATGTTGTGTAGTTTGGCCTGATAGTTTGAGTAACACAGTTCTTAACCTCAACACATAACACCTTATAACCTAATTCTCTGATCTCACTTTTCTTAATTTGCTTGGGCACAGAGTTTGTAAGGGAGTTGCAAATTTTAGTTACTAGGACTTGAGACTTTCTGCATGAGTTCACTTATCTAAGAATAACTGTTGCTTAACACATTTTTTTAAATCAACTTAAAACATCGTTCACAACCTATTTTATCACTGTACTATAACATTTATAAGTAGGATATATACTGGATTCCTAAAAAGGGTATTTTAATGACAAATAGAAAGGGGACAGGTTGAAAAACAGAAAGGCTTTTACTTTACACAGACGATACCCAAGACTGTCCTCAACTCACAAGGTATGTTTATATCCACAATTTTTTTTTTTTTTTTTTTTATGTATTAGATTGCAACTAAATGTTGATTCACGTATTGGTTTACATGTGCATTACATGTATTCTGAACAAATTCAGTGCATTCAGAAAAGGAGAAAACCCCTGTGATAATGTCGCTGAGCTACCGTGAGCATAAGTGCCGTTTTTGCCTTGATAAACCGTAAAAGAAAGCTGGCATGTCGGCCCAAAAAAGGGTCACTGTTTGGATTTAAATAGGCAAATACTTAAAGTCAATGATTGTGTCAGATTGCAGTGATTATTTTGTTTCTAGCATGTTATATGTTTGGCGACAGTTCTTGTAACCTTAATTGATGGAGTGTATGGCTTTTCATTTCTCAAACAACCATGTACTAAGATTCATCATGGCCATACAGTATTCCAGGATGACAAAGCCAAGATTCATCAGGCTCAAACTGAAAGAATGTCGGGAGGGAGCATTGAAGAATGATTTTCACAAATGGATTTGCACATCTGAATTCATTGAAAGTCTTTGGGATGTGCTGGAGTAGACTTTACAGAGTGCTTGACTCTTGCATTGTCAATACAAAATCTGGGCCATAAATCAATGCACCTCTTGATGTAAATAACATCCCAACATTTATTTAATAATTTTTTTTGTCAAGATCTTGGCAGTTTGTATGTCATGGGTTGTACTGATTGTGACCTGGAGGTCAAAACTCATGACTATTAAAATAATATAATATAGGGGTTTCAAAATGGAGGGATGCTGCTACAGTATGACTGTGCACTGTCACTCTCAAAGAATAACCTTATGCTGCTATACAAGTCTGGGGGAAAGAGCAGAGAGCAGCATGTGTGCCCCAGTTAGTGGGTGTGGAAGGGTTGGGGACTGGCAGAGGGAGACTGAAACGAGACCTATTAGGCTGGCAGATGGAGGCCCGTGCATGTCCACAGAGCAGGATCAAAATGGGGGAAGGGAACACAAGTCTGAATAGAGGAGATCATGAGAAAGTATGTGGGGAAACTCTATAGTGCCCCCTACAGTTACAGAGAAGCTCTGCCACTTCTAGTGGGACTTTCAGTAATGAAACACTGCTGCGCATGCTTGAAATCTGATGTTTCTTTTGAGCTAACCGACCGTTTATTAATTATGACATCATACGCCGCAGCTACTGGGTCCAAACGCTATAGCCCAAAAGCTAGCAAAAAAAGGTGCTAATATACACTTATGATGTGATGTAATGCTACTGAAAAATCCTGATCCTAACCTTTATCTCCATACTAGTATCTCCGATGGGCGGACAGTGATTCATCTTTATGAATCATAAAAATGTTGGTGTATGTATGAAAACGTGGACTGTACCATAGCTTAATTGTTTAATAGCTTAAATGTGTAAGAAATAAACTGAGTTCATAAACAGCTCTTGAGATCGTATTCTCAGGTGAAACGAGTCTAGAGGCTTGGATCCAGAAATCTTCATTACATCACGACTTAACAAGCTGATTGTGTGATGTCAACATGAATTTTTATTAACAATTTTTATATCAAAAATTATATGATAATAAATGTTTTATTAACATTTATTATCACATAATTTTATGAAATGTTCATGGCTGTTGTGTTTTTATAGTTTTTTAGTGGTGGTTTTTCTGCTTGTTTATTTTCAGAAGAAACTGAAAGATGCTTATATAGCTCTGGCTTCTACTTAAATCACTAAAAATCATTCTACTAAAATCATGCACATTTATTTGGGGAGCATGTTGTTTCAATTTGAAAAGAAAAAGAAGTGAGGTCTTTTGGTCATGGTCAGAGCACGGCTGATGCAAGAGAGTCTGGGACTGGGTTATAAGGCTGAACTGTGAGGGGGAAAAGCTGGCATCTATCACCATTTAAAAATACCTTGAAAGGGAACAGACAGCATAAGCTTTTCTGAAAGCAAAGAGGTCTTTTGACTTCTAGAAACATTCAAGGACATGCTCAAAGGTTGCTCTAGCTCAGAACTGTGTAAAAGTATGTTATAAAATCTTGTGAAAGCTTCTTCTTCACATGAGAGTCAACATTTGTGTGCCTGATTCTAGAGTAAATGTCACCAGGCTTATTCCTTCAAATTGAGGTTCTGCATTTTAAAACATATATTTTCCAAAGAACTGCATTGTTGTTATTTGTAAATATTGTTTTCAGTATTTAACAAATAAGTCATTTCCTATTATATAAAGTAAATGAAATGTAAAAAAAATAAAATATGTATTTTTGTAAATATATAGGTTATATATTCAGAATTTCCTTCCAGTTATTTTTTTATAACATTTAAGTCATTTCCAAATATATAATGTAAATGAAATATAAAAAAAAAAAGATTTTTTTTTTTTATAAATTTAGGTTATATATTCAGAATTTCCTTCCAGTTATTTTTATAACTATACCGTTTTCTGTAAATGTTTATATATCAGATTTTTACATCATCTGAAAGCTGAATAAATAAGCTTTTCATTGATCTGTGGTTTATTGGGATAGGACAATATATTACAACTATTTGAAAATCTGGAATCTGAGGGTGTACAAATCAAAACATTGATAAAATCACCTTTGAATTTGTCCATTTATGTTCTCAACTGTGTTGCATTCAAAAAATAAATGTTTTATACACTTACGGTAGGTAATTTACAAAATATCTTCATGGAACATGTTCTTTACTTAATATAATGATTTTTTTCATAAAAGAAAAATCAATACATTTTGTTGGCTATTGTCACAATATATACCGGTGCTACTTGTGACTGGTTTTGTGATTCAGGGTCACAAATAACATTTAAGTAATTGCTACTTATCTTTTTAATTATTTTATTAAAATTCTACATTTATATAAAACGGAATTGTGAATACAGATGATTTTTTTAGCATATCCTGCAGATTTATTGGTATCACTAAACACTAATATGAAACTGTAATGAAATAAAATAAACTTATTTAAACTTTTTTTTTTTTAAATCTTTTGCAGACAGAAATAAAAATGTCAGACTCAGGATGAGGTTGTTGTCTATTAGCACTAGATGGCAGTGTTATAAAAAGGGTGTTGTGCGAGGCCAATGAAAACCTGCTTTTGCAATGCAAGGCTGAAAATTAAAGCAAAAGGGAAAATAGGAAGAAAGAAAATAAAAGAGCTGGGGTTGAAATATGTGTTGGTGGCCTCATGCCCTCATTCATTAAATGAGCAATTGCTGACTCGCATTTAATATTGTTTCATTCATCAACATGCACAACATAGAAAAAGTGTACACAGTGTTATACATGGTATAACAGTATGAGATTTTAATTGATACATGTAGCACTTCTGTAAGATCACTGGCTGTACTGATGTCCAGTGGTGTAGGTCCCATTGGCCAGCACTGAGTGCTTATGTAAGGGGGATCTCAGTGGGGCTTTCCATTGCACAGTCGGAACGTTCTCCACTCTGCTCCTGTTTTGGTCCCTAGCCACAAGAGCAATCTGTGCCCCGCTCCGAGTTCCTGATGGCCGGAACTATAAACATGGCCTGTTTACCGCTTCATAGCCTACTAGGATGACATCCACCACATATTTGATATTATCTCTGTCGTTGACAAAAGGTTTTAAAGAATCCCTTCGCTGTCATTTTGCAGTCAAACGTAAAATAAAAAGATACCCCGCTATAGATATCAGTGCGCTTTTCTATTTGTAAGGTAAATCAATAATTCAAAGTGTTTTTCAATTCATGCCTATTGATTATTCATTGCATTTTAAGATTGAAATGGAAGCAATGCATTATATAAAAAAAGAATTAGGCTTCAGTTATTGAGTCATGATTTATTGACCATTTTTCTCTTTAAAATTATTCACAATTCACAGCTTTTGCTCATTATGCAAAATTTGTCTGCAACTTGGATGTGGTGATGTTTCCATCTTTGTTCACATATCACCTCCTTCATCTAATCCTTCATTTTGAAAATTGTTTTTTAACCACAGAGACTGTGCATGTACATTTATTTCATGCCAGTGCCTTGATTATAAACAGTGATGATACGGCAGGGTTACAGGTCTCTCATATCTGGTCGATAGAAACCAGATTCAGTCAGTCACTCTCATACTGCCTCAACATGACTCCGATCTTCTTCAGCAGAGTCTTTATTCTCTACATAAAAACCTCAAGGTCAGTTTGAGTGAAACAACACACAAAAGCAACAGCCATAGCCTCAGTTAATGCTAAATAAGTGGCTGATAGTGTGTGTGTGTGTGTGTGTGTGAGAGAGAGAGAGAGAGAGAGAGAGAGAGAGAGAGAGAGAGAGAGAGAGAGAGCACTAAAGGTTAGTGATTTTGCTTGCAAAAAATTTGATGAGCCAAACTGGATACAAAGGAAAAACCTTGAGTGGGACGTGCGCAAATGAAATGTCTTCACGCAGAAACCTGTTACAGACAAATATAATATGAGGAAGAGACTGATGCTGTCA